CTATGTCCATGTCCATACCATCCATTGATCCATACACACTGCTGTCGGGTATAATCGCTCAGAACGCTCCAAGAATTTGACAAACTTCCAAACACAAATGTTATCAAAAAGAAAATCTATTTCCTCCAGTTATCGTCCGCCGTGATAAAACCCCACTCGTCATCGATGACCAGCTCCTAATCATGATTCGAGATGGTCGGTCCAGCATTCAAAGCACCCAGAGCGATGCCCGTCAGACTCTTGCTGTGCTTGTGCTTGCCTCCAGTTTGACTGTGAGTGCTCAGGGCGGTGGATCGGCGGGTGTTCATCCGGTGCATCGTATCTGCATTGCGTTCGCCGCCAGCACCGGCTGTCATGGCGGGGTCGATGCCGGTGTTTTGCAGGGGGAGACCAGACTCGTCCAGCGGACCACGCGACGACCACGTCTGGCTGCGGTTGAGCTCTTTGGGGTCAGTGGGTCCTTCTGCGAATGTACTCCTGCGACGCTGGTTCCGGAGCTCGGCATCCTCTGCTTCCTTTTGTTGAAGCTTCTCGCTGGGGAGTAAGATCGCGCGATCGAGAGCGTATGGCAGACCACGGTGACGGCCACGAATCATCATGGCGATGATGATGAGTTTGCTGATGACTCTGAACTCGGCCGAGAAGGAGGCGTTGATTCCAGGATAGCCGAGCGAGAGTCCAACAGTGCCGTACGCTGAGACGATCTCAAACAGCACGCTGAACGTCGTAAAAGCGTATTGATTGGTGTTGGCGATCCGATCTCCCTCGACAATGCAGATGATGAAGAGTCCCAAGAAGATGTACCACAAATCGAAGGACAGCTGTCGACGCAAATGCTGGCTGACGTAGCTCTGACTCTCTTCGCCTCCCTCTTCTTCGCCACCAAAGATACCCAGAGACTTCTCTTCGTAGACGTTCGTCCTACGCACGGAGATAGCGATTGGAAAGACCGAAATGTACATCATGACCATGTAGCTGACCTGGATGGCGGCGTGAAGTTCTGAAAGTGTGACTGATGCGAAACCTGCCGTTCGCGTGGATGTCGCTTGGAACCAGCCGTTCAGCACTTGAATACCGGCTGGCATGTCCTCGACCACGGACTCGTTGAGATCAAGGATGATGAAGAAGATCAAGTCGATGCCGTTTAGACCGACAAGAACCCAGAACAACCACCACGTAGCCTTGGACGGGAAGAGCAGCGTAAAGCAGCGCCGAGGATGATCAAGCAAGAAGCGCAGCTCCTCCCACAACGGGGTTCCACGAAAGGCAAACTTGCTCAAGGTCCAGATGATGAATCGTAGCATGCAGGGGAAGCCAGTGTTGCCGATGATGATGAAGAACGAGCCGAAGAGAAGCGGCACGATGGCATCCTGGAAACTGATCATCGAGTCTGGCGTGAGGGTGAGGCCTAGATCGTTGAACAGAGAGGCTGGGGTAAAGAAGCCCCACCAGACTGGACTTTGCAGCCAGGTGTTTTCGAGAATGTCGCGGTAATAGCCGTCTCTCAAGATCCACGGCAAGAATATCAGCATTGCCAAAAGGTGGAAACCGACAAAGTAGCCGATAAGAATACAAGCCAACGTCTTGAGGGAGCGGTATTCGATACCACCTAACTCCTCGCGTTGTTCTTGGCTCAGTCCAAGAAACGCACTGTTGCGGCCCGTAGTGGCTGTCCAGCTGAGGTACGGCATTGGATCGTCATTCCTCTCCCTGGTTCGAGAGGCGGTGAGGTTAGAAAACGTCCGGGCAAAGCTACGAGGTGCATCACTAATACTGATCCCTTTGCTGTGTCCACGACGGAAGAGCGGACCTTTGCCATGGTCGTTCCCTGAGGTTGAAGCGGCATCGTCGTGGTTGCGGTGACCGGGATGATCCGGCTCGTCAATGGTAATACCACGTCGAACTGGATGATTCTCCGTGTCGGCATTCTCAACACGTGCGTCGATGCTTCTGCTTCTGGTGCTTTCTGGGCGAGATATGGCTGAATTGTGAGTATTGAGCCGTCGCAATGCACGATCACGATCAAGAGGTTCGATCTTCGCGCCTTCGTCCAGCTCTCGCGGTCCTGGGATGTAAAGAGCACCACCTTCCTTTCGATGCTTGTTCTGACGCTCTAGAAACTCGATGTGCTTTGACGAATCCCGGCGTTCTGAAACGCGTTCGAGCGTGGGAGACTGCCTGCCGCTGGGAGGCACCTCATCGGCAAAGGTGATTTCTCGTTTGAGACCAAGAAAGGGTGTTTGAGGTTCCTCGTCTGGTGATTGTGGTGGGGTGTGTTGGCCAGCTTTCTGACCTTCCTGAACTGCAGGGTCTGTGATAGTATCATCTGAGCCCGATTCGCGGTCCTGTTCTGTATGGGCAGACTTCTCGTTCTGGGGGTCATTGTCTTTTTGACTGCCTTCTGGGGAGGGAGTCACAGCTTGTGTGGTCTCAATGCCGTGCTTTTCAGCGAATTCCTCCGCTTTGGCGTGCTCTTCGTCCGTTGCATCGTCGTTGTCAGTCCTCGTAGCTTGCACGTTGTCCCGTACTACCTGTATTGGCCGCCCATTGACACCTCTTTCCAGTGCATCCGGATCGTCGTGTACAGGATCGGCTCGCATCTGACTTCGACTGCGGCTCGGAGTCTTGTTCTTCCGCTGCTCCCGAATGTCCTTGACGATGTGTTCGAATCTCTTTTCGAACCAGTACAGGCGGACGAAGACGACAATGGTGTTGACGAAGACAGGAGTGCAGACACATGATCCCAGCATGAACGTTATTTGCTGGTAGAGGTGCAAGGCGTTGACGTCAATGGTGTTCAAGCCAGATTGCGTGGCGGTTCCAGCACCGAAGAAGAGAGCATCGATATAGTGCATGTACGTAGCCTCGTCGCTGGAATCGTGAGGGCCTCCCGGGTAGACAATCCATGAGAAGATGAAGGTGGCACTGATGATATAGATGTAGTGGCCCGTAATGAAGTTGAATCGCGGGCGGCGGATCTGTATGCGGCGTGGGATGCTGTTGGCAATCAACCTCCACAGCTCGATGAGCGGCGCGAAGGTGTCCTTCCACCAGCTGTCCTCGTCCACGCCGGATACATTCATCCTGGAGTGGTGCTTTGAGCGGGGCTCGTCTTGGGAGGATTGATTGGCCGTTTCGAGATATGTGGGAGGTATTGACGTCCGGAATAGGGTTGGAGATTCGGTGCTCGTGAGATGAAGTGGTAGAAGCGAGTGAGGCAGTGTCCAGCACGTGTTGGCGCCAAGGGAGGTGAGGTGAAGCCGGGTGTTAATCGTCTCTACTGGCGCGCATCGAGGACGAGGGTGTTGGCAGCATGGCGGTCGAAGGAAGTGCCAAGCGGTGATGCGAGGGCGGAAGAGATCGGAGGGGTGGTGTGGCGGAGAGGGCGACGGTGGTGATGGGTGGAGGGTGGAGTGGTGGCGGCGACGGTGAGGTGAGGTGAGGTGGGTGGTGGGTGTGGTTGCTTTTTGGGCGGTGATTGACGAAACAATGCGAGAGCACGATCAGAGATTCCATCTCGTCCCGACTCGTACATACACTTCCCTAGCGTGTCTTGGCTGCCACGAGCCGGCCCAGCGGTTGCGCAGCCGTTTGATGACATCGCGATCAGCACGTGGGCATCAACTTTCTTGACACATGAAACATGACATCCAAGATCTCGTTGAACGTGGAACAGGAATCTTGAATTTCGAACATCGTCACATCTGGTCTAGAAGGGTAGGACGGAACTACCCATCACACAACGACCTTCAGCCAAGCCCCGTCTTCGCGAACACGAGTTCTCTCGACAAGCTACCCGGTCCGTGGAATTCACCCGGACCCTGCCTCAACGGTCCTAGTCATATGCATCTTGGCGGTGTGAGGGTCCTGTCGACCGAAAGGCTGGCGAGACTGCAGACATACTTCTTGTGTTCGTGGTGGAGAAAGATGCCGAGAAGCCTGCTGGCATTCTTCCAACTGCTTGGTCATGCCATTGCCGAAGTCATCCGAACTTCTGCGAATAGGCTGCAGGACATCGCAAACAGTGGTATATTTCCCCATGTTATAGTGTTGGGTCACGGATGTGTGCCAGCTGTGCCTTGGCTCTGTGACAGAATAATAGCACGTCATTGCGAAGCCGAGCAAATTCTGGACACATCTCGCTTCTCGTCCCATCTTGCGGATCCGGTAGATGCTTCACTCAATATAGCAGCTGTGACAAGAAGTATGCACGGCAGCCTTATCCTGCACAGTCTTGAGGTTGTACGCCGCACAATCGCGGAAAGTGGCGACACTGTACTTGCTCTCGGAATTTGGCGATCTCCTCAAAGTGCCCTGGGAGCCTTCTGATCCGATTCCAGCGCGATGCACGATCCATTCGATGTCCATGGCGTCTTCGGCGAGGTACTTCATGACGGCTTCGTTGTCTGCGTGTTGGCCTGGAAATGGAAAATCAGCGCAACCTTTCTGTCACCATGAAGTCGTACCCACCAGCGTACGCATTTCCCACCGTATGTCTCAACATCCAGAGGTAAGGACTGAAGTACTCCTTGTACGGCTTGCTCAATCCACCCGCCTGATACAAGAACCTCTTGACGCCGTTCTTCCGCATGGAGGGAACGAGTTGCTTCTTCACAAATGCCGTGTTAATCTTGCTCCGCATCTGCATTCCAGCATCACCCAGCATCGAAACCACATAGTCTGATCCGCGCACACACTCGTCCAGATGCGGGAGAGGGTCGTCGGTGATGGAGCCTTGAATGACCTGGAGATTGGGGTTTCGGATGGAGGCGAGTTTGGAGGGTGTGCGGACAATGGCCTTCACGCGGTGGCCTTCTTCCAGGGCGAGGTTGATGAAGTGGCGGCCTGTGCCTCCGGTCGCGCCAAAAACTAAGAAGGTGGACATGGTAGTTGAATTGCTTCGTGTTAGGATGTGGCAGGCGTCCAGGAATGGTACTGTTAGGAGGAAGAAGAGGATGTATGACAGAAACATGGTCGGAAATAGAAAGATTGACGTGAAGCCATTGAAGTGGTAGCCACACTATTCATGACGTCGCTGTCGAATAAATTGTTCCGTGTTGTTGGTGTGCTGGAGGTAGTGGGATCCTACGTCCGGGGATGAAGTTGCAGGCGGAGACACTTTCAACCGTCATCCACCAGTGGAGTTTGTGGATTCCGCCTCGTCCGGGAGCTACCCCCACCGCACCACAATTACATCCACCCTGTAGATCAGATGTAAACAAAGAAAAGATCCAGCTGCGACTCAATCTCGAACAATGACCCCTTCCCACCACCGAAATGCATGCGGACACAGCAAACCGTCACTGGCCGGCCTCTCAATTCCGTCATCGTCACTGCTCGACACACTTTGAAGATCGCCGCCGGTCGCACATGTGATCGGGGGAATAGAATCTCCTTGCGCAACCTTTGTACGCCGTGACCAAATTTAATACTGGCCAAGTAGACACCTTTGCATCTTTGCCTTGCCTCTCTCCTACCAGCACACCACCACCAACACCCTCGACATCCACCCCTCCAGCACATCACATCACTCGCCATGGGCAAAGAAACCCCCACCACGATGCGCGTGTGGAAGTACGCCTCGGCCGACGGCGGCATCGAGAAACACCTCCAGATTCACCAATCGGAGCCCCTCCCGAAGCCCTCGCCCAAGGAACATCTCGTCCAGGTGCTCGCCGTGGGCCTCAACCCGGTCGACTACAAGCCGGCCGAAGCGTTCGTGGGCAAGTTGATGATCAAGAAGCCGGCCACCCCTGGATTTGACATCGCCGGCCGCATCGTCACTCCCGCCCAAGGCTCCAAGCTCCGACAAGGCGATCTCATCTTCGGCGCCGCTAGCACCAATCCTCTGGCTGGTGGTGCTTTGGCTGAGTACATTGCTGCGCCTGCGGATCGTGTCACTACTCTCCCACAAGGCGTCTCGCCGCTGTATGTACATTCACAATACGCCATATTCCCAACATCTGCTGACTATTATCTAGTTTGGCAGCAGGCGCCCCTGTCGCCGCCATCACCGCCCACGACTCCATCGTCCCGTACATCCAGAAAGGCTCCCGCGTCTTCATCAACGGCGGCAGCGGCGGCGTCGGCACCTTCGGCATCCAAATCGCCAAGTCGGTCGGCGCCTACGTCGCCGTCTCCTGCTCGGGCCGCAACGCCGAACTCTGCCGCTCGCTGGGCGCCGACGAGGTCTTCGACTACAACGCGCGGCCCTTGATCGACCAACTCCGCGCCGCCAAGCCCTTCGACCACGTCGTCGACAACGTCTTCAGCGACCCGGACCTCTACTTCCAAGCCCACACCTACACCACGCCGACGGCCAAGTTCGCCGAGGTCGCCAGCGGGCCCACGCTCGCCTTCCTCAAGTTCGCCCTCCGCGCCTCGCTCTTCCCCAGCTTCCTTGGCGGCGGCAAGCGCAAGTTTGTGCTCGTCGTCTCGGACGTCAAGGAGGAGACGCTGAACAAGTTCGGCAACTGGTTCGTCGACGGCCAGGTCAAGCCCGTCATCGACCAGACGTTCCCCTTTGAGCAGGCTGTCGACGCCTACAAGCGACAGAAGACGGGCCGTGCGGCTGGGAAGGTCATTGTCGATGTGACGGGTGAGGGGAAGGTGCAGTAGGGGAGGGAGTGAAGGCTGTGCTTTGGTTGATGTAATGAATGGATGGATGCTTGTACGCATGCGTGGGAGGTGGGAGGAGGAGGAGGTGAATCCCCTCTGACACTTTCTTGCACGAACGAATTATACCCTCTTGTAGCCTAGCCGAATGGCATCTCTCATATCCTCTAAGATTCTTCTGTCACTTTATACGCTTTGACCTTTGCTTCATCACCATGATAGTACCCATCCCGTCCTTCCTCTCACCAATCGGATACGGACTTCAATCCCCCTGGCTCTTCTAGCTTCCTCCCCGTCCTCAAGCCTTCCGCTCTCCACCTCCTCTCCCTCATCTTTTCCAGCTCATACGAATGCTTCATAGCATGTGGAAAGATCCACAACCTCCTCCAGGATGTACGCGAGGCGTGGAGGGTGCATGCTAAGTCTTTGACGATCACTTATGTGTTGGACGATTTGGTAAGGGAGATCGCGCTGTATCCTGGAGCGATGGGGTTGGAGGGTGGGTTATGGAGGAGGCAGGTTAGTGACGGGACGTGCTCGCGAGGAAAGAGGCCGTTAGGGGGTTGATGAGGTTTTGATCGGGAGGTGAATTGAGAGTAAAGGCTTGGTAGAAGTACTGTGCGTGAGACAGTTCTATCTCTCCCAATACACTAGGAGCTGTCCGCGACGTCGCGATAAGTGTCCACCGTTGTGATTGCCTTGTCGCTTGACTACAACACTCTTTTTATTTGCATTCGCCACTGCTGGTCGTCTCCTTTCCCCGTATGATATATTTCAATTTCCCATGATTCACTGCATGTCCATCCAGGGTCCACTTGAAAGCCTTATACTCATGCCGGGTGGACCTCCAGCCTCCGTCTCCATTGCCCGTGGTGTCGGTGAAACTCTCATTCAGTTAGAAGACAACCAATCTGGCTGCCCAGCCATGGATAGCGCCCCTTTGATCTTCTCCTCTCCTCGGTAAGTATGGTAGACCGCATCAGACTCCTCCTTGTAGAGGCGGAGATTCTGCGCATGATATTGCCACGGCAGTTGTCCATGGTCTATGTGCACCACCAGAAGTCTCACCTTGAAGATCTGGAGCTTGGTGTAAGAGCGTATCATGTATTCGAAGACTTTCCTGCTGCTTGGAGTCCAAAACAGGATGCAGTCAAGCAGGATTTCCTCGTAGCTGCTGGTGTAGTGGCTGAGGAATGCTTGCAAACCTTCTGGTGGGCCGAACACGTTGGTCAAGTGGATCTTCTGTAGGGACTTGGTGGCCAGGTGGCGGGCAATGGTCTCCAGGACGGGGGTGCTGGTGCTGGAGACACTGAGGCAGCGGAGATTCGACATTTCTGGGAGAAGTCGCTGGACGGTGGGAGAAAGACTCCCAGCGTCGTGGAGGTTCAGTTCGAAATTCTTGAGTCTGCGGCACACCTGATTGAGCCCCTCGCGTTCCTTGGCTGACAGACGAGTGATCCACGTGTCGGTATAATCAACGCCTTGACGCATGATGCCCGTACTAGGGATTGACAGAGCGAGCCCTGAGGGTCGGTAGCTCGATTTGAACAGCGCTTCGAGAATGGCTTGGACGATATTGAGTGGAGACTGGCCCCGGACTTCCCACTCATCAATCCACGGTCGGACGTTGTTCTGGTAGGTCACCAGTCCGTAGACGTGTGCGAGATTGGCTTCCGGCAAAGTTGAATCGGGAGCCGTGGGTTGGTCATCAGTGGCCTGTGCGAGGTGGAAGGCACCGATCGTTCGATACTTGCGGTATTCGATGGTCAAACATTGGTTGCCGGGTGTGCGGGCGAGGTTCTCGAAGATGTCGTGGAGCACGCCACTATCCTGCCATCCGTACGCATCGTCGACCTCCCGACGCCAAGGTCCCGCTTCATCTGTCTCCAGCGGATACGCGCCTGGCATGCTGCTGTACTCGTCATACTCGAGGCCCGTGCCTATGGCGATGAATTCGAGTTTCTTGAAGTGTCGCGCAAGTTCAGGCGTAGCGGTGATGTCTCGCAGGACTCTGAGGGAGTGGTTGGTGGTGGCATGTCGGTTGTAGGAGAAGAAGCGCCGACCAAAGACTTCAAAGGTGTTGGCGGCGAGTTCGCGGTTGACTTGTCGCAATGCGAGTAGCGACGTGCTGTCGACGAGTTCTGCGATTTCAATCTGCAGCTCCGGTGGCAGGGTGAGTAGTGGCGGTGTTGGCTCATGCATGGCGATCAGAGTCGACTGATGGTGTTGCTCTTGGGTGCATGTGAGTGTTGCTGATGAAGAGCACAAGCGAAAGGATGTCGGCGAGCCGGAGTCTGGAGGCAAGCTTTGCGCTAGCGGCAGAAGCTTGGACTCAAACGCAACCTTGGAAGTGAATGGAGCTTGGAAGTCGCTTGCATGTGAAAAACCTTACCTTGGCACCCACCCTTGTTCGAGGTATGACCTTCACACAAGAACAGTCACATACACCCACACGTATGCCGAGTGTCAACTATACTTGCCGTCGGTCTCTGTTGGTCGTTTCTGCGGCGGATGCATCTCATCGTGGGTATCCGACTTGTCGAGCGCAGCACATCAGTAGCAACAACGGCGGTATGCAGCTGATCTCGGGAGTGAAGAATCGGACAGGTTTCGAAGGCTGCAGTGGTGTTCTGACCAAGATGGAGATGAACCCAACAAGAATAGAGGGACAAAAGAACGTTCTCTCAATACCCCCCAGCTGCGTACATTTCAGACCGCGAAATGACGTCCACGAGAGTGAATCTTCGAGCCATTGTAAACACAAACATTAATTCAACAATGCGGTGACCGAACAGACTCAATCTCCTCGCAAAGATTGATAACTTGAATGGCAGGAAAGCGTCTCATCGACGCTGCCAAACTCTTCAATGCCGGCGGCTCGGTAGCAAAGCAGCACCTCTCGCTGCGGAAACAGCAATGGGACCTCTTCACCAACACCTCCAGCTTGGCCAAAGCCGTCAAGGGTCAAACAGATCGAGTGACGGTGACTGCGCGAGCTGCGGTGGAATTGGCGAAGCGATTCAATGAGGAGGCTCCAAGCTGGCAGCGGGCAGGACAAGAGGCGCAGAGAGGTGCAGAGGCGGCGAGCAGAAGAGCGCAGGAGGGCGTAGATGCGGCAGCGAACGAGGCGCAGAATTTGGCGAGGGATGCTGGGCTGAAGAATGTCGCGGACACGATATCGAGCGTGAGGAGGAGGGAGGGAGATGATGGAACGCTGGCTTCGTTGAGGAAACAGGAAGAGCAGCGAGTGGCTCAAAGGGAGAACGAGGATGATGGATTCGATACTACGAGGCAAGAGAGACAGCGGGTTAGGAGATTCTCCTCACAGGATCTGGACCAGATTCGAGAGATGCGCGATACTGGCAGCAGCTGGGCTGAGATTGTCGACGCTTTGAACTCTGTCCCGCGAGAGAAGAGGATAGACATGGCCGATCTCGAGCAGATGAAGAACCTTCGAAGGAATGGAGTATCGTGGAGAGAAGTTGCGCTTACAATGAGACACGCTTCGGAGACGGAGCCCATCACAGCTGCTGCAGACCAGGGCATAGCGCAAGATCTGAGGCAGAGTGGCATGTCAGAGAGGGACGCTAAAGAGGCATTGAAAAGGCATCATGAAGGTGCATATCCGGTCAACGCCACATCATCTCAGCCCTCGAGTGAGCAGGCCCCTGGACTGGATACTTTTGGTCAAAGACCAGAGCCGGACTCGCCCCCAGAAGGTGTCAACCTTGATGCTTTCCACAGTCCTCGAGTGTCACGCATGTTGGGGAGTAGTGATTCAAGCATCAAGAACCCGTATGCTTCAAGAAAGAAGCTACCACCACAGCCTCTACCAGAAATGGTTCAGGCATCGGAGCGGTGGAAGAAGGAGAATGAGCACGCTCCGACAGCTTCAGAACAGGCACCTTCCAATCCGATAGAGGCGGAGGCGACGCAATCAAGCCAAGTAGAGACAAAGACGGCGAGTACAGATACCGAAACCCAAGACTTGGCTGCATCGATTGCGCAGGAGTCACAAGTCGAGCCCGAGGCAAAGCCATACGAGATGCACGAGTCCCGCGTACCAGCCACGAGGTTCGGACGCTTATTGCAGTACGGCGGTCTTGCCACAAGCATGGCGTTTGGCGCTGTTGGTGAGAGCTTCCGCCGCTTCACTGGCGGTACGAGCGAAGGCAGCTTAATGCTCAGCGAGGCCAACATGAATCGTCTTGTTGCCAAGCTGAGCCGGATGAGAGGCGCTGCGTTGAAGCTGGGCCAGATGATGAGCTTTCAGGACTCCAAAGTCTTACCTGCAACCATCAACACTGTGCTACAGCGAGTGCAGGACAGTGCTGACTACATGCCAGCTTCACAGCGTGACAAGGTTCTCGTGCGGAACCTGGGCGCTGAATGGCGAGATCTCTTCTCCAACTTCGAGGAGAAGCCATTTGCTGCCGCATCTATAGGTCAGGTGCACAAGGCCACGCTGAAGTCGAATGGCAAAGATGTGGCTGTCAAAGTGCAGTACCCTGGAGTCCGCAACAGCATTGACTCCGACCTCAACAACCTATCGTTGCTTCTCACAGCAAGTCAACTGCTCCCCAAAGGCCTCTTCCTGGACAAGACCATCGCCAATGCTCGCACAGAGCTGGGCTGGGAATGCGACTATGAGCGTGAAGCCAAGGCTTGCATTCGGTTCAAGGGACTTGTTCACGATGAACCAGATACCTTCGCCGTGCCTACCATCTACACTGAAGCTTCGGGTGCGGATATTCTTACGGCAGAGTTCATGCATGGCACTGCAGTGACGAAGATCAAGAATCTTACCCAATCCGAGCGGGACTGGATCGGCACGCAGATTCTTCGCCTCTGCCTGCGAGAACTCATGGAGTGGCGATTCATGCAGACAGACCCGAACTGGACCAACTTTCTGTACAACCGACAATCCCGCAAGCTTGAACTTCTCGACTTTGGTGCATCGCGAGAGTTCCCGGACAAGTTCGTTGAGCCATACGTGTCACTCCTCATCGCCGCGTCCAGGAATGACCGAGAAGCTTGTCGAGATCTCAGTATCAAACTGGGCTATCTGACCGGCAACGAGAGCAAAGACATGCTCAAGGCCCACGTCGATTCCATCATGACGCTTGCTGAACCATTCGTCGGCACAGCGCCAGAAGTGTACGATTTCGAAGACCAGACCATCACCGATCGTGTGCGATCGAACATCGGACTGATGTTGCGGGAAAGACTGGCGCCGCCACCCGAAGAGACGTACTCGCTGCACAGGAAGCTGAGCGGCGCTTTCCTGCTCTGCGCAAGGCTGAAGAGCAAGGTCCCCGCGAGGGAGATGTTTGCAAAGGCAGTGGAGGTATGGGAAGGCAGGGAGGAGAGTGTGAAGCTGTAAAAAGTACTGTACAATACTGAAGAAACCTGTAGATATAGAATCGCCTCCCTCCGAAAAGGGTGCTTAACCAGAAGGAGTAGCACTGGATGATCTTGTTCCTAGTACTCAACGCACTGCTGGCGTCTGCTTCGTGAATTGCTTCTTTACTGCGGCCGCAGAGGCAATAAAGTGAGATATAACCCTTATGAAGCTCTTGATGAGTGAACATTCATCCTCATTGCCGCCACTGCCGAGGCTGATTCAGCGGAGCTAAGGGCACCTCCAACCTCACCTCACCTCACACCTCATCAACACGCATCCAAAACCACAAAAACTACTCAAAACGACCAGCGCAGCCCGTCCAAACACCGTACCCACTTCTCCCCACCTCCTCCACCTTTCTATTCATCCCATCGTACCCCAGCACGCCATTCCCACCATGCCCCAACAACAACGCGCCAAAATCCGCATCTACCTCGACTGCAACTCGCCCTGGTCCTACTTCGCCTACACCAAACTGCGGCGCGACCGACCGCTCCTCTCCCAACACGGCGTGGACGTGGAAATCAACCCGATCTTCCTCGGCGGGATCAACGTCGGCAGCGGGAATAAACCGCCCTGGACGCTGCCGGCGAAGGCGAGGTTGGGGGGGTTTGATTTGCCGAGGGCGATGTATGTTTTTTCCCTTGATCCATTATCAAACGAAGTTGAGATAGGGAATTTGTGAAATGTTGATGGGGTTGTTAACGTTAATGTGTGAACGTCTAGAAAATACTTCCAAGTCGACCCCCTGACCTCCCCGCCTTTCTTCCCGATCATGTCCCTCCTCCCCATGCGATGTCTGCTCTACGCCAAGGAGAACCTCCCCTACGAGCAGTACGAGAACGCCTTTGGGGATCTGTGGCATTTTTTGTGGAGGGAGCACAAGGATGTTAGCAAGCCGGAGGTGCTGGCGGAGTGTTTGGGACGGCATTTTGGGAGAGAGGATGTGGAGAGGAGTGAGTTTCTTTCTTCTTAGTTTGAGTATGTTGCGGGTTGAGGGATGTGTGAGACTAATATGGTGGTCTAGTCATCAAAGCCGGCACCGACCCGAAATACAAGAAGATGCTCACGGACGAGACGGCCATGTTGGTGGAGAAGGGCGCCTTTGGAGCGCCGTGGTGGTTGGTGACGAATAAGGAGGGCGTGGAGGAGCCGTTCTTTGGGAGTGATAGGTATTACTTTCCCTCTCCCAGCTTTTCGTTGGCTAGTGGAGTGGCTAATGTGTGCTGGTTATGCAGATTTCACTTCGTGTATCAGTTCCTCGGGGTGCCGTTTCAGGATATCGAGATTTTGCCGCCGGGGTCGTCGAAGTTGTAGTTTTTCTCGAGGAATTGAGTGGATAGTGGGGAGGGATGGGTGAGGTCGATGGCGTGGATGGCTATTGTGTTGATGAGATGGAGCGTTTGAACGCAACGAGTTTTGCCTGCAGCTTGTGAGTTACTGCACATATGTAGAGAATGCTGTAAAATTTATCTTGGCCGAACAGAGGAGAGTACAAGATGGCAGAGAAAAGCCATTGGCGGCAGCAAACCCTCATATCTCAAAGACCGATTCTAGCCTGGTGACCTTTGGCCCAGATATAAATAATTATTCAACCTGTCTCTCCCTCCTTTACCAACGAGTAACGATGGCTTCTGCTTGTTCGACCCGTGCGTGGCACCCGGCCGTTGAGATGGACGCCGTCTGCCGAGCGCCAACGAGAGAAAGAGATCGCGCGAGCGCAAAACCAGCGCCAGTATCTTCTTGCACACAAGGGAAACGACGTTGCGTTGAGTGTACTATATCACTGCTGGCAAGCTGGAGCAATACACCTAGAGCGCACATCATCTAGAAAGACCTCCACCAACCGCCTGTCCAGCACTCTTCTCTTCCCTACGCTAGGAAGCTCCTTGAAAAAGGAGTTAACCTGGTCTTCCGGGTGTCGTGTTTCAGGCCTGGCTTATTAGCGCGACGATTTTGAGGCGCGAACATGTCTTGTCGAGTGCTATGTAAGCGGCTTGGTCGACTTTAGCAGGGATGACCGTAGGCTTGCGTATTTAAGGACATTGCCTGAAGGAAAAGACAGACATTAACAGACGCCCCGGTTCTGTTGTGATCTCACGCAGCCAGGCATTGTGGCATACAACTCACTATCAACCTCAGATGAGGGCGCCAGAACGTTCTGTCAATCGGGAGGTACAATCACGATGAAGACGATGAGAACGAAAGGCACAGTCCAACGGTGAGTGGTGACCCAGACAAGGGGGCGGCGCAGTAGTAGAAAGCTTCACTCAATGCGTCACGACGAAGCGAAGAGTATGATTTTATGAGTTTTCTTCAGCGCTATCAAGTCTATCTAGGTGCGCTGACAGGAAGGGGTCAAATTTCAATCAGGGGTATCATCGCATTCTCTCCAATTCAGTGATTCTTCTCTTCCCTACCGTACAAAGGAACCAGCTCACAAAGACAAATTCAACAACACCGTTCCAGCGACTTCGCTTTCCAATGTTCTGAACATTCATGCAGGCTTATCCTGCTTTTTCAAACTCGTGTGGTATCCTGGCACTGAGCTCGCATCCTGTGTGTATTGGCATCGTCACCATCACCGCGGAGCTCGTGGGTTCAGCTTGTTCCGCTGGTTCACGGCCACACCGAAGGTTGGGCCTGGCTTGGGAGCGGACTGTTGAGACGAGCCTGGGTGAGCGTTGGCGCTTGGATTGGGCGTCGGAAGGGAGATGGGGTTGCGCGCAGTGCTTGCAGTGAACGCGGCGGCGAGCTGAGACGGCGCGTTCGCCTGAGAGAGCGCGAGCTGTCGGGAGGTGGTGGAGGGGTTGGAAACACCGTTCGCAGTGGATATGGTGTTGAGCTGAGATGATGCGTTGTTTTGAGAAGGGATAATTAGCCCCGAGAAGGGAGGCAGCTTGGGAGCGCTGGTTGGAGCGGGCGCGGCGTTCTTCTGAGCCGGTGCGTTCGTTGAGGGGACGTTGTTGGTGACGTTGGTGTTTGAAGGTGGCCCTACATTGGAGGCTTGGTTGACGTTTGGCGCAACCTTCACCTCCTCAACGCCCCCCATCTTAGTGTCCACTGGCTCAGGCATGACCGTGTAATCATACTCCATCATCATCTCGAGGTGAGAGAGGGGAATATGTTGTTTGAAGAGATGGACGATCCCCGGGAATCGGTCTCGCAGCTGGGTGTCGTTGCCAATCTGGCGGGCGCGGTCGATGGTGGTATCGGTGAGGTTGAGGACGTATGGCTGGCCACTGAAGAGAACGTGATAGAGGTGATGAGCCTCCATCTGGACGAGAGACGTCTCGAGCGCAATGCGCATAAAGTTGACGTATCGAGCACCCTCCGTCTGCACCCAACTGACAACTTCACGATGAACCGCAGGCTCGAAGAACGCGAGGACCCAGCCGTTCATCATAACAATTGCCTCGAGCAAGCTGGCCTCGCTGATGTACACTTTCGAGCGCCCACCGTGGAAAAGGAAGAGGTAAATAGCCAGCTTGCTATGAGCGCTGATCGTGCTCCCCCTCATGCACGACATGAACATGAGGTAAGTCGTCTCATCTTTGAAAACTCTTGGATAGATACAGGTGATCTTTGGCAAGGCCAGCATCTCGTAATCGATGGGACGTCCTGTGAAATAGTCGAGTGGGGGAGATGCAGCCTTTGTTGAGGCTTCATCGACAGGATTAGAGCCAAGCGTGGAAGGTGCTTGTGGTGGTTGGACAGGTGGTGAGACCTCTCCGGGTTCTGAGGCTGGCATAGGAGTCGGATCCATGGCCGCCTCCTTACCCTTCTCAACTTCGCCTGGAGCAGGTGACTGTACGCGGACTTCAGTGCTGGCGACGGGCTCACCAGAGCTGATGACCTCGACTCGTTGCACTGGGGTCTTCGGAGGCTTCTGTGACGGCGTCTCCGGCAGTCGAGACGAGCCATGACGTGGAGGGTCCGGCTGATAGACCGAGTTTGATGTCGGAGATTGTCTCTGCTGAGGCTGGATCTGCGTCTTGTGGAGCGTTGGGTGTCGCGGCTTCGACTTCACAGTACCGTCCACCGTGCGCTTGTTGGTAGGTCGACGAATTGCATCCACCTTCTCAGCCACGTCCTCCTCACTAGCGACTGCCTCGGGCGCAGGGTCCTTGAGAAGACCGGCAACGAGTGCGAAACACTGCTTCACGAACTGCCGAGACAAGCCAGCAGGATTGTCTAATGCGGCGCTGACAGTGGCAGAGACCGAGTCGCGGGCGTTGATCAACTTTTCCCTCAAGCTCATCAAGAAGGAGTCCTCTGCTTGGTGTTGGAGATGTTCGCTCTTGGCGTTATCGTCGAAAGCACCTTCGTCGTGCTTGTTGTCAGGAGCGGTCTTGAGGCGCTTGGCGGGGATGGGTTCTGGATAAGTGCCAGGCATCGTCGACTTGAAGACGAATGGCTCCGACTTGGTATACGAGGTGAAGTCGAGTAGAGGCACGGAGCGTGTCGTAGCACCCTTGGAAGTGGCGCTGCTGTCGTCGTGCTCGCTGGCTTGATATGGGTCCTGATTGTCAGGTTGCTGAGCCGATGTGTCGATACGTGAGCCTGTGGGCGAGAGCAAGTCTTGCTGTGCTTGGGCGGCTGCTCTCCTCTCCTTGTTCGCTTGCTTGTGCTTCAAGTTCTTCGCCTGCTTTGCTTTGGAGCCATCCTTTCGGTGCGTCTGATGTGTGGCGCGCGAATTTGACTCCTTTGGTGTCTCAGAGGGTTGGAATAGTCGAGGCAGGTCGACGTCGGTAGGAAGGCTAGGTGTAGTCATATGTTTACAGGGCCAGAAGTGATGTTGTTCGGAGTGTCGTCGATAGTTGACTGCATGTCGTGCAATTGCGACAGCGGTATCACCATGATTTTCGACAGCTTCGAGTGTGTCGCAGCTTGATGGTGAAGACTGTCGCAGCGGAGAAGTCGAGGGCGAAGGCCTTCCAATGCGAAGGACGTGCAGCGGGTGCTTAGCGCAAGGTTAGTCTGAGCTCGGACTTCCGCCCTCCCGCCTCTCAGCTACTTAAGCCCGCCCGTCGCCTGCATCTTTCTGCTCTTCTCTTCTCTCTTCCAAGTTGGCCGATCACTGGTCAGGAGAGCGGTCTGTGGCGAAATAGCCTGGCCTGCGGGTCAGTGCGAAATAGCTCCGTGAGGGTTGTGCAAACTTGTTTGCATAACGCGGCGTGGGGTCGGTCGGAGTTGAGTTGCGCTACCATATCTGCAGGCTATTGCGATATCGTCAGCAAGAAGCAACTGCTTGGCTTCATACGCCGTAAAGCTCTGACCGAGTAGTGATGTTTGGTCTAATCACCTGATCTGTCCGAGAGCCAAAGACCGAGCAATTTGGGAGATGCATCGCTCGATAGCCTGAGAGTGCAGGCAGGTATGTCTTCCCTGACGAGAACATCTAACCTCGAGCTCACAGCAGCGAACATGCGGCCCTGCCCTCTGCTATGGCCGCTATGGCCGCAAAGCAGAGGGCAGGGCCGCTTGGTAAGTCCTCCACCACAACTGCAAGCAAGAAGTTCAGTAACAAGCAACGTATTGAGGGTGAGACCGTCAGTGGGTGGTGCCGAGTCATGGTGGGCGGACATGGCTCAAGCATGCCTTTTTTTTCATCAAGACCTTGGTAATGGTGCCAAAGGTTGGAGAAGAAATACGTCTCGGCAATGACCGCTAAATGCCAATGGCTTCCAGCTGCACGTCGCAGAATCGCTATCACAGAGAGCATCTCGATATCGACGCGTGCTCGTATCAATGGTGGCCTGTTGATCCATGTCGGCGTGAATCCGTAACAATTGCCATGTTGACACATCTCCACGTCCAAGCCGGTGCGCGCTCCTGTCAGCCATGGACGCGATGCTATACCGGCGCGCATCCAAATATCTGCTCGGGCTTCTCAACAATGCCGACACGCGTATCCCAATGCCAACCTCCATGGCCAATCTCGCCGCGTAACCTGTCTCTTGTGTCTCCATCTCGAACTCAGGGGATCTCGACGAGAGGAGAGCTGGCCATACAGATTGTTGCAGCGCAAACGATTGTATTCAAGGTGTGATGCTGGCGGACGGTCTGTTGCGGTGCGAAGGTGAAAGAGACGGCGACATGAGGTGACGTGAGGTGAAAGACCTGACCAGCCGTTTTGGGACGAGAAAAGCGGGGCCTCCCTTTCTCACTGCCAGCTTGCTTTCAGCCTCCCCATACTCCTGCTACTCCTCCCAGACAAAAACATATAATTGTCCAATGTATGCTGTAAAATACCACTCTGGGTGATCTGAGGCTGTGCAGACTTCCAATATGACAAGCACCGCAACAGGCAAGTTTTCACGACGGCCGGTAAGAAGGACTGGAAGCGTACCGCGCAGAGCGGACATCTTCGACTTCTTCCAGTTGTCAAGCTTGAGATGATGATCTCAACGGAATATGGTAAAGTCCCAAACCTTAATAAAGCAGGCATCTGATCTACAGTAGTTCCTCTTCGGAAAATACTGCGAGAAACGCCTGCCTCCCGATCAGCGACCAAGCCGCACCGCCATCAGCTTGTTGAACCCAGTCAGACGCAGGCACCAAGTCCAAAGGCTTGAGCCCAAGATCCGCAAATGGGAAATGGTGTGTTGTACAGCAGCAAATCCGCCTCTTTGTGCTCCCAATGTTCCGGACTTTAGCCTACTTCAGCTCGTCTAGCAAAAACTCGCGCCATCCCAGGATGTCCACAGCACGCCTGGCCCTAACGTGTGTTGGCCTGCAACGAGCCGCCATCTGGTGCTGTTCGGGATTGGATAAGGTTGACATTTTGCTGCACATGGCCCGGCGAAGGATTCCTTGGTGGTCCCACAGCCATGGGAAGTGAAGACGGCTGGCTCCATGGGGTTGCTCACAATATTTCAGGTATGCCGCGTGGCCGGGAGTAGATTGTTTTCAGCTTTGGCTCAAGCCAACGCTCCCTGTGGAATCGTTCGACTCAGAAAAGAAGCCGCTTGTGGCTCCTCTACAGGTTGGGGTCGTACACCTTTCCATCGTTGTCTTCAGCGTGTGCGCAAGTTCTCATGGCGTGGCCAACGTTTCGAATGAGATGGCTGATCGCTTGCATACTTTTCTCGGTCTCTGTCAGAAGCGCACAAAATGGCAAGTGAGAGTCTCTCGTCCTTGACACTTCGCTGACTGATCTGGCAGACACATTGAATGGGACATCAATCTATAAGCTCGCGATCGGTACCGGAAGTTCTAGCAGAACCACATCACTTATTGAACCCAGTGCTTCGCAAGTCGACGTCGTGGACTCTCTGTCTTCAGAGCGTACGGTGTCGCAGACTTCGTCTCCCATCACCTCCTCGGGCCCCTCTGCCGGCGCCCGAAGCTCATCTCGCAACTCAACAAGCACATCGTCAATCACTCAAGATTTTTGGCGCGGGTTTGCTCAGACAGGGACTGGACTGCTCTCATTCAATGCCACCAAGGCAACGGCGTCGAAGGAATCTACCTCGTACATTACGGACGTTGTCTACGTAACCAGAACAACCAGTATCCCGACCTCGAATAGCAGCAATGCGACAAGCACTGGCAGCCCGAATGCCACCATAACCACAGCGCCGTGGAGCAACTTGACGACTACTCTCCCGGCTGGAATTGGCACCCTCGGCAATGCAACTTTTCATTCGAGTTGTGCCTACTCTGACACGGCCTGCTACTCTACTTGCAGTGTCAACTTCGACTCCTGTTCATCCTCCTGGGGCCAGTATTCTGTGCTATATCAGTCATGGCTTGCAAGCGCGAGCTCCGAAGGCTTGGTCTCTGTGTCGCCCACTTCGAGCACCACCATATCCTACATCTACACACTGACTTCGTACCTTGAAGTAAGTAACAACAATCCTGAACAGGGAGAAGCCGAAGCGGGCTAATATGCTCGAAGACCACCATTTCAACAGCGACCAGCATCTTCTACACCCCTACAACCTACACCGCGATAACCAGCCAGGCGAGATCGGAATGCCAATATGTCACACAGACCTTCACATCGCCCTATACAGTAACAATGGCCACAAACAACTGCTCGGACGATGAAATGTATAGCACGTTCACCACAACAGTCGTCTCAACTGCCACTGGGCTCTATGGAGAGAACGATGGTTTCTTTACGTACGCCACCGCTACTGTGGGCGTGTACACAACATCGACTCGCACCGTCGTTTCGAATTATTATACGACAATGGCACCTTCATTCTCTATCGCCGCTCCTCAATGCCAGTCCGCAGGTTGTGTACAAGAGGCACAATATGGGTGCCGAGATGATGCGTGGAGCTGTACTGTGGGACCGAATTGTAAGGTTCTTTGAATGACTCTCTACGATACCATACTTATTAATATCGCAGGTAATCTTTGCACCATCTATGGCGGAACAGTGCAGCTACTGTATTGGCCGGTCAGTACCTCTACTCCGGCGGCGAATGGTAGTATCGCCAATACGACCTCGTCGCCCACCATCACAGAAATGTCGACGGCCGTCTACGAAGGCTATACACTGGTTTCACCATCGGTGTACATATCATTTGAGACGGCGTATGCCATGAACGATTGCAACTCAACAATAGGTAAGCAATGTCGAGAGCTGAGTACGCTGGTTCTTCTGACCACTCCTAGGACAAGCACACACCGGTTCAATCATCGGACTCGACCCAGCGGACCTCTCCAGCGCCGTGGGTAATCAGCACTATCTCTCATACAGCCCAGCGTCTGGTAGTGTGTCCGCAGCGTACTCGATGGCAGCAGTGCCCTTCAACCTGAACAATCTCAACTGGCCCTACAACCCCTTCGCTTACCTCAACCAGCCATCTTGCAACACTCGTGGAGGACTGAATTACGACTTCGATTGCGCTGTCATCTTGGAAGATAGCTATAATCCAGTGCTGGTTGTACCAGATGAAATTCGAAGCATGGATCCAGCATGGGCAAGTTGCGCCGTCGACTGGGAGGGTAAGTTTGCAAGTCGCCAGATGACGTGGCTCTATCGCTGACATCTGCAGGTCTCTACGACCCTCCATCTGCGCTTCAACCCGCAACGGCGGCAGCTACAGTCACTCTGCCTCGCCAGGAGTCATCCACCGATCCTGCTTCCACGACCCCTGCGTCTGCGGCAGCCACGCCAACGACTGTAGTCGCGGAGACTTCACCAGCAACATCTGATCGTGTGACTGTTCCAAATACGCCAGCTGCGACTGCTGATGGGCCGACACCAACTCCAGAGGCTGACCAGACCGGAGCAAACGAGTCGAATCCATCTTCCGCCGACCCAGCCCAAGCAGATCCTAGTCCAGGTGCTGCAGCAGATCCTACCACCACCGGTGTGGGTGACTTTGTTGCTAGTTCCATTGGTCTCGTCCCAAGCGCAGCATCTACCGACTCTGCTAATGAGGGCTCCGGAGCTGAGGCAGGTGGGAACGCTCAAACCACGGTAGTGGATAACCAGGGCCCACCCAGCAATGGCTATTCAGATACTGGAAACGACTCCCCGCAGACCAACGATGCAGCTCCCGCACAGACTGATCCGGAGGCAGAGTCTAGTGCTACGCCAGTGAATGATCCCTCGAGCGGCGCAACACAGAACAATGATGGCAGCGGATCCCCTGTAGCCACATTCGTGGAAGGTGGCTCAACACAAGCAGTCACTCAGATCGCTTCAGATGCAGCAATCATTAATGGTAATACCTTGAGCATCGGAGGCTCTGCCACTGTGGTCGCTGGTCAGACAATCAGCCTTGGTTCAGCGGGGCTCGTCGCAGCGAATAGTGAATCTGCCAGCACTATCCAGTTCGCCGACCCTGGTGTCCAAGTGGCTTCTACAGCATCGGCATCAGTTGCTACATTAGTTGCTGGCGGCACGACTTACACAGCGGTGCAGACAGCTGGTGCTGAAAATGCCCTACTGGGTGGCGCTACGCTCACCGAGGGTGGACCTGCCGCTACACTTGGTAATGGAGAGACGGTGAGCCTTGGTCCTGCTGGACTCGTGGTCATCGATGGCGAGGGCACAAGTACCGCTGCTTTCCAGAACGCTCAGGTCACTTCGCAGGCTGCGCAGGAAGCTACCTTCGCCATTGATGGGACTGCTTTCACAGCACAGGCGGAGGCTGGAGCTCAGACTGCTGTAGTAGATGGCCAGAAACTAAGCGTCGGAGGGCCTGCTGTCATCATTGACGACTCGACCATCAGCCTGGGGTCAAACGGACTCATCATCGCCGCAGACGGCACAACATCAACAGCACAGTTCAACGACCTACCGTCGTCTGCCACCCCCATGAACTGGATCTCAGAAGCAGTCATCACCGCAGGCTCCTCGACATTGACAGCTTACGGCATCGCTGGCGAGAGTGGAAAGCTCGTCCTCGACGGGGAGACATTGACAGAAGGAGGCAGCCCCATCACAATCAACGGGGAAGTCTTCTCACTCGGCGAAGATGGCTTGGTGGAGAGTGAGGATGGGACGAAGACGGCCTTGTCGGGAGTAGGTGTGTCTGCGCCTACTACTTCTGCGTCGAAGAGTTCGAAGTCTGCTTCGTCGCGCGAGTCAAGTCTGGTGACGAGTCCGGCTTCGCGGGCTTCTTCAAGCGCGGTGAGGGAGACGGGGAGTAGCACTACGAGCGCTGCTGATGGAGCACGATCACGAACGCTTGGGATGACTTTCGCACTGCTGTTGATCGTGGTGATGATTCTAATGTAGGTAATGTCTGATATGATGAGATAATGCGAAAAACAACTCTACGACTTCGAGAAAGCACTGCCGTGTGTGCCTGGCCAGAATACCGCCTTTGAATAATCTGCCTTGAAGTGAAGTCGAGAAAAGAGGAAACTTATGGCAGGCAGGAGTGGAGCGTCTTCAGCCCTCGCGCCGCTTATGCCCCTGAGCTCTTAGCTACCGCATTTCTGAGGGAGTTCATCCCTGGCAGAGCGACATGCTACTCAAGCACATAGCGCTCACCATGTTCGAGAAACATTAGTAAATGGCTGGAAGATGTGCGTGCATGGACACTGCTGCTCGGCGCCCACAGCAGTATCGCGACAATCTCGCAAGGTGGCGGACAAGTCAAAGCTATCTCCCACGTCTCTCGTGTCGTAAGTACAAGTGCCAGGCTTGTAACGTGCCGCTGTCAATATAAATCGCGAAGGCATTCTTGCCATCCAGTATTGAACCACCGATCCTCTTCAAGGTACACCGATCCTCTTCAAGGTACACCGATCCTCTTCAAGGTACTGATGTCTTGCTGATGGCGTGAATCGCGCGCGTGTGCCAGCCTTCAAAACACGAGACATGCGACAATAGATGCCTTCTAAAATCATAACACTCCCTTACGTAGAAGGAGCAAGGTCTTAGCATGCACAAAAGCCCTCCCAAACTCCACTCGCAAACCCATCTGGCTCCTTCCCAAACCGCACAACCTCGCCTCCCGGCCCAACCCCGGGCGCCCCAAACACCAACCTCTATAATCCCAAAAACCCTCCCATCCAATCAACAAGCAGCAACAACTCTCTATTCGACAGCGGTTGGCATCGATCACCAAAATGTGGTCTGGCGGCGGCAAGGAAAGGCTCGGATGTTCCAAACCCAGATAAGCAACATCGTCGGAGTTTGATGGAGTTTTCTCTTGCCTCGACCCGTGTGAAATCGGGAAAATTAGTGCGCGTGGGATGGTGGGACAACGGCACTGTCTGCGGGGGTGTGGGTTCTCTTTTTTGGAGGGGTTTAAGGGGGTGAGGGTGGGAGTTTGGTTGGAGGTGGTTGGGATTGTTCGTTTGGCTGTCAATTGTTCTTTCTTGTTGACGTTGCTGTGATGTGATCTCAAGTATGTTGAGACGTGAGCCCGTTCGAAACTCCCTCTTTGGCGTCTGTATTGCGATGCGAAGCTCTTAAGTGGAGAATCATGGAAAATGGACAAGAGAAATTTGGAAGCGCTTTCGACGTCTCTTTTGCTACGCGATCTGGAGTTTGACTTTCGAAGACCTTGCAGGCAACTTGCTGCGACGCGAAGCCGTTCGAGCAGACCGATAACGTTTGCACAACTGCAAAGCTGCTTAGACATTGGCATGGCGTGTATGATGTCCACATGTATCGATGAAAGTGCAAAGGAGTACCAAATGCGACATGCGCTTCAATTCCAAGAGGAAGAAGTCGCAGTGTGGTGTGCGCCAAGATTCACGTGCAAGATGCGACGAACGCGTCTGCTACTTTCCCCCCTCATCGTTGCCAGTGGAATGCTGACTGTTCTACAGCTTTTGCAATTGATCGATATCATAGTCTGATATGGCCTTTCTCCAGGCACCTTACGGTTTCGGAAATCGTGAGTCATTAACAGAGAATGACAAAGAAAGTTGTGAAATGTCTTTGTTCGGAAATGGAAAAATCCGAATGCGCAATTCGATTGTCTGTAGACGATAGGCATTCTTTGAACATTCTGGCAGACGCGCGAAGTTGAATAACCGCTAGGCACCTAGATCTATTGGGAGCAAACACTCGACAGGCTGTATATTAGAAGCACCCAAGCCTTCCCATAAGATCAAGTACGACCAGGCTCTATCACCTCCACTCTTCTTTCATTGCATTGCCCGTCGAGCATGGCGAGCGCCACAAGTCCCGAGAAGATGATGTTCGGTTAGCCGATCCCGGCCCCAAAGCTTGATTTCATTCACTCGCTCGCGTTCACATGACGCCAAGTCAAGCTTAAGCGAGATGAGTCACTCGGGAGGATGGGCGCCATGGAAACCGTCGCACAACACTTATACACCCTTCCAGCGACAAGTTTTATACACACACTCGCCAGTCATCAACCAAACGACATTCCCGCCTCGACTCTGCTGCCACATCTTCTGAACACAGCGCCGACGACAAGATAGACCGAGAACCAGAATCGCGTCTTGTCCGATCGTCCAGTCTCGAAGTCCTCTTCCCGCCTCTCCAATCCTCGACTTCATCCTCACCCATCGCCAATACCTTCAAACGCGACAATCATCATGGCGACTCCTCAAACCACCAAGAAAGTCCCCAAGGACTTCTTTTCCCTCTCACCAGAACTCCGCAACATGGTATACCGGCTCGTCCTCGAGGACGACAAGAAAGACATTCCCGGTGACAACCGCGCAGCAGTCATGGATGAAGAAGACCACTTCTCCGTGGACTGGCGCAGCCTGAAGCAGACCAAGCTTCCCGCAATCTGCCAAGTCCACAGCCAAGTCAAACACGAGGCCCTCGGTCTGCTCTTCTCCGACTACCTCCCAGCAATGAACGTGTTTCGGTTTGGTGGAGGGAGTACGACTTTGACTGCTTCACGTCGTGGTTGGATCTCTTCGGCAAGAGTATCGTGCCTCACTTGCGGTACTGCCTGATGAACACCGGCACCTCGAGGATTGCTGTCGTGTTTGATGGGACCACGACGAGGTCGAAGTCGTTCAGAGAGAGGAGGTCCACGCAAAGAGCGCAAGTGTGGATGGGGTCGCCGTTGCAATCACACATATCCATGGCCAAGTGGTGGGCGAGAATGTCGCTGCCTGGGTCGAGTACGCAGCTGTGGAGATTCTCGCCAAGCTGGAAGAGCTTCTCCCAAACCCTGACCACCGCCGCCTGTCCGTCAAGAAACTTAAGGGATTCGCGAAGTTCTGTGTCAAGAACTTGGAGCGCGGAGACGATGATAGTGATGATGGAGGAGAGAGCGACGAGGAGACCGAGGAAGAGACCGAGGAAGGAGGAGCAGATGAGATGGGAACATAAAGGAGGTTTGTAGGAAGAGAACTCCTTCCGGCTTCTGGTCCGCGCTGCCTCTCCGCTCAGAGTTTGAAGTGCTTCGCCAGGTTCTGCGTGAAGAAGTTGCAGCGGGGAGATGATGACAGCGATGGTGGAGAGGAGGAGAGTGGCGAGGAGAGCGGGGCGGACAGTGAGGAAGACATATAGGAGGAGAGCGAGGAAGAAAATAGTGAGGGCGAGGAGGACTGAGCGCATAGTATAGGCGTTGTCTGCTGTAGATCTTCGCAAACTGGAAGCAGTCCTTCCGAGATCTGATCACCCGCGTCTCTCCATCAAGAACCTGAAGCGCTTGGCGAGGATCTGTGTGAAGAAATTGGAGCGTGGAGATGATGACAGTGGAGATGGATAGGAGGGAGGCGAGGAGGAGAGCAACGAGGAAGAAGAGAGCAGCGACGAAGAGTCGGAGGAAGCAGGGATAGTACAAAATCAAAACCTCACCGGAGGTGGTCACCAGTTCATTGATGTGGAATGGGAGCGCTTCTTCTCCACGTTGACCCATATTCGTACAGTCTTCAAACCAATTACATCCATCCACGGTATCATGACTCTCCCCTCGTTTCAGAAAAGAAAAATCCTCTCCGCAACATCCTTAAACATATCCCACCACGTCGCACGCATCATCCCCCTATCCCACGTAACCTTCAAGAAATCCAACATAACAGGCAAGTTCCCAAAAGAAAGATACGACACCGTCGGATCCAGCGCCAGAGAGATCGCCCGACGGTCCTGAGGGTAGATGCAATGGGCTCCGATGACCAGCATGGGTAGGATTGTACAGTGTGCGAGCATGCCTGGGAGAACACCGCCGACGACTTTAGCGACACCGGCTCGTACACCGATCTGCACGTCTCCGTCGTCGACGGGACGCATGCGCAGGGCGCGGTGGTAGTAGATGATGCCGGCGATTTCGTAAAGGGAGCAGAAGTGCGCCCATTCGGTGAGGTGGACATCGAGAGAGGGAGGTGGGGAGCAAGCGGGTGGTTGGAGCATGGATTCGATCGGGGAGAGACACCTCTGGACCAGGATCACGCCATCTTCGTCAGGGAGATGTGTTTTGATGATATTGCCGAGGGCGGCCATCTCAGCGTGGGCTTTGAGTAGAATCAAGAAGCGGTCGTCGTGCTTGAGACGACCAAACCATGCTGTCACGCCGGCGAACATGGGCCAGATGTTTGATTCGAAGAAGGGTTTGTCGCCGCTTAGTAGAGCGTGTACGAGATCCATCGTGGCGAAGACGGAGATGAGATGTCCATTCAGACCGCCGTCCGTCAGCATATTGGCGGCCGTCTTGGTCCAGCGCTTGAGCATGGCGAAACCACCGTTGAGATGGAATCGAGCGGCATCAGGATCATTGGTGGGCTCGATCATCCCGTCGAGGATGCCGAGGAGGACATTGATGCTGAAGAGCTCCTGAACTGTCTTGCGGGAACATGCTCCTTCTTGCAGACTTTGGCGAAAGCTGGCTATGGCGGCGTGTCGAGTTCTGCTTCGGACTAGGGCTGTGCTTTGCGGGTCTTCTTTCGAGAGCAGAGAGTAGTGTGCCCTTGAGACCGCTGAAATGGCTCTTTGGAAAGTCGGATTGCTCAGTAGCTTTGTAAGGTCGGCTGACAGTTGGTCGTCGCTCAACTGGAATCGCGGTAACACTGCATTCTGGAAATACCCGGCGAGGCCGGCATCGTCGAGGGCAGGCGTGGACGGTGAGGGTGATAAAGTGAGCTCTCTTTTCGGCGTCTTAATAAGAGACCGCGTAGGGCTGTGGTCGAATGATGGACCAGACACAAGATCGGCGTTCGTATTGCCTACATGGGAAAGTTCGGGTGAATGCTGATGGCCGTAGGACGCCGTCGCCGCCCGCCGGCCTCGTAGGGAACTCCCACCAACCCATCGAACGGGCTGCGACCCATAAACGCACTGTTGTCCACTGCCCATGCACCGCGAGCACGCCGGTCTCCCCAAATCACACTTCACCCGTCTCTTGCGACAAGGCCAGCAGGATCCCTCGATGATGCGGCTTCTCGGGGCAGAGCTTGCCATTGGTCCTGGCGACTTCCCTCTTGGGTCATGGTCTTGACTGGTGCGTTTCGTATACTCGGTGTGTCGTGGATGTCAGAGGGACCCTTTGACGCCATTGACAAGGAAGATTCGAGCACATTTCCAGATGTTCGGTAGTTGGGCCAAGGTGTGTTGACCCGCATTTCACTGGAAGCGGCATAGCGTATGTTCGGACTGGGGGCCCTGGTGCGGAGAAGGCTTGTTAGAATGCTTGTGCTTCGTTAAAGTGTACTTACCATGTAGGTGTTGTGATGAAAGAAACATTATTGCGATTGATCGGTGGTGGAGTCTGAGGTATTCCCTACAAGTAGCGCATCCTCTTGCCGTACCGAAGATCATCTCGAAGCCGCAGTACTTGATCTCGCGAACTCGACTGTAGAAAGGAGTCTGGAGAAGGAACTGAGCAGCAGTGGCGATGTTCGTCGGATTACAACCTATCCATCGCTCTCGATATCTGATCGTCTCGACCGCTCACCTACTCGCCTCCTTGAATGTCGTCTCGCTGCAGCCCAGTAGACACATTCTCTCGCAAGATCGTCATTCCTTATCATCGAGTTATGCGTCGAAGTCATACGTCGCAATAGCTCCACACAAGGGCTGTTATTACTTCCACCACCTGGCACGAGCTGAGGTGAAGAAATTGTAGATGGCAATGGTTGCGCACTGTTCCTGTTGGAGGACGTGTTCGCGGCTGAAATCCTTCCGCTGCCTTGCATTTTTGCTTGAAGATAGAGTTCGATGTGTCAGCCCTTGGTGAGAAGTTCAATCGATAGCGTATACCGAATGTGTGTCGTGGGCCTTAATAATTAGCTGAGTTTCTTGTGGCGACAGTGGTTCCCTTCTTTTGTCGCGCTTATCATGGTTGATTATTGGAGCTCGCGGCAGCTTTGACTGTTGCGGGTTAGTGTTCATCAGTGTTCAAAGACCAAACCCTGCCTGCACCTCTTCATCAAAGTGCATTGCTGAATATTGCACATTCGTATTCACACGTACCACACCATTCAACACTTCCCATGCCCTCCGTGGCACAAAAGTCAGATCTGCTGACAAAGGATCTTGTTCCTTCACTTATCGGCCCTACACCTACTGAATTACCAGGGCGGGTATAGTGTGCCGAATCCTTTGAGATCCTAGCGGTTGTGGTCTCTCCGGGCCCGATGGCAAGATGTAAGACGGACGCCACTTGCGCGGTTTGATATCTTGATCGCATCCGTCGCTTTTCTCTTCCGTACACTATCTTTCCGCCATTTTGAGTCTGCAATGCCGCTCAAAGTCATCGTGGTCGGCGCCGGGATTGCCGGTCTGTCAGCGGCGATTGGACTCGCAAAGAAAGGCCTTAAAGTCGAAGTGTACGAGAGGAGAGTAATAGGTGCAAGAGATGAAGGGCGAGCTGGTATCGCGCTGGGTCCGAACTGTGACAGGGTACTGCAGGAATGGGGCATGTTAGAGGGCATGCCATCGATATCACACGACTCTGAAAAAGTCAGCCTGGGAACAAACTCGGACGGAAGCATTGTTCTTGTTGATATCAAACGGAGGGGTCACAGTTGGTGGGGGCAGAGACAAGCATTCAAAGAGTACTTCCGCGACCATGCCATCAAAGCTGGGGCGAAAGTCTCTGACGGAGCAAGGATGGTGAAGGTCGACCTGGAGAAGCCTAGCATCACGCTGGATGACGGTCGAGAAGTACAAGGCGACTTCATCGTCGCTGCAGACGGAGCCAATTCGAGGATTCGCCAGACGCTGTTCCCAGAGTTCAAGCCGATGATACGGGAACAGGCGACGTTCCAGGTGATGCTGCCGCTTGAGCAAGTTGAGAAAGACAAAGTGTTGCGGACGTTGAAGCTGGACAAGTACGTCAACATAGTGGTCAGCCCTGGGCGCAGCATTTTCATGGCTCCTACACCACATCAGCACGTATTCGATTTGCAGTTCACAGATCACGAGTTTCCATTCTCGGAAGATCCTCATCCAGACAAGACCAACGAGACGTTGACCGATCTGACGTGGATGAAGCAGCGCTGGCACGACTTTGGCCCAGCGGTGAGGAAAGCGCTCGACAGCGCAAATTCGGCCTTCAAGTGGCGGTTCACAGAAGTAATGGGCGTCCCACGCTGGTCGAGTCCGAACGGAAAAGTCGTTCTCGTGGGAGACTCAGTCCATGCACAAACCCCGTTCGCCGGCCAAGGGAGCGCAATGGGCATGGAAAGCGGTGCGCTCCTTGCTGAGCTCATCGCCCACAGCCAACCCGGTGATGATCTATCGCCTCAGCTGGCCATCTTCGAGAAGATTCGCAGACCACGATGCGAGCTCGCGCAGGAGCTATCACTGATCAGCGGAGACATCTGGGCGATCCATGATGAGAAGGCGATCAAGACCAGAAACGAGATGTGGCGCCATGCGAATGATCCTGGCTATGAGGAGGTCAAGCCGGATATGAAGGCCAAGTTTGGTAGTCCGCAGTTCACCAAGTGGATGGACAAGTACGATGTCTTCCAAGTAGCCAGGGATGAGTTGAACAGGGCCAGATTGTAATGTGGTGGTAAAGCGTATAGAAAAAAGATTAGGATACATGTATAGACAGCGGCTAGGGACGATTCCAACAATATGAACAACGCACTGTTGTCTTCTACTTGCGGGTCTAAAGGGAGCCTGTTAACGGTCTGGTTGGAAATTGATGATGTTTTGATGGAAGAAATGGAGACGCGAATGTTTATTGCTTGGCAAGTTGATGAGTAAAGCAAAATACGCGATTAGATCATGTGACTTCACCTCACCGTCGCGTTCCAGGCTGGATGCAATTCTCCTATCCTCATATCCTCGAACGACTTCTGCCATCCGTGAGCTGACACAAGACATGGACGTACTATGCCTCATGGCTGCAGACAATACTCGCCGCGCCCGCCAGCCGCATATCGATGTCGACAAGGCTGTGACTCCCACATCGTACGCAGCGACCTCGAGCGGTCGAGGACTTGCAAGAGGAATATGTGGTCTTGGTCTAAGAGCTATATGGTGGTGACTGTGGACGATTATTGGCATGGTCGCTGCATCTGCGGGACGCTCGCCTGAGAAGAGCCGTACGAGCAGGCCGGCGATGTAAGAGATGGTCCGAAAGCCTTCAGGCGGCCACCAAGCCATTGAGAAAGATGATGATATCCGCTGGGATGCCTTAGACAGAGCCTCTGTTGAACTGCTCTGGCGGCGCTGGTACATGATTACAAAGATAAGTACTGCGTTGCAACGCACTGATGCTGCAAGAGGCATCAGACAGCAACAGGTAAGAGCGCACGTTTCCTCACAGGTCCACGGTCCCACGTCAAAGGCTGTCCTACATCGGCCAGACGAGGTTCTATGGGCCAGCGACTGTATTTGCATGTTGAAGAGAAGGCTATGAGGCCTGGATTCGCAGTGCGGCCGGGAGAGCAGTGTTTCGCAGCGGAAACGTCAAGAAACCCGAGTTTTCACATCATTCTCGCCTCGCAGCCTTCGTATTCGGCCGCTCGACGGTGGAACAAGGAAGCAAGTGTCAGGAGAGTGTCCGACAAGAGGGTAATGCTTATCCAAGAGTGCGCTGCCATTGGCTGAGGGTGGCCATCAGGGTGCTCCCATCCAGGTTGCTCACTTTGAACTCACACTCGTATATTTTGGGGCAAAACGCACACAGAAGACTGCAATTTCGCTCAAGAATCTTGTCGACACTGTTGCAGAAACACCATGGCTAAAGCAAAGACTTCCTCGAAGCCAAACGGCGCAGCAAAGATCAAATCGGCGGCTGCGAAGAAGGAGAAACCGGTTCCTGTCAAGGCATTGCCTGTTACTCTCCTGTCGGGCTTCTTGGGCAGTGGAAAGACCACTCTCTTGCAGGTGAGAATGTTGGCAAGATATATCAAGAATCACACCTGACATCTGAGCCAGCACATCCTCCGAAGCGAGCATGGCCTGCGGATAGCCGTGATCGTGAATGACATTGGCGCGTGAGTATTTTTCACTTCCAACACTTAATCGCTGCGCTGACCGCCTTGCAGAGTCAATGTGGACGCTAATCTCATTCGCAACACCCACCGCCTGACCAAGACAGAGGAGAAGGTCGTTGCGCTCCAAAATGGCTGCATCTGCTGCACTCTACGTGGAGACTTGCTTGAAGAATTGGTCCGCCTGGCTGAGCTTGCTGAGTTTGACTACATCATTGTCGAATCATCTGGTATCTCAGAGCCTGAACAAGTTGCCGAGACATTCGACTCCCGTCTTGCAGAGCAAATCAGCCAAATGGGTGAAGGCCCCGAGGGTCTTGATGAAAGCACTCTCGCCACTCTCAAGAGACTCAAAGAGGCTGGTGGTCTCGAGAAGTTCGCCAAGCTGGACACGACAGCTACCGTAATCGATGCTTTCACCATGTTTCATGACTTTGAGACTACTGACCTCCTCTCTTCTCGTCGAGACGATGTGACGCCCGAGGATGAGCGAACGGTCTCTGACCTCATGGTCGACCAGATCGAGTTTGCCGATGTCATCCTCTTGAACAAGATCGACCGGATCAGTGTGGCCGATAGAGGACGGGTGCGAGACCTGATCAAGAAGCTCAATCACCGGGCCAAGGTGATCGAGTGCAGCTACGGCAAGATCGAAGTCCGTGAAATCGTCAACACAGGCATGTTCAATCTTGAAGTTGCTCAGACTGGGTACGGTTGGTTGCAAGACTTGCATGCCATGACTGTGCGAGAAGTAAACGGCAGGAAGATGGTCACACCAAAGCCAGAGACTGAAGAGTGAGTACCTAATCACAATTCATTCCTTGTTACATGCTAACAGACCAGGTACAACGTACGAAACTTCGTATATGTTCGCAGACGGCCTTTCAACCCTCGACGACTGTTCCAGCTCTTGCATGACAAGTTCATCCTGCAGCATCCTCTCGCAGAAATGGAGGAGGAAGAAGTCGATGGCGAAGACGAAGACATGGAGGATGCAGATGAAGAGGAAGAAGAGGACGAAGACGATGCGGAGATGGAAGACGCACCCGAGATTCCCGACGATGCCACCATCCTCGCCAACAAGAAGGTTCACCCACTGTTCGCCAAACTTTTCCGTTCAAAAGGCGAGTACTGGCTCGCTACACGGCCAGGCCGGGCTGGTGAGTGGAGTCAAGCAGGTGCAATGCTTACGCTTTCTGGCGGAAGGCCTTGGTTCTGCACCATTGACCGCTCTGAATGGGAGACTGGCAACGCAGAGATTGACGCGATGGTCGAGCACGATATCAAAGCTGGCGGCACTTGGGGCGATCGCCGCCAAGAGCTCGTCTTCATTGGCGAGAAGCTGGACGTCGCAGCTATCGAGGCCGTTCTAGACGAATGCCTCCTCACGGACGACGAGTTCGAGCAATGGAAAGCAATCATGATGGGAGGCGCGGGCCCTAATGCAGGCGAGAAGGAGGAGAAAGAAGCCAAGGAAGAAGAGCTCGCACAGCTGTTTGACGATGGCTTCCCAGACTGGGACGACCCGGACGAGGAGCACGACGAGGATGAAATGGACCATGACCTGCACCGACATGATTCACATCACGGCCACTCGCATTCGCACGCCAAGACGAATGGCAAGGCGAAGCATGGTGTGAAGAAGGATGGGACTGTGTACTAGGGCGAGATGCAGTGGATATTCAGCCGCTTAGGTGAGAAATAGACAAGATACATGATGCAAACCAGGACCTGCTCACCGCAATTCACGTTAGGCCTCAACCGCTGCGAAGATTGCAAACAACCAGAGAAGCCTACCACTCTTGTTCTTATCACGACAACCATTTCAATGCAGTGGAACAGTCTCCAATGCTGCATGAAACGTCGGCCTCTTGTCACTGACCTTTTTCCGAATTCGTCTGACCTTTGACGAGTAGAAATGCGACGTCGGGGCAGACTGTGGCGGCGCGAGCCGTGCAGGATGCGATTGTACCCACCCGCTGGTTAGGTCGTCCAGGTATATTTATGTTTCTAACATTCGAAGACTTTTCGTTGCGTTGTGTCCCTAAAGTTGCTCACGACAATCCTTCAAGTCCACAGAAAGAGCAAGACAAACGAAAAGATGACCCAACTCACAGGCTCACCAGCAGACCAAGATCCCTCCTCACTCAAAGACAGCATGCAAGGCTCTTGCCTTTGCGGAAGTATCACAGTCAAAGTCACACTCCCAGGCCTCTTCGACAACCCCATCGGCCACATCTGCCACTGCTACAACTGCCGCCAATCCAGCGGCGCCTCTGGCATGAACATCCTCACAGTCCCCACACCAAACCTCACCTACACCGACTCGAAAAACTACCTCAAAACCTACAACGACACCAACACTGGCAGCGGCAACACGGTCGCGAGATCCTTTTGCTCAAACTGCGGCAGTACGATCGGATGTCTGCCTGTGCTTTCAGCGCCGCAATTGTCGATGGTGGCGTTGGGACTGTTTCCCAGGATTCCTGTGCCGGAGTTTGAGGTTTTCACGAAGCATCGGCAGAGTTGGTTGAAGCCTGCTGCGAGGGAGGAGGATCAGTGTGATTTTGCGGAGGAGTTTCCCAAGTATGTTGGGAAGTATTTGCAGTAGTGGGCGGCAAGGGAAGAGAAGTTGGTGGGTGTCATGGGAGATGTTTGGTATGTGTGGCTGCTCCGTCACATTTGGAAGAGAACACTGGCGTTGACGAATGCTCAAGCCAGGTTGACGGTCTTGTGAGTCGAGATCTTTGTCGAGAGAACAAGTGGCGTTGACTGATCAAGAAGCAAGCAAGGGATGGTTCTTTGTCTCACACCTTTTGTGAAGAGCACATTTTCCGTACAGTCACAAATCGCTGGCAAGTGATCTTGTGTTGCAGACACGAGTCTTTTGTATCAACCCCCTCTGCAAAGTACCTTGCTCTGCAATGCACCATTTGGGCACGAAAGCCGATGTCTGGTGCCAGACAAGCTCACGCCAGGTTTGCTTTCCAGGTTGCAGTCTCCGCGCGGTCAACTGCAAGGCTTCACAAGGAAAATCCATCGTCTAGACGAATCGGAAAAAACGATCTAGACGGCAGTTATTGTTTGCTACGGCAACGAGCCGATCAAGCTCAATGATTGCCGTCCGAACCGTTGAAGCGACCCAAACTTCTCCACGCCTACCACGAGGCTATAACATGGAACCTGACGCCATCACTAACGGCTCGCAGCAGCAGAGCACGAGGTCCACACTGCACAGATGAGAAACGGTCACACCCAGTGGGGAGCAGCCTCCAAGTCCCACGGCTAGACTGACGATCACACAGCAACCACACCTCACGACCTCTACTCGAGCTGTTGGGGTCGCACACGACGACCGTCACACCCGCGGTTTGAATCTGCGACAATGCCCTTTGTTCCCGCTGTCGCTCCTGTCTGCGTTTGCGCTACATCCGCTCTCCCTTGGTGTACAGCCTGGAGAAGTGGCGGCTTTGCTATGCAAAATCTGGTAAGACCTTTTTGGGCGTGAGTAAAAGTGAGGAATGTGGGTTCTGGTCGAACGGGCAACTTGGGTGTAAAAAGGCCTCGACCCCGAATCTCTTCGCATTTCTCTCTCTTTTCTGATCTCGACGCTTGCGAGTTGCAATCTCTCACAACACTACCCTCCATTGCTACCTCTCGCTTGTGGTGGTGGAAAGGAAAAGCTACCCCGGACAAGCAGCACAGCTCGTGACAAGATGGCTCACTCACCGAGCATCGTTGGCATCATGACCACCATGCTCACATGCACCTCCGCGTTGCCCTGGTACAATCCATATACATTACGTCCACGACAAGTCCAATCCTACTCCGACACCAACACCACCACCCCCGACCCTTCCAGCAACAGCACAAACACCACAACCGGCATGGCAGCAAGCGGCTACAAGACCGCCCTCTACTTCCCCAACTGGGACATCTACGGCCGGAACTACCAGCCCTCCAACCTTCCCGCAGACAAAATCACCCACGTCCTGTATTCATTTGCTAACGTACGCCCTGAAACAGGAGAGGTCTACCTCAGCGACACCTATGCGGATTTGGAGAAGCACTACGCGAACGACAGCTGGAGCGAGCCCGGGAACAATGCGTATGGCTGTGTGAAGCAGTTGTATATTCTCAAGAAGCAGAATCGACACATGAAGACATTGTTGAGTATCGGCGGGTGGACGTATAGTTCCAATTTCGCGGTGCGTAGCCGTCACACACAATGGTGTTGCACGAGATGATGCAGAATGCTGATCGATCTCTCGTGACAGGCTCCAATGGCGACGGCAGCCGGCCGGACCAAGTTCGCCCAGTCGGCTGTGCAACTCTTGAAGGACGTTGCGTTCGATGGGATCGATATCGATTGGGAGTATCCTGAAGACGCAGGGCAGGCGGAGAACTACGTGCAGCTGCTTCAGGCCGTGCGAGGCGAGCTGGATACCTATGCGGCATCTGTGTCCGGCAACCCGCATTTCCTGCTCACCGTCGCCACAGCTGCCGGGCCGGAAAACTATCAAAAGTTGAAAGTAGCCGATATGGATGCGCAGCTGGATTTCTGGAATTTGATGGCGTACGACTATGCTGGGTCTTGGGATACGAATGCCGGACATCAGGCGAATCTGTATGCGTCGAAGGATAATGACAGCAGTACGCCCTTCAGTACCGACGCTGCTGTCAAGTTCTACCTGAACAACGGCGTCTCGCCTCTGAAGCTCGTCCTGGGTCTCCCGCTCTACGGCCGAGCATTCACCAACACCGACGGCCCAGGCAAACCGTTCTCAGGCGTAGGCGGTGGCTCATGGGAAAATGGTGTATGGGACTACAAAGTCCGTATTTATCAACCCTCTCAAACCCCACAAACACTGACAATAACCTTCGCAGGCCCTCACCGCCGCAGGCGCCCAAGAATTCTTCGACGCCTCCATCGGCGCCTCCTGGTCCTACGACAGCACCGCCCGCACCATGGTCTCGTACGACAACGCGCAAGCCTCCGCCGCCAAACTCGACTACATCAAGAGCAACAAGCTGGCCGGCGCCATGTGGTGGGAAGCGAACGGGGATAAGAACGGCACGGGGAGTTTGATCTCGAGTGTCGTGCAGGGGCTCAAGGCGCTGGATAATAGCGAGAATGTGTTGGATTATCCGGATAGTCAGTATGATAATATCAAGGCGGGGATGCCGGGGGCTTAGAGGGGATGGTTGTATGGATGGGGCTTGGATGTGGTATGAGATTATGAGGGTATGATTTATTAATGAATGGAGGAGTTCATGACGTTCGGATGGGACGAGAGCATGGAGGAGGCGTTTCGAGGGCTGCAATCTGGCAGGCATGAGCATATACCTAATCGCGACAGAAGAAATACCAGATTTGACACTAGCTACGATTCCGACCACATTTCAAGACAGTGACGTCTTCAGCAGCAGCAGCTCTATTTTCTCACCCATAATCTTCCATACATATAATCACATCAACAAACAAGTAACTCTGTCCCAACGCCGACCCTCCGACCCTGTATTACTGACCTGCTGAATAGGGCTATTAGATCAGCCTCACCACGCTTGGGACCCGGGAAACGCTACAAGAAGCGGTGATTTTCTCCAATAAGATAGAATCTTATAAGTCGATTCTTTCGTTGGAGAGGCGATCGATAGGGAACTTGTTGACTTCTCATTTTTGCCACAGGTTCTGTCGAGAGTATGCCGACATCAACGGAGGAATTGCCGACGTACCATTCGAATGAGTCGGCGCCGTATGTGTTGCCCAATGATGCTGCGGAACAAGAGCGTTTGAATCGGCAGCATGATGCTATTGTTGCGATGTTGAAAGGTGAGCTTGAGGATCTTTCCTCTATACATCCGGAAAGGAGAAGCGAGGCTGGCGAGGCTGAGCAGCACAACTTAACTACACCTCGACTCCCATCCTACCATTCTTCACACTGCTAACGAACCAACCACAGACGTCCCCTTCCACGCCCCCCTCCCCTCCACCCCCACCCTCCGAAGCGCCCTCGACATAGGCTGCGGCACGGGAACCACAACCCACCTCCTCGCAGCCGCGCACCCTCAAGCCAAAATCCACGGGATAGATCTAACGCCCATCCCCTCTTCGCGACCAAAACCATCAAACCTCGAATTCACGACCGGCGAGATCCGCTTTCTCGTCAACGAAGGGAAAGTGAAAAGGAGAGACTGGAGTTACATATTTAGTAGGATGCTCTTCCTCGGAATGACGGACTGGGCGGCGTATATCGCCCTGCTGTACGACTTGCTGGAACCAGGGGGCTGGGCAGAACTTCAAGAAGTCGAGTTCGTGATGCGAGATGCTAGTGGAGAAGTCATCTCTCAGGACTGGAGGTGGCTGAACGCCATGACCACCTCACTCGCCAGGAAAGGGCTCGACACGGCGTGTGCGAGCAAGATCTCGGGGTGGATGAGGGATGCGGGGTTTGTGAATGTGCGGGTTGGGGTGTATGTGTGGAGTTGGAGTAAAGAGGGCTGGGAGGAACATCCGGAGAGTGCGGAGATTGGGAGGTATAGTGTGGATGTTTTGAGGAGGGAGATTGGGCGGATGGCGCCGAGGCTGTGGGATGGGATTGGGAAGAGCGAGGGGGAGGTGCAGGAGTTGTATGGGGAGTTGAGGGATGGGTTGGAGGAGTTGGGGAAGGGGGCGCATATGCGGTATTATGTTGTTTGTGGACGGAAGCCGTAGGGGGAGAACTAGAGTGATGTGCAATGTTATATCAACTTCCCCCTAAAACTCTCCACGCCCCTCCGAACCGCCTCATCGAGCCCCACAGCAGGGACAAACCCCATCCGCCTCTTCGCCTTCTCCATACTAAACACCTGCTCCACAACCGCATACCTCAAACTCGCCCGACGGATCTCCGCTTTCCTCCCCCCAAACCACGCCACCCACTCGCTCACATACCCAATCACCCACGCCATGAACGCCGGCAACACCCTCACCTCCTCCTCCCTCACGGGAAACCCCGCCTCCGTAGCAACCTGCCTCGCAAACCCCCAAAACGACCTCGCCTCCCCATTCGTGATGAAAAACGCCTCCCCGCCCACCCGCATCTCATCCCCTACTACGCTTCCCCTCTCCCTAAGCAAACACCTCGCAGCAAGCACATGCGCCTGCGTCACCGTCCCGACATACGTCCAACAATTCCGATTTCTCCCCTCCCCAATCTGGACTTTGAACCCGCCGCTCTTCGCCTGCCGGATCATGCCCCCGATGACCTGCTCGTCGTCCTCGCCGAAAATACTCGTCACGCGCAGCGCCGTCGTGAGCATCTTCTGTGAGTTCTTGGCGTTATGCCCCAGCACCAGCGTCTCGCCCACCGCTTTGCTATGCCAGTAGGGCTCCCTCTGTTCGGGGGCGAAGAGCACGGGCCAGGATTCGTCGCCGTGGAGGGTCGCGAGGCGGCCGTTGTCGATGATGGAGACGGAGGAGCAGTACACGAAGGCGTGGACCGTACCAACGATATCACAAGCGGAGAGGAGGTTCTTGACCCCTTGGATGTTGACTCTCTCATATAGACTGGGCGCTTCGATAAAGGGTCTGGGTGAGGCGAAGTGGAGGATCACGGTCGGTTTTGCTTCCTGCACGGCTTTCAGGACTGCTTCGTCGTCGCCGAGATCCGCGGAGAGGTATGTCACGCCGGAGACTTGTTTGGACGTTTCGGGGATCTTGTGGTTGAGAGTGTAGACCTGGACGTCGGGGCCTCCGGTTCTGAGGACGTCTCGTAGGCAGTGCGTGCCTACGAAGCCGCTGCCGCCGACGACGAGGACGCGGCCTAGGGGTTCGTCGAGGGTTTGGTTTTCGGCGGACATTTTTGCGATGCTTGTAGATGTGCGCTGTTGCAGAGGTTGTTGAGAAAGTTCGAGCTGTGGTTGTTGGTACGTCAGCTTGGAAGAACGTCGCTTCGTACGAATTGGGGGAGCTCACGCTCTGATTCAGGCATAATATGCGATCTGGAACAGGGTGTCAAGTTCCGTATCGGTAAGCAGGGTGTTACGACAGAGCGGCTGAAGTTGCGCGAAGAGCTTTATTCGTGTGCACAAATGGCGGTTACTTTTCAGCCTGATTGCTATGCTTATCTTGCCTTTCAAGTCTGCTTCACAACCTGCGGGCCTCAATATCAACGCAAATCAGGCTGAGTTGAAATGTTCATTATACGTTCTATCGTCGACATGACAACGCTGGCCGTATGTACATCCACTTATATATCCGCACTTACTCCGGGCTGCTCATCATTCATCTCTTACACCACTCAACCCGTCCCCTCCCAAAAGTTCGCCGCGCCCTCCAAATCATCCACATTCACCAAATCCGCCCCCTCATCCCACAGCTTCCTCCAAAGCCCATTCCGCGTCCCCACCGGCCAGCCAGGCTGATCCCAATATCTCACAAGTATGCCCTTACCATGCGCGGTAGAGATCTGCTCTCTTAACAACGCCTCTTGCGTGGAATTGAAGGTTGCATTGCGGACGGCGCCGAACTGCGAGGAGAAGGACACGCTGGCGATGGGGGAGACGGAGGCGGTGATGTTGCTGAAGGTGGAGTTGAGGGTGGCGAGGGGCGCGTCGTAGAAGTAGTCTCGTGGGGTGACGGGTTGGACTTGGTTGAGGGGCGTGTTGCCGGTGCCGATGACGGTGACGGGGCCCGGGGTGACGCCCGTGCCGTTGAAGGTGGTCAGGTAGCCGGCGGCGCGGAGGGGCTCGAGGGCCTTGACGACGGCGGGGAAGGTGGTGGTGCCGTTGGTCTTGATGTCGACGAAGAGGTAGAGGGTTTGGGCGCCGTTGGTGTCGTAGACGCCGTTCTTGGTGGGGGGCGAGGAGACGAAGGAGGAGTTGGGGTTCTGGGCGCGGAGCACGGAGAGGATGGGCTGGACGTAGAGGGAGGAGAAGGTGCGTTCGGGGGTGAGGGCGCTCTCCTCGTGGCCGATGTGCAGGGTGCCGTTCTTCAGCCAGACGTCGGCTTCGACGCTGATGGCGCCGACGGAGAGGGCGCTGTAGAAGGGGATGGCGCGCCAGTAGTCGTTGTGCGAGTGGAAGTTCTTGGGCACGATGCCCTGGGTGAGGTCGGTGGGGTAGGTGTAGAGCGGGCCGCTGTGGGCGTGGGCCAGGATCTGCTGCAGCGGGTGGGAGAGGGAGATGTCGGACTGGGCTGCGGCGAGGCTGGCGAGGGCCAGTGTCGAGGAGAGGAGGGCGGACAACATGGTGGAGGGATGGTATAGAAGAAAAAGCTTACCTGGGTGATGTTGATCTTCTTATACTGTGCCGCGCAGGTGGAGTCGTCGTCGAGAGCAGCAACAGGATCTCGACAAGATGATCGCTCTGCCAATGGGCGCGAGCACGTGTGAGGCCATGATGCTGCTAGCCACGTTCTGGTCGAACGCGAAGGTGGAGGTAGTGGAAGAGCCGGCTGAATGCTCATCGACAAGCCCGATGACGACGGCGGATAAGCGGCAGTACGGTCGCCATATATATTAATGTATAAAGGCATCACGTCTGCCGTACCTGCAGCAGCTCGAAACTCACACCATCCTCACAATAGCTGTTAGGTTAACCCCCCCTCCACTGTTCAGGCCTTCTGATCCATGGACCTGATCATAGAGCTGCTCCCATGCTAATGTCCCGGAATACGGTGTTTCGCCTGCCAGCACCTAATCCTCTTTCCGAAGACAAACCTGACGGCAAGCCCATGTTAGCAACATCTCCCACCACAAATGATCTCGTAGCGCAAAGGGCTTACAACGGGAGCGTGAGAGAAATCAAGCCGGCCATGAGACCCAATCGCGAAGAAACAGTCCCGGGGACCCGATTGACTGACCCATTCGTTGATGTAGAAGGTCAGCCCGAAAGAGAACATGGCTTGACACAGCGTGATCAGCCCCAAAGCGGGAGCGGCGTCCTGCTGGTGGCAGTCGACGACGTATGTGAAGATCGTGGCGATGCCGATCTGGGTCCCGAACGTGACGAAGCCGAGTCCGACCACGACAGGAACGGCCCATGGCAGACCTTGGGAGATGGATTGCCCCCAGACGAAGTACCCGGCGGTGGTGAAGAGTAAAGTGAATACCATCGGGATGAGTCGGAACTCGGGCTCGAAGATACCGTGGTTAGACTTGGAAAGACGCTGGGCAATGCCGTCGAGCAATGGTTTGGAAGCGGCCGTCCCCAGTAAAGCGGCCACAAATGCAGAGAGGTTGACGAGGCCCACCTGTGTGATGGAGAAGTTGTAAGGCGGAGCGCCGAAGATGAGTGACTGCGTCGCTCCTAGGCCGACCACAAACCCGAGATTCGTCATGAATAGCACCGCTGCCCAGACGACCGTCGGATTGGCCAGTGCGAAAAAGGGTCCGACCAAGGCTTTGGAGAACGCAGTTCGGCCTCGATAGCCTTGATAAGGCAATAGCTGTCGCGCATACGACTGTCCCTGGCGGATCTCGTGCTCCTCGGAGGTCTCAAGATGGGCACTGGTGCTTTTAGCCTCCATGCCCTCGTGCTGGAATGGCAAGTCAGCGCGCCCACACTGTGCAGGCATTGGTGACAGATCATTGACAGCACCTGAAAGCAGTCGTCCATGCTGGCTCCACGCCCCGCTCCTGGTACGATGCGTTCAAACGTCGTTTCGGGCATGAGGAAGAACACGAGGAGGGTGGACACGCCAAAGGCACCGCCCATTGCATTCATGCAAATTCTCCACGACCCGTGTTCGATGATAGTTCCAGCTATTGCGTCTCGTTAGTATATCCGCGGCTCGAATCGTATCGACTCTTCGTGGTGGTGGTCTTACCGATGGGCGAGGCGAGATGATTGCCCGACAAGAACGCAAGCGCATAGAGGGACGTGCGAAGGCCACGTTCATGGACGAACCTGAACGTCCATGTTGTCAGCCATGGCGATCACGCACGATGACTTGGAGAAGAGAAGGCTATACCACACATCCCCGACAGAAGCCGGCACCAGGGCCGTCATTGGACCCATGCAGAGTCCTGCGACCGCACGCGAGGCCACGAACGATGCAAAGGACCGCGACGCCGCACCCCAGAAGCAAGCTATCATCAGCATCGCATTGGTGAAAAGATACACCGCTGCAGGACCGAAGCCCACAAATCAGCATACGCGACATCTGATGGCTGACAAGTTGCCAGGGGATGAAGTTTTACGTCGTTTGCCCATCTTGGCGGCCACGGCATTAAACAGAACCGCTCCAACGCCAAAGCCGCACAGAAGACTGCCCTGCGCACCGGTGGCAAACTGGCCTATTTCGACCCCCCATTGCTGCGAGAGCGGTCGATACGCCGCGATGAGCAGCGGTCCAAGTGCCCCGACGGCGCCACAGATCCATGTATATGCCACCGTGAACAAGTTCTTCTTCGTTGCCGTCCAGTTCAGAGGATCGCCGGGAGAGTCGGACGGCTGTGGAGCAAGCACCACCACGCCAGATGCATCTTTTTTCAGCCCACTCGTGACGGGAACGCTGCCCTCCGTTGTAGTAGAATCGTGCAAATTGCTATGATCAGTGATCACAACCGTGCCGGGGCATTGACTGCTAGCCTCTGGTTCCAAGATTCCGAAGGGCATCGCTCATATATAGCTTGTCAAGACACACTTAGTCGTTCTGAGGACGATAGAAAGAAGAAGCCACAAGAGACGCCTCCTGCTAGAAGATAGTCACATCCACAAGGTTTTGGACTACACCTAGGGCTGGGGTCGTATATAGCCGGAGGTCGCTTGTGCAGAGACTTTCGGGGAGTTAGCATCACGTAGCGCAAGTCTCCAAAAAGGACGTTAGATGTGCTAAGTCCGACAATCCATAGGCACCTCTAAACTACGTCTGTCTTTGCGGAGTCGAGGAGGGGAAGCTCCTGACGCGCTGGAATCCTGCAAGACCTTGGATGCAACGTCGGGACACAATGCGGTAGTGAGATAGAGTGCAAGAGATGGTTGTAGTTGAAGATCAGCAAAGCGTGTCAGAGGAGTACACCAGCCCTGTGACTTGGCAGCTGGCTCTTCTCAACCCCTTATTATTACACTATACGTCCTGCTAGATGACGAATGGAAATCACGAACCCTTCCTCCTACTCGTAGCATCGAGAACGAAAGTAGACTCTTCATCATCACATAAGAAAAAATGGCACAAGCTCTCAAGGAAATCGCTTCAGAGCAACAGACCGGTCCACGACTCGAGCGATCCATCACATTCCACATGGTCGGGGACTGGGGCATGGCCAACTTCCATCGGATCTGTTCCTGGCTGGCCCAACACTTCACCGATCGCACCGGCCCCAAGTCTCGGGTTGCCATCTGGAACCTCCGCGACGGGGGCATCGAGGCCCTCACGAATGTGTTCGACGGTGTTGCACAACTTTGCATCTCCACGCCGGCCGCGATGATCCCCGATGCCCTCACTGGCCGTGGGCCGTTTGCTGCGTGTGGTGCAATGCCGAGCCTTCGTGCGCTGGCTACGCTTCCGCAGAATGATCGGTTGGTCCTGGCCGTGGACCCGAAATACGGCATACGTTCGTTCGATGATCTGCGACGCATCAAGCCTGCCTTGCGGATAGCGACTTCTTCCAACGATGGGACGAACCTCAGTAAGTTAGACCCACAGGGAGACTTGGGAACTCACCAACACTGGTTTTATAGTCGGGTACACCGCGAACGAATACTTACAAGCCCACGGCATCACCCCTGAAGTCCTAGCCTCGTGGAACGCGACGATCGTAACAACCACCCGGCCCGAGCAAGCCCTGGCACTCGTGGTCAGCGGAGATGCAGACGCCGTGCTCCAAGAAGCGATCATGACCCCCGGATGGACTCACCTCGTCGAGGATCTCGAGTACGTGCCTCTCCCAGCGGAGCCTCAGGCCTTGCGCTGCGTGATCGAGCGAAATCCGGGATTCAAAGCCACCGACCTCCCGGCGGGCTACTGGCGGAATCTGCGCACGACGTTGCCCTGCCTCGACTTTTCTGACTTCATCGTGCTGGTGCGCGAGGATCTGGACGAGGACATCGCAGGCTTGTTGACGTGGATTTTGGTGGAGACTCGAGGCGGTGTGGAGAGACAGTACGGCCACCACACGCAGCAGAAGAGCCCATTGGGTTGGCCGATGGATCCATATGCTATGGCGAAGACGCCCATTCCGCTGCATGAGGGCGCGAAGAGATACTATGCGGAAGCTGGCTATATCGACACACTCGCTTGATTCTGAGTGGAAACTCTTGGGTCTTCGGAAACAGACCACGAGCAAATACATCCGGAAAGCCTTCGTTATGCGTTGTCGACATACATCTCAATCATCACTCTGTCAATCCACTTGCCTGTTGCTCACTGCTCTATGATTACAAGGTGAACTCAACCACCAACTGGCTGTCGCCGCAATAGGAAGGGAAAATCTAAGTCGTTGAGTCTAGAGAACAAGCAGCTGGTGGTGGCGCAACGTGGAATTTAGTGTTCTCAAGTGCTTCACAAACTAATCATAATACTCTTCTCCTCCGTCCACGCTTCCACCGCGCGCCGTCCATTCTCCCGTCCCGATCCACTCTGCTTCCAACCCCCAAAGGCCAGATCCTCACTCAGACCGGCGGGGCTCGTACAATTGACCCCGACGAGACCCGCCTCGAAGGCCTTGGCCACGCGGACTGCCCGGCTGAGGTCTTTGGTGAAGACGCTCGCGTACAAGCCGAACTCGGTGTCGTTCGCTCGACGGATGACATCCGCCTCGTCGGTGAAAGTGGTCACACAGACGACAGGCCCGAAGACTTCTTCGCGCATGACCTTGGCGTCCTCGGGCACGTTGACGAAGATGGTGGGTTCGACGTAGCACCCCTTGTCGCCAATGCGACCCTTGCCGCCCAGGGCTATGTCGTAGTTGTTCCTGCGTCCATCTTCGATCAGACCCACGACGCGACGCAGCTGGGTTTGATCTGCTTGGGGCCCACGCCGAGTCCCTGGCACCAGCGGATCGCCAGGCTCGCCGGCAGCCGCAACGCCTTTCTTGAGCTCTTCCACGAAACCATCTACGATCTTCGAATGCACGTAGATGCGCGTCGTCAAGATACATCCCTGTCCCGTGTTGATCAGCGTGGCCATTGTCGCACCTCGCGCGGCCAGGGTCACGTCTGCATCGTCGAACACGAGCATCGGATTCTTTCCACCCAACTCGAGGGCAACTTTTTTCAGATTCGATTCCGCCGAGGCCTTCTGGATCAATTTCCCAGTCGCCACCGAGCCAGTGAAGGAGATCCTACGAACGCGCATGTGCTTCGCCAGAGCCTCGCCACAAGAGGTGCCGTACCCGCTGAGGATGTTCAGTACCCCTGGCGGGAGGCCGATTTGCTTGCACAGCCTAGCTACGATCAATGCCGTGAAGGGGGCCTTCTCGGATGACTTGAGCACCAGCGTGTTCCCCGCAACCAGTGCGGCCCCGACTTTGTTGATGAGCATCATGAGGGGACCGTTCCAGGGGATGATGGCAGCGCACACGCCAAACGGTTGACGAAGGGAGAGCGCCAGTTTGCCGGGCGTGGAGAGTGAGGTTTCGCCGAAGACGTCTCGAGCCTGGCCTGCGAGATAGCGCAGATTCTGAATCGAGTGGTGCGTGACAGCTGTGCGTCGATTCAATCGGTCAGCGGCCAGTGGCAGTCATCGGCTTGCATAAAGGCACAACTCACGACTCCCAACATATGGCTTGCCCATCGTTACAGCATCCATATAGCCGATCTCTGGAACCACATCCTCCAAAGCATCCGCAAGCTTCAGCATATAAGCCGCACGCTCTGATGCCGGTAGCTCTGACCATGCCGGGAAGGCATTCTCCGCGGCTTCTACAGCACGATCAACATCTTCCACGCCGGCTTCGTAGACGCTCGCCGCGACCTCGTCAGTGGTGGGGTCTAGGATCTCGAACTTTTTCCCTGAGATCGAAGGCACGAACTCCCCGTTGATGAAAAGCTTGTCTTCAATGTGAGCCGGTTTGTCGACCGAGTCTCGTGGCATGATTGCGGCTGTCGCTTGCGGCGTTGACGTTGCAAGTCCACACTTGGGCATGTGCTCGCCATGATATATATGTATTTATCTATCTTTCTACATCTCCTGGCCTGCAGTTTTAAGTCCGCCAGTCAATGAATAGTTGGGCATGAAGCCAAAGGAAGGCGAACTGCTTGCCTGTTTCAGGGGGGCCAAGGGTTTGGGGGCCAGGCGTTTGGACGAGTGCTCGGTACATGCTATCGGTGCAATCTGATTGCCAATTCGAGGGAAAGCCTATGCACAGAGTAGTGGCACAACTGAACTACTTCTTGGTGGAACCCTCCTTGGTTCTCGTACACTATGCCCCTTCCGTGCGGGCAAGAGATGACCGTAAGCTGGGAGCAGCCTAAGTCCCAGATCTCTCCTCGTAGAAGAGCCTAAGTCCCCGGTGTCTCTTCTTGGAATACTGTTCTTGAGAACTTCCAAGTGCCGTGAGCTGATCCGAAAATTGCCATGTAGCGTCCATATTGTTGATCTCTCCCCTCGGTGACGTCTATTATGCTCGGACCGGCTTTCACGTGCAGTCTTTCATCCAAGATGGAGAGACGGGTTCCGCCTACGCCTCTGCAGTGAAGCATCCATATAGAAGCCATGCGAGTGATGGGTGTTGAAGATGCAGCCTCAACCAGCCCGTCTGGTAGTCGAGCTAACCTCCACCTCATCCTTCTCACCAAAGCCCTTGACCTCCAAATCCTCAGCGTCGACATCCGCAGCCGGCGGCGTCCCCTCTGCAAGCTTCTCCTTCCCATCGTTCATCTTATGCTGAAAGGCGATGGCATTCTTCTTCGACTCGCCAGGTCCTTCAGCCCTGTACTGGTATCCCCTCACTCTGTAGACAGTACATTAGCTGAGTACGCCTCCACGATTCTTGCAGAAACGCACCTGGGCCCCTGGCCCGTCTTTTCTGGGAGCTGGCTCTCGTAGACTTTGCTGAATGTATTCACGTCTTCGTCGAAGGTGTCTCGGGCGATGCTCTGGCGAATGCCGGCGAAGAAGAGGTCCATGGTGTGGTGGTTGTGGATCTGCACTAGCACCCAGCCAAGCATCTCTTTGGCAGCCAGGAGATGTTGAAGGTAGGCTCGGTGGTGGTTGGTGCAGGCGTAGCACTGGCAGCTCTCACTCAACGGAGATACGTCGACGGCGTGCTCGGCGGACCACATGTCGACTCCCAAAGAACGCGGCTCCAAGCCATTGGGTGCGTGCCGTGGCGGGAAGGTGAAGTCCAAGGCAATTCCAGCATCCGTCGCAGCGCCAATGAAGGGGATCGTGAGAATGTCCATGCCCAAAGCAACCTGTTGCAGGATCTCGTGCGGCGTCTTTGGCTCGGTAAAGCCTAGGCGAGGCAGATGTGCCAGACTCTCTGGTATGTCTTCCAAAGTCGAAAGATTGTACAATGCCAGCCCAGAGATGTCCTTGACCAACTCCTCAGCCAGACAATCAATGTAGAACTGCTGCTTCCTGCACTCGACCGGTATCAGCGACGCAAACAGCTTCGCCTGGTGTCCATATCCATCCTTCCGCTCCTCCCTCAGCGCAACATGATCTTGCAGCCATTGGATCATTCGATCTGTAGCTCTCTCCACCCTCTTATTGCCCAATGCTCTTCCGTAAGGCACGTCTCCCAGTCCCACCAAGATATCCGCCTTCAGCTCCTCCGTCTCTTCCGCATACTCATCGACCTTGAGCTGTCTGAACCCCACTGCCGTACATATCGAGATCGTGGTGTCCGTATTCGGGTTCGCAGCGGGCGCAGCTACAGGCGGCGATCTCCTCGCCCCAAGCACCAGCAGCGCATCGTCCGGCAGTGCAACGAACTTCCTCAGTGGAGACGCTCCATCAAGTGGTTTGAACTGGTATAGAGGTGGGACCTTTCGCGGTGCTCGCTCGATGACTGTTCGTTTCCTGTGAGTGATCAGCGTTCCACGAAGTCGACAGCCCACATCTTCCTCCACATACAGTCTTCGAGGGCCACGTAGACGCCGTTGATGGAGGTGTCCCGGCGGAAGGTATCCTGTGTGATATGCGGTACGACGCCGCGCGAGGTGCTGGCCAAGTAGTGCGGCGTGTCGATGATGCGTCTACCGGGGAGGCAGAGGCGAGCGAGGCGTGGAGAGGGGGTGCCGGCGGTGGCCTGGATGATGCTGAACATCTCGTCGGGCAGCTGCGCCAGCGTGCCGTTTGCCGTCCCGTTCATCGTCGCTGTCGTCGTTGCCGCATTGGGATATCTGTTGTGGGTGTTTCGAGATGATCGTCAAGGTTTGGTGAGAAAGTTGTCGCGTGGATATGGAGCCGCATATCTCGCCATTTCCGTTTGGGAGAGTGGAGCCCTTGGCGTCGACTTCACCTCGTCCGCCTCCGCTTTCACTTCATCACCAATTGCTGCATATCACTCTGGAAAGTCGTGTGAATACAACTCTTGGTGCTAGATCATATGCTTGTGTGATTCCATGCTTCCATCACTCACTTTGTCCGCCGTCTGCCCTCAGTTCGACATGTCACATGGAGACGGCGGCGACGGCAACAGTATAGATATGTAGATCTCCTGGTATCTATATATATTTCCACCTCGTTGAAGCCTTCATTCCTCTTCTCCAGTCGCTCGCAATCAATGCGAAAGATCTGATGAAAAAAAAAGAGTCAAGTCCGCCCACCTTGACCCGGCACCACCCACTGATCCTAACTCACGTCAGTAGCCCGCCCAAGGGACAACATACCTGCCTGAAAGCTCGGGAGCCATCGAGTCTATGCATTTCCCTCGCCTCCTACCACTCGGAAGATCACCGGTCAGGGTGAGAAGAGTAGGCCTCAGGGAGCAGTGGACGAACCTAGGGCATCCCCTTCAACAAACGCCGACAGGCAATGGCCTGCACATGCCGGCGGATGCACTGAACCTCTCTATCGCCATCGCTGTCGAGGTCAACCTGTGATTCTCGATGGATACACGTCCCCTTGTGGTCTCATGTGGCGTAAAGTGTCAGTGGTGGAAGGAAGAAGTTTGAGAGCAAGAGCAAAGCGAGATTTTAAGCGGTGTCTGACGCTAGCGTGCGCTACCTATGTCATCACACGTGACTTGCCGTCCAGGCCGCCTGGTCATTGGATGGCAGCCGGTCGCGAGCGGTTTACTGCTTCTTCAGCGACCTCGCAACGACACCGTCGGGAGGATTGGTCTGGCATTATGGACTCGTCACAAGTTTCGAAGCCGAGGCGCGCGAGGAATAGCGTAAAGAAAGCACAAGATCGCGACAAGGAGGTCAAGAAAGCTGCCGGGAGGGCCGCATTCGAGGAGCGGCAAGCAAGCAAGCAAGTCAAAACTGGAGTCGCCCGATCTGTCGCCGTCACCATCATATCCCCGAGACTCGACGTCCGACCTTGCCACTGATGGCAGCGATGAGCAAGTTGGGACTGTCGTAGGGGCTGGAGATTCGCGAGAGATCCTGCAAGCCGTCGACTGGCGCCAGCACGTGCAAAACACAACCCTCTACCTCACACGCCAGGGCCTCAACTTCACTATCGAGCTCACTTTGGGCGCAGCACGTGTCACTGTCATCGTCGGACGTGGTTCAGCACGTGCAGCCTGGCATGTGCTACAACAAGTATTGGACGGCGGACTCAGTCTCACAGGCGCGTTGAGAGACTGGGGTCTTCAGAAGCTCACCGAGCGTCGTGAAAAGAGGAAGCGGGAAGCCGACGTCGACGAAGCTGCGAGGCAGTACGAGATCGATCAAGCCACTCGTCACGTCCCCCGAAAGCGGATCAAGCTCGGCGATGGCTATCGTGACCCTGCCAACCAGGACGACTAAGAGCCAGAGAAGTCCACCACCAGCCTTTGGGAACCTCGCATTCTCTACTACCCTACTCGTTCGGCATTCACCGTCAAAGGCCACTTCTACCGCGGTGGGAGCATCATCGCTTCTCGAGTCCTCGTTGCATATCCTCAGTACAAGCTCGTGCCTGGCGCTTTCGACACGTGCTACTCGAGCCTGGCCGAATTGGGTTCAGTCACCTATCACGAGCACATCGCAGGTGGCTTCATTATCGGCATTGCGCCCTATCACATGGCCTTTCAGGTCAGCAAGAACGGCATGTGGGTGGTCATCAATGGCATCGTTTGGGACGCACGTGATATCATCCAGCCTTCTCGTGCTTCGAGCACGTGCGGTACCTTCATGCAGCCGGTGACGAGTGAAAGCGTGCTGCGGCACTCACAGGCTTCTCATGAGCTCTCACGTCAGCCACTGCTTTCTGTCCCGCACCAGCCTCAACACCAAGATGCAGGCACGGTCGATGATATGATGGAAGGTATCCAGTTCACGGACATGGCCATGGACCTCACACTCCCTGTGTCACCAGTACGAGATGTGGCGAGCGCCCAGCCGGAACGCAAGTCCATGCTACTCGCTGCGGCTCGACCAGAACTCCCCACCAACGTGGAGCGTAGCATCTCGGTCCATGTCACTTCGAAAAATGCCCCCCAACCACCCACGGGTCAACAGCCTGAGCAAGACAACGAGGACACGAACTCGAATGGCAGGAGGATTGCCAGGCCAAGAAGAACTCGTAATGTGGTCCCTGCTCCCCGTCAACCGCCTACTGTTGCTCAACAGCAAGCCATCGACGAAATCCATCACAGACTATCCCAGGCAGACAGAATGGTGCAGCACTATGACTTCAGAAACCGTCGCAACGCACCCCTCACAGAGCTCAAAGATCTAGAGCAGAAGCTGCTCCAGCGCCTCAGAACTGTGCATGGGTTGGAGTGGCAGGTAACCAGGAGGATCGAGTCTTGAACCACTGGCTGGCCAAGGGACATCAGTGGATCCAGCGCCGCCACAATGGAGATCCGGAGGCTGCGTTTCAAGAAGTTCACCACCCGACGGATGAACAGCTGGCCGGCTGATGCAAGATAAGAGAGGGCTTTCGGAGGGAGTTGATACGTTGTGGGTTGGGTACGTGCTTTGCAGGATGATGTTGTGAGGGCCACAGTGATGCAGGTCTATGCTGCGAGCGTTGAACGGAGATTGCTGTTTTTGAGATCATGAGGGGAGAGGCTGCTGATACAACGAACGTGCTACTCGTTCAGGTCTAGATACCCCAGTTATGAATAGGAAAGTTCAACTTTCCACCACAAGCTTCAATGCCCACCCCATCATTCCATCCCCTCACCACCGAATGCTTCTAATGTGTCAACGCTCTCAACAACCGCTTGGAAAGAACGCATGCCGCGGAAAAACTACTCCAGCACGAGAAATCACTCTCCAGGATCATTCCGTCGCCAACGGCTTCCTCCCAATACACCTCCTCATGCGCATATCCAGCCCAACCCCCAACTCCCTCACCTCCCTCATAACCTCCCCCTCCCTCAACCTTCGACTCACCTCCAACACCTCCCTCTTCTCCGGAAACCTCCCCACAACTCCCTCAAATCCCTCCTCCAAAGCCCACAGCCAATTCATCATAATCGGCTGCAGCGTCGAAGGTTTCGGTTCAGGTTGCACGAAGACAACGTCCTGGAAACCAGCGGCTTGAAAGCGGGCCGGCATGTTGTCTAGATAAGTCCAGTTCTCGACGGCAGAGGGGTGGATCTGGGATTGCAAATCGTGGAGTCTGCGAGCTGCGGGGGCTTTCTCTTTGCCCTCCGCGGCGTGGAAGATGTATTGCAGGGGGTGAGCTTCGCCCCATTGGAGGTAGCCGCCGGGCTCTGAGAGAGAACGTCAGCATCCATGCAAAATGTCCCCATTCTAGCAGAAAGGATCATACTCAACATCCTCATCAACGTCCCCAACAACCCCTCAACCTCCCGATCCCTCACAAACAACACCGCATACTGCATATGCACAATATCATACCTCCCCACAAACTCCTCCGGCACCTCCTTCAGCAAATCCAAATAATGAAACGACACATTTCCCGGCAACCACTTCTTCGGCGGGACTTCGTTGAGATTGACATCCAGCCCTTCGATGGTGTTGTCCGGGTGTTTTTCATGGAAATCGAGACACCAGGCTCCTGTCCCAGTGGCGACGTCGGCGATGGTGAGGTTTTCTTTTTGGAGGGCGATGGCGGGGTCGAGGAGGCGGTTGTTGAAGTTTGTTTTGGTGAGTTCGTGTTGGAGGCGGAGTCTGGGGGTGGGCGTCAGTCTTGAGTCTTGCTTGTCTGTGTCTTTGGACGGACCTAGTTGCTGACCAGGCGCTTTGGCCTAGCCAGTATTTGCCTGTCGACATGGTGAGTGGCAGTATGCTTCCAGGGCCAGTCAAGACGCTGCTCTGTGCTGTTATGCCCAGGCGAAAAAAATCCAGAAACAATCGGAAAGAAGGGAAAGACGAGCATATATTGGCGTGACCTCTTATTTAGCTCAAAGCAGCCCTGTTGAGCCTTCCTCCCCGGCTCGCAGAATCTTGAGTCCTCTTTCTACGACAGGGTGGCACCTTAAAATGACATGCAGACGAGCTTCCACCAATCCCTCCAGACCTAAGCTCCCGCCTGCTGACCTAATCCAAACTCGCACTGAAGCCGCATACGCTCAAGATAGGGCTTTCAGCCTCACATAGCACCGTTCCGGGCCGTGCGTCACCCCATCGTACGAGCGGAACGAGGAAAGTTCTTTCGGGGTGGGAAGGAGTTCGAAGTTCCAGATGATGAGGATAAGCATGATTCTGAGCTCGAGATGGGCCCATTTTCGACCTGCGAGTTTGGGGTCAGATTTCTTTATATAATCTTCTTGCCCCCGGATAAGTAATTTCTTCAGGCTTACCGAAGCAGCCTCTTGGACCTGCGCCGAAGGTATTGAAGGGACCTGCATTGGGATTGAAGTCGCCGTTCTTGTCCAGCCACCTCTCTGGCATGAAGAGAGCAGGATCCCTCCAAGCCGGTATTTTGTCCTTGTTAGCCTGGCTGTTCTTGCTGCGCTTGTGTTCTTCCACCGGCAGAGGATCCATCAAGTAACCTGGACCATTGATAAACATGAACACATCTGTCCCGGCGGGTATCTGATAGCCTAGCACCTCCACATCTTTTAGTGTCTGTCGAGCCGACGCTGGGACGATGGGTCCGATCCGGTTGGCTTCTTCAATTACAGCATCAAGATAGGGTACCGATTTGCTGGTGATTTCTTCGATAGAGGGTGTCCGTCTCGCTTCGTGGGCTCCTTTGAAGTTTTCTCGAAGTGTGTTGCGAAGTTTGGTCTGCACGTCTTGCTGAGAGGTCAAATACTTGAGTGCCCAGCACAACGCGGTCGAGGTCGTATCCTCGCCAGCAAGTAGGAAGCCAAAGAGTTCATCTTGAAGGGCTTGACTATCGAGGTCGGCTGTTCGTCCCTCCTTTTGGGCCATCTTCAGCTCTTTCGATACCACGAGATCTAATGCACACTTCAGGCCGGCTGTCGACTCCACATCATCTTTCGCAACGTGGGAGAATTTTTCTTGCGCTTCTCTCAACTTGGCCCGAATGAGCTGGTCCTTCTTGCGTCGAGCGTTGATGAGAGTTCGGTCTGTATTCAGTGCGAACCAGTGAGCCGGTGCTGGAATGATGGAGTTGACAGGAATCGTCATGGAGTCCACCAAAGTGGTGATCGACTTGAATGCGGGCGGGTCCTGCGGTTCAGGGAAATCAACAGCCTTGTCAACATTGGAGCCCAGCTCGAGCTTGTCGACCTCTGCAAGACGCTTAGCACGTGTGGTGTTAGGCCCCATACCGCCGCCGAATGTTGCAGCCCAGATGATATCGAGTGTGGTGTTATGGCAGTCGTGGAACGCTGAGAATGGCCGGCCTTCTGCCAGTCTTGCCTTCTCTTTCCACAGCTCCACCATACTGCTCATGCTGTCCCACATCTGCGGTCCTGCGACTTGATTGAGGAACGTCGGGGCCATTGTATCGCTAATCAATCGCCGATGAGCATGCCACTCATCGCCCGTTGGCATATGAACATGAAACTTCGGCAGCATGCTCGAGAAGATCTGGCCGAAGAACTTGGACCGGTCGAACTCTTTGATCCGGCGTGTCAGAATATCGTGTGTCTCCCGAGGATCCATGATTACCACCCAGGGTCGACCCATTGGTTGCATAAAGACTTGGAAGACGGGCTCATTCATTTCGACGGCCATCTTGGCCACGTACGAAAAAAGGTCTCCATTCTCAGCCTTGTACTTGAACAGGTCCGGAGCATCGCCCAGGAGCCGTTGAGCCGACTTTTTGTTGTACGGTATGCCAGGCAATGGACGTGGGAGCGCTGCTCGGTAGCATGCGTAGCCAAGAAGTGCTATGGCAAGAGCCACAGCACCTGCTGTTGGTAAAGAGACGTTCATCGCCGTGACTCAGTCAGGAGGGAAGCAATTCAGTCAGATCTCCATCGAAGATGTGAGCGATGATGTTAAATGATAGGGCCACAGAGCTGCGTCAACAGACCATGAAATGCTTGGGCTCCGTCATTTGCCCTCGCTGAAACAGCCGCAAATGCCAAGATGTCCAGAGGGCTGTCCGCGCATATTCGGGCTACAGCTGACACCTGTACGAATACGGGCGTAGTTCACTTCCAAGGGTCAACTCTTTTCCATTTTCCCTCAAAGATATCTATACATAGGGCAAGGTTCTGTAGCGTTTTCTGTAGTGGCATACAGGTGCGTGCTGGCCGGACCCGAATCTCCGTTCAGCTGAGCGTTTGCCTGTCGATGTCCATTTCGGCTGCAGTGGCATGGCCGAGATCCTCTCGCTGGCGCTTACTGTTCGAAGGATCGACCTATCAGGGATCAAATAGGGCAAATTGCGAGATACTCAAAACTCTGTCCGCATGTGTACGAAGATACTTCAGGCTTGGGAAACATCCATGTCATCATTCTCGAACATCTTGCACTTGTTGACTGAAATTGTCAAGCGTTGGCCAAGTCTTTGCATGTCGAAGAGTCCTTTTGCTACCTGTACACGAGGAGAATCTGTATCGAGGCCATTGTAGGCTGAGCTGTGCAAGAGCACGAGCGCTCATGAGCAAGGCAAGTTCACATCGTCCGGAATGAGTGTTGAAGCCCATTAGTACAAGCTGCCCAATTGCATGCCGTCTTGGAAGCTTGTATTGTGCGTGAGACAGAAGCTATACCTCTCGTGCTTACATCGAGAGTTGGGCCTATAACAAGTAAAGGGTGCAATCCATCAGTTCCAGCCATGTCGCGGGGACATCAATGGAAACGTTTGGTCAGCTTGTCGCACCAATCGACAAACAGCTTCACAGCATCAGGCCCGCCGTCATCTTCTCTCTTCATCGCATCCACGATATCTGCTCGAGGACAGGGGTGCTTTCGACCCCAGGGGATGATATAAGAGCCGCCGTCATCGATATTCAAGTCCCGTGACAATCCAGCGTACAACTCGGTATACGCTCCAAATACAGGATCATGGTTCAGCGGGGCTGTGAGATAGGGCATAATCCAATGCAGATGTCGCAGTGATTGGGTGGCCAAGTTGCCTGGATTCTGCGTGACGCTCACGATCACATGCTTGCGGAGTCGATCAGAGAAAGCTTTGGCGAGATACCAATTGCCGGTTTTGGAAGTTGTATAGTTTGTGCTGGGATCTGTGACCACCAAGGTCGAAAGAGTGTTAGACGTGATGCCGCCTCCTCTAGGCGCAGACATATCAACTAGTAGGGAAGACGTCCAGACTATGCGAACAGCGGCTGAGGGTGAGCTTTGTGCCGTGTTTATCAGTGTAGGCGTCAGAAGCTGTGCGAGCAGATGTGGACCCAGACAGTTCGTGGCCATCTGCAGCTCATGGCCCTGGGCAGAGACAGATCCTTGGGGTGGTTGGAAGACTCCGGCGTTGTTGAAGAGGACATCCAGTCTCGATTCTGCTGCGGTGAAGGCCTCAACCGCCGGTCGGATGGTCCCCACGTCCTGAAGGTCAAGAAACAAGAAAGCCAACTCCCCAGGATCATCACAGACTGTGGACTTGATCCGTGTCGCAGCCAATCTGGCACCATGTGGCGACCGTCCAGCGAGGTAGACCTTCCCACCGGCTTGATACAGGATCTTACAGAGCTCAAAGCCCACACCAGACGCACCGCCCGTGACTATGAAGACTTTGCCTTTCTGGCTTGGTAGGTTGGCCGCCGTCAGAGATGGTTTCGGCGGGAAGAATTGCGAGTATGTGACGCCCATTCTGTCTTGCGGTTTGGGGAGGAGTTTGCTACCAGGCCATGAAATAGATGAATACGTCTTTTGCTGATGATGATGGCCGGCTCTCGCGCGGCTCTCGCGAGCTGACATGTGAGATGGATGAGCCGGCCATGATGTCCGAATTTCGCAGCTGGTCGGTGGACTGATGCGGTATGTGTGGCAAAGTTGCGGATGTAGTCTTAGGAAGCTCAGCCGATGGCGCTATACCAATTTCAGGCGAGCATGTGAAGATGAGTCTTGAGATTAGCTTCCCTTCGATCAGCTTTTTCGCGGCCTCGAAAAGACGAGGAGGAATTTTTTTGCCGAGCCCTGTGACCACGGCCACGACTCGGGAAGAAAACAAGATATCTGACAAGATTGAGAGCATTCGTGCAGCAGAAGGCTTTACAGGAGCACGAGGCATACGCCCATTGTGCTGCTACATGCGCAGTTGGTACAGCCCGATGTCCTGTACTCTTTGGGAAACCCTACTGAATACCAGAGACAGATATAGCGGTACATGTAGGCACCAGAGTCAGACCAAGTACGGTCGGCCATTATCTTGTTCTATATCTTACTCACAAGACCCTCCTCCTTGGCTATCTCGACAACAAGCTTTCCAAACTTCTTGCCCTTCGCTATATCCTCGAACAGCGACTCGATCTCCCTCAAATCCGTCCAGTTCGTGGCAACTCGAGAGATGACTGGCGTGATGCGATGCTTAGCAACATGCTCGACCATGTCGTGGAACTCCTGTCTCGAGCCTCCCGTTACGCTTTGGATCTCCAAATGACGGAGCACGGCGCTCATTGGGAACGGCATCGTTGGCTCTTGCGTCATGCCGTATACGACAATGATGCCTCCAGGCTGAATAGCCAGCAGGCGATCAGCTTGTGTTCACACTACGTCAGACTCTGTGGTTGACTTGCCTTCAATAACTTCACGCCTTTCCAACGATATCCCCACCAGCCCCATCGATGATGGTATCGAAGTGCGGTCTGTCTCGAGGCAACTTTCGTAGAAGCTCCTTATCCCAGTCTTTCTCGCGATAAGACACTCCATCGGCGGCGCCCAAATCCATAGCAGCTCGCAACTTGGCCTGATCGCCACTGGTAACATAGACCTTGGCTCCCCTGCTGAGAGCAAAGAAAAGAGCAAGCTGAGCCACACCACCTCCAACGCCAGTGATGAGGATATGATTGCCTATGGTCGCAGCTTTTGACTTTGTCACGACAGCACGCCAGACTGTCAATCCAGCGAGAGGGAGAGAAGCGGCTTGAACTGCTGTCAGATGTGCAGGAGCTTCCTCTAACTGATCTGAAGAGATTATCAGCTCGTCCGTCAAAGTACCTTTCGTGTTGAGCTTATTGGCCCCAAGGTATGCCAGTCCACTTGGACTTTCTGGTGCCTGTGGATCACTCGACCAACCTGACGCAGGATTGACGAGGACTATCTTGCCAATCCATCGTTGAGCCTCAGAGGACGAGCCAGCTTTCGTGACAATCCCGCAGCCGTCGGATAGCAAAGAGGTGCCGAAGGCGATTCCAGGGTATAGATTCTGGCGAATGAAAAGATCCCGATGATTCAGACCTGCGGCTAGGATCTTGACGGCGACTTCGTTGTCCTCGAGGGGCTTTGAGGGAATGGTCACGGCTTCGAGTTGATAGTATACTGAGGTTGATGCAGTATTAGTGCTGCTGATCGGCTTCTTCAGCACGATAGCAGTCGGCATTGTGTCGTAGCTCGTCTTATTGTGGTGCGTATTTATTGTTCCTGACAGGAGTCCACATTGAAAGACGACCGTAGAGAGGTGGATGGCCGAAACAGATTCTTCTCTCAACACGGCATACGGGCCGTGTTGATCCGTGTGCTCCCAGGGGCTGGCTTTCACATGATGCCGTGTACCGCGTCAGATGCGGCACGCGGAGCCGAACGCACGCCATTTCTTACTATGCGCCAACTCTTTTCGTCATCGTAATGCTGTATGAGATCTGATTTATGATCGTGCTAGTGTGTTGTTCCACCTGAGGCTCGGTCCCTCAGACGCTCTCGATCCACTTGAGAATATGGAAGTGAAGACCAACTCGCCCCTATGGCTTGAGATTCAGCCCTACTGCAGTATCTTAGCGAACTATCAGGTCGGTAGAAGACAAAGTCCTAGGGGAATATGGAGCGTTGGCCAGTACATACTGCATACCAACAGATAATCAGGTCCATTTAAACTCTCCACTCTCATAATAACAATTCGGAAAAGGCGCGGAAGTCCACCCTGGAGACTCCTCCATCTTCCCCAACTGTACAACCGGCTTCAGCACTCGAAAATCGCCCAACTCCCCCTTCAACTGCGCGAACCAATCTGATCCCTCCTCGAACTTTTCAGGTAAAGCGCTTTTCCACCGACGAAGAACAACGTCCAAAAGCTCCAGCACGAACATCTCTGGGCCTGTTCTCTCCCACTGAAACTCCGAATGACATTTGGCGACAACCTCAGGTGGGTAGAGTCCCACCTCTGGGCTCAGGGGCAGGGCTGCAGCCGCCAGAAGGGAGGCGAAGACGTGATAAGATCCCCCGTTTCGAGCCCGGTCACGAAGCGCCATCATCGTGCCAATCGCCCCGACTAGGCCAGTGAGTATGTCCGGAACTGGCAAGGCAGGCAGTACACATGTCCCATCTTCGTGGCCGAGAGCTCTGCCTGTAACGTAAGAGCAGCCGGAGACTGAGTCGGCAATCTGCTGCCAGCCAGGGCGTTCGTGCATAGGTCCGTCTGGGCCGTAGCAGTTTTCGTCAACGTAAATGATGCCTTTGCGGCGGGCTTCGGCGATGGAGAGAAGGTCCTCGATACCGAAGCCTTTGCGTGCGAGAGATCCAGTCCGGTAGCCTTGGATGAAGACGTCCGCGTCTTGGATTAGGGTTTTGAGCTCTGCGATGTCGTCCGCTTTGGTGAGATCCATGTCGACGGTCTGAACTCCTGCGTTGAGGGTGAGTCGGAGTGACTAAGTGGGAATATCAGTAGGTGAACATGTCTAGAGGACTCCTGCTGGTTCTTACATTTAAAAGTCCGGCAGACGACTGCAGTTGACTCGAATGACCTGTGCGCCCATGGAAGCCAATGTGCAGCCAATGACTGGTCCTGCGATGATCCTCACAAGCTCAACCACCTTGATGCCAGCCAAAGGTCTTGCATCTCCAGTGACGAGAGGGAATTGAAGGGCAGGGGTGAGTTGACGATTGCTCAACGGCTCGTAGTTGATAAGGGGCCATTTGTCCAGGCTTTTGCTCATAGGTGTAGCTCGAAACTCTTCAGGGGAGTAGCAGGAGGTGCCGCAAAGGCCTTTCTGCCAGAACATTGTCTCCAGCTCTTCTCTTCCACACCTGGAGACCTTCTTTGCAATCTCGCCGTAGGCTACCAAAGGGTCAGTGACGTGCGAGAAGTCACCGTCCAAGCCGAGACCCGCAAGGACTGGATCAGCATCCAGGCTGCCATGCAATTGGAACCATTTCCCAGGTTCATTTGTTTCGTATATCGCTGTGGTCCTCAATCTCATAGGCGTGGCGAATGTGTCGCCTTCTAGATCCTTCTTGAACATCTGCTTCAAATGACCCTTCTTGCCGAGCTCTGCGACAGAGTGACCATTGACTTCTGTCATTCCCACGGTCCCAAGCCAGAATGCGGCGTGGTTGGTGTCTATCTTCACTGTTCTCTCTTGAAGTGGCTGATGAGGGGAACTTTGTAAGTCCCTCAAGTCCAATATTTCGTTCGCCACGATCCCGCACATTCCATGTAGCGCGGCAGCAATAGCGCCGACTTTAAGAGGACCTGGGACGATTGGGTCATGACGACCGCTGAATACCACCGATGAAAGAAGCGAAGGTGTCTTGATGAAGCCAGGCCTAGCTTGGGCAAGCAGTCCGAGAATACGCTGAGCGTCAGACGGGATCGGTAGCGGAGCTGGATCGACGTAGGTTCCACTACCGTAGGATCGTGCACCAGATTTGAACAACGGCATCTTGGTGAGTTGTGTATGGTCAATAACCGTCGACGCTGCGATCGAAGGGCTGGTTTGGACCATGACGAATCCCTTTCTTATTTTGTTTTGAGTCTGCTGTATGTCCCGACATGCAGCCTGACCGCTTCCGTGCGGCGCTAACGGCACACGCGGACCGTGCCCATTTTCTAGCGCGATTTGCATGTGACCGCAAACAGCAGTGTCGTTGCTTACGTTAATGATGGAAAGTCCCAACAATCCATGCTGCCAGCCAGATTCGACCATGCAGCGATGTCCAGATTAATGCCGGAGAACAACGCGGGAGAGTTGGTCTCGCCGTGAAGATGGCTGGTATCACTGAGCGTTCCGTAATCTATGCAGTCCCACAGTCGTTCAATTTGCATAGACTCATGCTGTGTCGGGTCTAGTTCTGATGTTGATTCGACTAAAGCCTCGGCGAGGTGAGACTCCAGATGGAAACTTTTCAACGAGCTGGCCATGCTTGCGTAGTTCGGCCACCTGACAGGCTTTTGCTCTAAGAACTCAATACAGGTGGCCAGATTGGATCGCGCTAAATCCGCGATGGTGGAGTCCGAACATTGCGAAAACAATTGATGGACGGAGCCTGCACAAGATGCAAGATAGCCAAGCGAGCTGCCCTTTTCGCAACATCTCTCATCTTGGACCGTTGCCAGGGTTGCGGTCAGCTTGTTTGCATTCTGTCGGCCTCGCTCGAGAAGTTCTCGGATGAGTGTGGGAGGTGTGGAGGCCCCATGACGGAGACGATGTCTATATAGACTCACTGGATGATAGAGCAGTATTGCGCAAAAATGGTGGAAGCAGCGAGCCCAGATGTACGGACCCGCTCTTTGTCCATCGATACTTCTCTGCCAATCTGAGCCCATGACAGCAAACTCGTCCAATTTGATAGGCCGAGAGTGCATTGCCTCGCAGAGCATTGTGAAGTCGCTGACTTTGGCAAAGTGACTCGTTGAGTCCCAAAAGGGCAACGAAGAGGGATTAGATCGAAATGTTTCGCCGATGATATGGCCAAGGGCAGAACAGTTCAAGATCAAGATTGCGAAGTTGTCGAGGCCACTGATTGCTTCCGTACGATCAAGCAACTCCTCTATCGACGTCAGAGTGGGCGTCTTCTGTTCAGCTCCAGCCCGGAAAGCACTTTCTGCACACGGCAATGCAAGGAGACAGTCACTGTCCTTGATCGAGAAAGGCCTTGACTTTCCGCAGGAGACTGTCTTCTCAAGTAAATAGACTGACCAGAAGATTCTGCGATGTTCCTCTTGCTGCCATGTAGGCAAAGAGCTGTCGGGCTCCATGTTGAGTCGGAGAGCTTGCATTAGCCGTACAGCAAGGCCGGTTTTGACCATGCCCAGTCGATGCCGGCCACTCGTGAAGTCCACAATGGCAAGAAGGCTGGCGGCTTGGGCTGCTGCAACTTCCGCTGAGCCATCGCTCGCAAAGACTCGACTGATGACTGTGGCCCAGGCTGCACTCGCCAAAGACTCGGCGGCAGCAAACTGTTGCTCGCAGAAGTAGGCATCCGGACAGAAACGAACAGAAAGTGAAGCTATTGCCAGTAAAAGGTACTTCGGGACCTTCTTTTCAAACACTTGCCCGCGGAAGTTACTCTCGTGGAAGAGAGAGTACGGCTGATTATGGCAGTGTTTGAAGTACAGATCTACACGACCCTCAAAAGTCGGCACTGGTGCATCTTGATCGAATCTCAGAGTGTCGCCTAGGCAATCTACCAGGGGAAAGTCGGCGCTCCACGCTGAGGCAGGCGATGGGTCGCTGGTGTGAGCGACTGCGCCGGTTGGTAGTGGCGCCTCGGCGTGTGCCAGCCGCGTCTCGAGCTCGCTCTCACGGTGGGTCAAAGCCCTGCCCGACCTTTGACTAGACTGCGGAGCCGGAGCTGACATGTATCGGCATTGCTGACCTAGCCTTGTACATCGCGAGCAGCTCGGTCGCCCGCCTGGACAGCGGATCTTCTTGCGCCTGCGACAAGGGTTACTAAGGCTGAACCATCCCTGACGGCGAAGCCAGGACAAAGGGCACGGAGAGCTGACCGGCAATTCGAACAAGCCTGCGAGATGCGCTGGGAAGTGCCTGGCTCTGTCATCGTGGCAAGGGATTTAGCCATGAGCGTACAAGCACGGCATGCCCAACCAGCTCATGCGTCAAGTGAGAAGCCTCATTACATGTTGTGGTGTAATGTTGATGTTGATACCAGAGAAGCCGAGGGCGAAAGGCAGGAGGTAATGTCGCTCCGCAGTCTCAGCCTGCTCAGCTAATGAGCGCTTAGCGCACTGATCTCACTAAAGGCTCTCATTGGTCAGGCTGAGGTCCAAGACAGGGAGTGTTTCGACTTCAGCTTCAGCTTCACCACACCAAAGCCCATTTGTACATGGCACTATCAGGTCTCTGCATATCAGCCGTTGCGATATCAAATACAAGATCGATTAATACGACTCTTGTCAGAAGGCCTTGATGATGCTGGATTGGACGCTGATCCGTTAGTCCACTTGAAAGACAATTCTACGCCCAGGTACTGGACGACAGCTACCCATTATTCTACCCTAGACTAGTCCAAGCATATGTCTGAAGGTTCAATTGTGTCAACATCATGACACTTGAAAGAAATTGCGGGAAATTCTTCCCAGCTTGCTAGCACTGCCACAGCCTTGAGCCCAACACCCCGGCTTGAGATGTGTGATAGAACAGAATGTGTGGTTGGGGTACAGTAAGTGCCGTGAGAATTGTTTCGCTACCGAGTTATCCAGAAACAAAGAGACTCTCTGCTCACTATGCTCTCTAATGGCTCACACCGTTCATACCACTAGGCTGTCCGTTAGCATGCCCAATAACCCCATTCGCCACACCACTGGCCTCCGCCGGCCACTCGACACTCGCCAGCGTCACCTCGATCAAACTCAGCTCGCCTTGTTCCGGCCGATGAATCCTCTGCAACTTCAGCTTTGGCTCCACGCTCGCAAAGATGCCCTCAAAAGCACTCTTCGTCCTCTCCCGACCGTTCAGGTTCATCAACATGAGCAGGTCACGGTCGTGCATGCGTCGCTCGATCTCGCGGTCCTCTTTACCTTGTTCGGGCACCACAACCTCGTTGAGGATGATGCGGTCTTGCGGGCGGAGGTTATAGGCGAGTTGCTGGACGATCTTGGTGGCGTACTTGTCGCTCCAGTCGTGAAGGATAAAGCGGGCGAAATAGGCGATGGACTCATCGTTGGGGACGCTGTGAGACGGTTGAGGTGTCATGAAGTCGTGGGCGCGGAAGGCGACTCGCTTCTTCAAGTCCTCCGGGCACTTCTCCGCACCAACGACGACAGTCTCTGGGAGATCTTGGACTTCGAACCGCAGGCTAGGATACTTCTCTGCAAGAGCCATTGCCACGTGCCCGGGCCCGCCGCCCACGTCAACGACCAAGTGGCCCTTGTCTTCTTGTAGGAGATGCCAGGGGTAGCCGCCATTGACGGCGTGTCGGAAATCATACGCTCCGCCAGCAGCGATGCCACGCATGGCACGGGCGAACATCTCGTGGTCTTTGAGACCGTCTGGCTCGCGGAAACGTTGGAACTGAGCAATCTTGCGACCGATGGAGACGCCGTACGCAGCCTCGTCGGCTTCCATGCTCACACCGTACTGGTCGATGGCACCAGGGATTGACGCACCAGCGGGATAGGCGATTGCCAAACTGAGGTACATCCATGCCTCGAGATCGGGGTCAGTTACCAGGAGAGACGACGTGGCGTTGTGAGTGACATAACCGCCTGGCAGAGTCTCGAAGAGCCCAAAGGAGGCCGTGTGTTGCAGCGTCCGCTCGACAACCATAGGCGTGACGCCCCGCCCCACAGCCTCAGCAATCTTAGTGTACGTTGTCGCACCATGCAGAGGAACATGATTCGCGAACTTATACTTGAAAACCACCTGCATCGAAGCCGAAGCACAGTGCTCAAACGACAGATACAGCAAGTTCTCGCGAGGACCTCGAACGAGACGGATGATTTGTTCGGCCGCCTCGACGATCTTGGTCCTGGCATCGTAGTAGGGCTTGTTGGCGGTGTTGAGCGGAATCGCAGGCGCAGCGGCGTCAAAGGATGGGCTTGGGAGGCTGCGTTTGCTGAGGAACTTGTCGAGTTTGGCCGAGGCGGAGACAAGCTCGGCCGTGAGCTCGAAGAGCTGGTCGGCTTCGACACGGTTACTCATCTTGCTTCCAGAGACTGTGTGTATGCTTGGTGGTGTCTGCGGTTCTCAAGTGGGAAGTCCCTGCTCAACGATCGCTGCAGCGTTTGTGAGCGCAGTGGCCTCAAATGTCTGGGAGATCGCGAACAGTATCGGCCATCGTAGCTGTAAGTTGACAACCACTTCACTGTCCGGTATAACCGGCTCGGTGCTTGTTTGCTCTTCTCGTTGGACCAGGACTCTCCGATGCGGTTCCCGCCCTTTCCGAATTCGGCGATGACGCCTTGCAAGTGAATGTCGTTGGTTGCACGTGACTCGGTGATCACTTGCACATTTGCCGGAGCTGCGCCAGGAATCGCCGGGGTCTATTGCTTTGACTTCAGCTGCGGCGATGATGTTGCCGTTGACGATAGCCTAATTGTTTTCGTGCGCAGTGGTAAGAGTGCCAGGAATAGTTGCTGCTGGCGAGACTAGAAACTCTGACGATGATGTTTGGTACTTGCAGCACAGCTTCTCGTACAGGATTCCGCAACTCATCGCCTTGGCTTCAAAATGTACTTGAAAGAAGCGGAGTCGAATGTAGAGCAGTGTGAGAGGCTCATTATTCCAATCCTGCCATCAAGAGCAGCCAGACGAGAATGTATAGACGTCTAGCTGTTCAAGCGCCAAAACACCTGCATAAGACCGAAGCGCGAACTTGATTTTAAAGCTGGAAAGGAGGACAATCCACAAGATCCTTCTGCCCAAACATCTTCTTGCTGCCAATCTCACTCCGCTTGATACTCTTCCACGCCCGCTTCCTCATCTCAGCCTCGAACTTTCCCATGAGCTCGGTCGTCAAACCCGCTTTGATGATCTTCGCAAGCGCTGCGGCATCACACAGAGCAGTCATCGCACCCACGCCACCGCAGGGACTCATAGGATGAACGGCATCACCGAGTGCCGTGATATTGGGAGTTGGCTGCCAAGCGGGGATATCGCACACGGTCGAAGCCACACGCATCATCGAGGATTGACGGCGATCTTGTAGTTCGAACAGGGAGCGAAGTGATGTGTGCCATTCGGCGGTGACGGCAAGCGACAAGTCTGCTGCTGTGCCCGAGACTTTGGCAGTGGAAACGTCAGCGTCGATTTGCAGGTCGAAGCGTTCTTTGCGGCCGATCAGAGCCCAGTAGACGTAGTCCGCGGGGAGCTCTGGGTGAAGGTTTCTGGTCTCCGCGCTGAAGCGAATGGGCTCGATGAGGACGGTGATGGGGCTCTCGCCGATGAGACAGGATTGCAACATAGGCGCAGAATCGGAGGCCACGGTCATCCAGCGGAGCCCCTTTTCTGGGAAACGCTGCAGCAGCTCTGGTGTCATGACAGTCTTGCCGTAGATGCAGGCGGCGCCAGTGTCGACGAGAGGGTGGTTGGGTTGGCGATTCTTCCGCACAACGGAATGCAGGCCATCGGCACCAACGAGGAATGATCCTTCAATGGATGAGCCGTCCTTGAACGAGACCGTGATGGTACCATCGGCTTCGTCAGTGATGTACGAGACCATCTCCTTGCCAAAGGTGATTTTGTCTTTAATGCCACTCATCAACTGATTGCGGAAGACTCGTCTGTCAACGGTAAAGCTAGGATAGAGGCCCATCTTTCCGCTAAGGCCACCGCCAGCACGGCTGTGGACTATGTTGCCGTTGAACGGATTGAAGTCGGTCTCACCAATGGTGGTGACAGCGCAAGAGGTAACAAAAGCCGCATATGTGTCCGTGTCCAAGCTTTCCTCGAGAGCTTTGGCAGCGTCGGCTTCGAGCTTCAAGCGGTAGCCTTGAGGGCGAGAATCGACTGCTTGATCGCGCTCAAAGACACGGAATGGGATGGATGCCTTTTTGAGAGCCTGCGCAAGACAAAGACCCCCGATGCCGGCTCCCATGATCAACACCGGCTTGTCGGCAGTGGTAGGATGGACAATGACGTTGGACGGGATGGCGGTTGGGACAGCTGGTACAGTTTGAACAGGCACATGCGGAGGGCTGGGAGGAGCAGCACTTTCGAGTGTGATCAAACCCATGACACTTTCATGAGGCTGGTGGACGTTTGTGATCTGCAGCACAGCGGTGCTTGCAAGAGCTTTCCAGTCGTCAAGTTCTCTCTCCTTGGCGTTGAATACCTGCATCATGGTAAGATCTCGAATGCGCAGCTGCTGCTCCTGCATAGCTGGAATGGTGCGAGGTTGCGGGAGGATGGTGTCCATAATGACCACTTTGGCACCGGGCTTCAGCGAGGCTTGGATGTTGGAAAGAATATTCTTGGCGTCTTTGTCTGGCCAATCGTGGATGATCATGCGTAGAAGGTATACATCGGCATCCTTGACTGGCTGAGGACCGAAGAAATCGTGGTCCATGAAGCTTATGCGGCCTTTGACAGATGCGTCGAGCCGATGATCAGCCTCGAAAGCCGTACGAGCCGTAGACACGGACTCTGGCAGGTCTTGTACGATGAAGTGGAGGTGAGGGAACTTGGATGCAATAGCAATGCTCAAATGACCGTGCGATCCACCAACGTCGACCACTTTGGAGCCAGCCGGAAGAGCGGCCCAATCGAACCCATCGACTGCGTGCTGCAGACTCCATGTCTCGTTGTGTGCGACGTTACGCATATATGCAGCGAAGAGATCCGTCATTGCGGGAGTCTGACGCAAATGGTCGAAGAAAGGCAGCTTAGAATCCAGGCCCAAATTGAACGCCGTCTGGTCTTTGGCGGACGTCTCTCCCCACATCTTGGTAGCCTCTGGCAACTTGTAGGCAGTGGGAACTGAATAGTTGACCATCCATCGAGCCCAGTTGAGGAAGCTCTGATCCCGGGCGAAGAGGGCAGAAATGCGACTGTGAGCGACGACATTGGGCCTGGGCTCTTGAAGGAACCCGTTGCAGATAGCCATGCGGGTGATAGCACGGAGCTGGCTCCAAGGCACTCGAGCCTTTGCCGCCAGGTCATTGTAGCTGATCACGCCATTCTGGGGGATGTACTCGAGAATGTCGAGGTTGATGAGCCACCTGACGCATGTGAGTTCCTGGTACTACGTTGCAATGCCAGTCAGCTCCTTTCGAGACAAAATTTTCACTGCATTGATGGAGACTCACGCCATTCTGCAGATGTTCCAAGTACTCTTCAGGTCGAGTGCCTAGTCCAACAAGGCTTGCTGAGGCCTCTGTGAACTTCTTTCTTGAGATCTTGATTGACTTAGGAGCAGCGTCGAACGGGTCGCGGGGCAACCCAGAGCCATCAGCCTCTGGTTGTCGGTTGGTCTTGAGGTACTGAAGGAGTTGTGCGGAATGAACGTTGATGGCCTCCAGAGAAGCCTGGAATTCATCTTGGAAGCCCATAGCTGAAGAATGGCTGCACGGGTGGACACCTTGGGCACACGTCTTGTTCCTGGAGGGATAATAATGGTACTGTGAAGACACATGGCAAAAGCCGCCGTAGCCTTCAATCGGAACTGGTTGCCGCGCTCTGATGACGGTCGGGCAAAAGCATTGTATGTGATCCCCGAGTTGCCGCAAACGTGGTCCCCTGTACTGACACTACTAGCGCAACTCGACCATGGAACGGAACGTGGTCCAGAATTCGGGCTAGAGGTTGAGCCGTGCATGCTGTAACGTGTAGGCACGTGGACTCTCATGTCATCGAGACATGTGACTTTCACGAGGCTGAGTGAATCAAAGCCGGGCCGCTTTACTTTTGAAGAAAAGTCGCCGAGGTTGGAGAGCGGCGACAGCACAGTGGACTGAGAAAGCAGCTTGCGCTGATTGGTCTTGACTTTATGTCCCCGTGTCTTGTGAAGGCTTGAACGTGGTTGTGCTGCTTGTGTAGGCTTGGTTCCCATCCTGCTGCCATGCGGTAGCCGGTGGCAAACAGCGGCGAGTTTCTCGTAGTTGGAGCGGGGAGTAGCTTCTCATCCACTGGAATAGTTGCTTGAGCGGGCATTTAGGTAAGACTGCCATGCTAGGTATAAGTGGTGCTGGGGAAAGGAGAATGCGTGTGCCAGGGTAGCCTTACTACGCTCTCTCCATTCATTGCCTCAACGCAGCAGCCAGTCCTAGTGCTGGACGATACGCCCGCTCACCATGGGCAGCAAATCCCCGACCGTGCAGGTGTATGCGTTTGGTGATCAGACGTACAACGCCACCGACATTCTCTCCAAGCTGCTTCGGACTCACGATGACCCAATCGTTGTCGACTTCCTTGAGCGCAGTGCCTCGACGCTGAAGCACCAGATTAAGCAGCTCCCAGCAGAACAGCAGGCAGCCTGCCCTCGTTTTGCTCGCCTAGCCGACCTTCTCCCGTACTATCGGGCAGGCACGCTGAATCCTGCACTCGTCCAGGCCTTGACCTGCACTACTCAGCTCGCAGCCTTTCTCCAGTACGTGTGCCATTCCAGTCCTGTGATACTTTCTCAGCTTGCGTACTAATATATTTGATCGCAGGGAAAACAGCAGTGGTGGCCGCAGCTATCCCACAGCTGAGAATGCCTGCCTTACGGGTGTATGTACTGGTGCGTTGGCAGCAGTCGCCGTGAGCTGCGCACCCAGTGTGGCAGCACTCCTACCTCTCGCTCTCCATACCGTCGCTGTCGCACTTCGACTTGGTGCTCTTGCTTGGGACGTGGCGGAGCGTCTCAACAACCGCGACACAGACTCGGCGGCCTTCGCGTCGTGGACGTCTGCCGTTGCCGGTGCCAGCGCCGAGGACATCGCTGAGCAGCTCAGGCAATATGCCTCGACAAAGGTAAGATAAGTGAAAGAGCCACAGCCTTGTTGTAGCCCTTGTTCATCGGGTATGTCTTGTCCAAATGACTGACGTTGGCTGTTGTTGTTGACAGGGCATGCCCGCGACGGCCGCTCCGTATCTCAGCGCGCGTGTCGGGCCCACCCAAGTCTCGATCTCGGGACCACCGTCCTCTTTGGCCGCATTTCTCTCCACCCTTTCCCGGCCAGCGTTCCTCTCCACGCCGCTCCCCATCACCGCCCCCTACCACGCCGCCCATCTCTACTCCGCCGCCGACATCGACTTGGTGCTAGGCAGCATCGCTCCGAGTGATGCTTGGCCTACCACTCGCATCCCAATTGTCTCTGCTGGCGGACGGAATGATGGCGAGAGCAGCGAGCTGTCCCTCTCCGCCGCTTTCCCGGCTGCGCTGGCTGAGGCCGTCCGTGACTGTCTCACACGTCCCATCGCCATACATCAATGGCCGGCAGCGATTGCAGAGCAAATCAAGTCTCGTGGCAATGACTACTCTGCGATACCACATCCTGTTGCCCTGGCGTTTGCCGACCGCCTTGGGCCCTTGATCAACGCCCATCTTCCCTCGTCGTCATCGAGTCCGTCTCCCCAAACATCAGCTCTTTCACTTCCTCCATTGGCTGATGGCCATGGACGGGCTGCTAAGTCACCCATTGCAATCATCGCTGCAGCGGGCCGTTTCCCTCAGGCCGACAGCATGCAAGCCTTCTGGGATGTGCTTTCCCACGGCGTTGACACACATGAGCTGGTAAGCCAGGCTGCATATTTTGGTCGAACGTTGCGTACTAACAATTCACACAGGTTCCCCCATCGCGATGGAACGCTTCCGCTCACGTCGGTGATGAGAAAGTGAAGAATGTGTCTGGCACTGGTTTCGGTTGTTGGTTGCACAACGCCGGCCAATTCGATGCCGGCTACTTCAATATGAGTCCGAGGGAGGCACCTCAAGTTGATCCAGCTCAACGTCTGGCCCTTCTTACGGCCGCAGAGGCCTTGGAGCAAGCAGGCATTGTCCCTGATCGTACGCCATCTTCCCAAAAGAACCGGGTCGGTGTCTACTTTGGTTCCACTAGCAACGACTGGATGGAGACCAACAGCGCGCAGAACATCGATACCTACTTCATTCCAGGAGGAAACCGCGCTTTTATTCCCGGACGAATAAATTACCATTTCAAATTCAGCGGGCCTAGCTACACTATCGACACCGCCTGCAGCTCAAGTTTGGCTGCTCTCCACATGGCGTGCAATGCCCTCTGGAGAGGAGAGATTGACACTGCCATTGTTGGCGGAACTAACGTCCTGACCAACCCAGATATGACGGCCGGACTGGACCGTGGCCATTTTCTCTCAAGGACTGGCAATTGTAAGACATTCGACGACAATGCTGACGGATACTGTCGTGGCGAGGTAAGACAGAAATCGAAGTATTCTGCTCCTCACCAACAACTACTGACTTTGCTCTAGGCCGTCGTCACTACCATTCTCAAACGTCTCGACGACGCAAAAGCAGACAAGGATCCTATCCAAGCATGCATTTTGGGCGTCGCTACGAATCATTCAGCCGAAGCAGAGTCCATCACACGTCCTCACGCAGGAGCTCAACAGGAGCTCTTCGAAGGCCTTCTCAGAGATACTGGTGTTAGTATCCAGGACATTAGCTACTGCGAAATGCATGGCACTGGAACGCAAGCTGGAGATGCCGGCGAGACGACATCGGTAGTCGAGACTCTGGCGCCCTTGACGGCACTGGGCCAACCAGTGCGACCAGCAACATCGCCGCTACATATTGGAGCAGCAAAATCCAACATCGGACATGGCGAGGCTGCAGCTGGAGTGACAAGTCTTGCCAAGGTGCTACTCATGCTCAAGCACTCTAAGATCCCTCCCCACTGCGGAATCAAGACCAAACTCAATCATCGCCTGCCTGACATCCAGGCCAGGAACACCTACATCTCCAGGCAAGGGACCGCATGGCTTCGGCCACAGAATGGCAAGCGACGTGTGCTCCTCAACAACTTCTCGGCCGCCGGTGGAAACACCGCCCTCGTGCTGGAAGACGCCCCCGAGCAGGAGCCCTCGAGCGAGCTTGACCCACGCCAGCACCACATTGTGTGCGTGTCTGCCAAGACTGTGCCTTCGCTCATCAACAACCTCCGCAACTTGATTGTTTGGATCGAACGGCAAGACCAGTCCGACCCTCTTCTCTTGCCACGGCTCTCCTACACCACCACCGCTCGCCGCATGCACCTTCGACACAGAGTGGCGGTCACAGGGTCCAGCCTCGACCAGATCCGCAACGCCCTTCAAGATCACTTGACCCGACGAGAAAACGGCGATAATGGCCCACTGGTGCCAGTCAAAGGACCAAACTTTGGATTTGCTTTCACTGGTCAGGGTTCGCCTTTCCCTGGTATGGGATCGGATCTGTACGCTCGCTTTTCCTCCTTCCGAAACGACATCCTGCGCTACGATCAGCTATGCATTCAGATGGGGCTGCCGTCCATCAAGATTGTGTTCGAAGACGAGACGACTTTTGAAGCGGCCTCGCCCACACTTCTACAATTGACGCATGTCTGCTTTCAAATGGCGCTCGCTCGCCTGTGGACATCGTTCGGAGTCACCGCCAAATCGGTCGTGGGACACAGTCTTGGCGAGTACGCTGCACTGTTCACATCTGGCTCGCTATCTCAAGCCGATGTAATCCATCTCGTTGGCAGCCGTGCACAACTCATGGAGAAGCATCTGGCTCCTAGCACGCACGCCATGCTTGTTGCATTTGCCAGTCAGGAGAAGGTGGCATCGGCCATGGCTACCTCTGACGCACAGTATGAGATCTCCTGTATCAATGGCAGAGAAAACATTGTGCTTGGTGGCCAAGTAGCGCAGCTCGAGAAAGCTCAAGCTCGCCTCGAGACCGAGAACATCCGCTGTTTCTTCCTGAAGACTCCATTCGCTTTCCACACTTCGCAGGTTGATCCGATCCTGGAACATTTTAGCACTGTGGCCAGCGGGTCAAAGATCGGTCAACCCAGAACGCCTGTCATCTCACCAATGCAAGGGACCGTGCTTCGTGACAGTTCCCAATTCGAAGCGGACTATTTTGTTAAGCACTGCCGTAGACCTGTGGACATGGTGCGATCTTTGACCGCTGCCAAGCGAGAGGGACTGATTGACGACACGGTAATGCTCGTTGAGATCGGTCCCGCTCCTGTGGTCACTGCTGTCGTCAAAGATGTAATTGGCTCTTCGACCATGCAGACATTTGCGTCGGTCAGGAAAGGCAGAGATACGTGGGAGCTGCTCACCACTGCACTCTCCAAGATGTATTCCATGGGTGCCAGCATCGATTGGTCGAGGTACCACCAAGATTTCGAGGGCTGCCAACACGTTCTGGAGTTGCCTGCGTATGGCTGGAGTCTGAAGGAGTACTGGATGCAATACGTCCACGACTGGTCCCTGCGGAAGGGCGAACCGCCACTAATTGTGAGCTCTCCGAGTCTTGAATCGTCTTCCATCCACAAAGTCGTCACCAACACCATCAGCAATGGTAGCGCCGACGGCGAACTGGTTGTGGAAGCCGATCTCAGTCGTGACGATCTTCATCCGATGGTGCAGGGGCACCAAGTGTACGGTGTTCCTCTTTGTACGCCATCAGTCTATTGCGACATTGCTCTTACAATTGGCGAGCACATCAAGCAAAGCACTGGCATGGCAGCAACCGCGGCGGTGGAAGTCGCAGAGATGAACATCCAAAGTGCTCTCGTGGCCAATAACAGCGGCAAGATGCAACTGCTGCGCACTGTCGTCAAGTTTGATGCCAAGAAGAGTAGTGCATATACCACCTTCTCAAGCGTCAGCGAAGACGGCAGCAAGGTCGTTGAGCAGCATGCGAACACTCTGATCCGTTTTTCCGACCTTGAACAGTCGAAGCGTGATTTGAAGGACGCCGCAGTGAAAGCGCAAACTCGCATGAGTGCCCTGAACGATCAGGTTGGCACTGAGGCTAACACATACCGTTTCAGCAAAGCCATGATCTACAAGATGGTGGGCCAGCTGGCTGACTTTGACGAGAAGTATCGCGGGCTCTCTGCCATTACTTTGGACAACGACAACATGGAGGCTGCTGGTATGGTCACATTCAAGGGCATTCCCAATGACGGAAAGTTCCACACCAGTCCCGCATACCTTGACGCTCTTTCACAGCTAGGCGGCTTTGTTATGAATGCCAATGAGGGCGTCGATCTTGACAAGGAAGTCTTTGTCAACCACGGGTGGAAGTCGATGAAATTCTTCACGAAGCTCGATCCCGCTATGACATACTACACTCATGTCAAGATGACTGAGGGTGAAGACAAGCTTTGGACGGGAGATGTGCTTGTCTTTGATGACAAGAAGAAGCTTGTTGGCATCGTTGGTGGAGTCGCGGTGAGTTGGTCATTTTCACTACACTCGTATCATTACTGACATCTTTTGCAGCTCCAAGGCGTCCCTAAACGCCTAATGCACTACATTGTCACAGCAGCTAACAAGAAGGTCTCTGGTGATGCCAGTAAGCCTGCCGCGAAAGGCACTCCCAACAAGGTTGCCGCAAGCACTGCAGCTGCCCCGGTCGCAAAGACGACGACCACTACTACCACGAAGAAAGTCAAGGCGGCTCCAACCGGTGAATCGCCTCTGGTCACGTCAGCGCTTCAGATCGTTTCCGAGGAAATCGGTATGGAGATCAGCGCTCTGACTGACGACATTGTCTTCACAGACGCGGGACTGGACTCGTTACTGTCCCTTGTTATCAGCAGCAGGATGCGGGATCAGCTCGAAATTGACTTCGAATCCGCCCAGTTCATGGAGATTGGCTCGATTGGGGCTTTGAAGAAGTTCCTACGCGAGTTGGGTGGCGGAGCGGTGTCCAACGAGCACGAGACGGTAGAAGTCGAACAGACAGTAGTAGAAGAGGACAAGCAGGAAGCCACGCCCCCAGCCTCAGACGCCAGCGATGAGGAGCAGTGGCCGAAGATCTTAGACATCCTGTCTGAAGAGAGTGGTATTGTCACCAAAGACTTGACGGATGACGTTGCCTTTGCCGATGCTGGTGTGGACTCCCTCTTGTCGCTCGTGATCACCAGTCGGTTGCGCGATGAGCTGGATCTGGACCTGCCTGACCGAGCACTCTTCGAAGACTGCACGACTGTTGGTGGCCTCCGCAAACACTTCGCTGGGTCCGACGGTACTTCATCTCCGGCCGAGCCAGCCGTGCAAAATGCCGCTCTCGTCGCAGACACGCCTGCCACTGAGTCAGTGCCTCCAACTCCGTGGTGGTCTGATTCGGAGGAGGACCCCCAGACCCAGAACACCACCCCTCCCAGTGAGCTTGATGACATTCCTGAAGAAGAGATCGGCAAGTCGGCTTCTGCTCCTCCGTCTGCAGAGCGCATCGCTCCAGCATGGTCCATGTATCTGCAAGGCTCCCCAAAGCGCTCCACCGAAACCCTGTTCCTCTTCCCAGACGGCTGTGGTGCCGCCACATCCTACCTCAATCTGCCTCGAGTGAGTGCCTCGACAGCAGTCGTTGGTTTCAACTCCCCATTCATGAAGTATGTCAACCACATCAACTTGTCACTTATTCCGTTGGCTAACCTTCTTCTCTCTCCAGGACTCCTGAGAAGATGTTAGACCGGAAGCTCCCTGAAGTGGTAGACTCCTACATCCAGGGTGTACGCAAGCGACAGCCTCACGGTCCGTACCATCTTGGTGGCTGGTCAGCAGGTGGAATCCTCGCCTATGCCATCGCACAACAACTGATGGCCATGGGTGAGAGTGTAGCAACGTTGCTCCTCATCGACTCTCCACCGCCGACTAAAGGACTCGATCGCCTGCCTCAGCGCTTCTTCGACCACTGCAACAGTGTCGGTCTCTTCGGCACTGAGATGCAGCGTGGAAACAATGGACCTCCAGCGAAATCTGGACCTCCACCAGCACCCCCCGCATGGCTGATGCCTCACTTCCGCGCCACGATTGAACTCTTGCACGAATACGTTGCTCCACCTATGAAGCCCTCAAGCCTCCCCCGACCCAAAGTCACTGTGATTTGGGCTGGCGACTGCGCCTTTGACGGCAAACACTATGCCCACCTTCCGCCTCCACCACCGGGCAAGGAGCATGAGGACACTGATGGCATGAAGTTTCTTAGTGAACGGAGGAAGGACTATGGTCCGGATGACTGGGTGAGTCTCTTCCCCGGCATGGAAGTCACGGCGAAATACGTCGAAGGAGAACATCATTTCAGTATGATGAGGGATGCTGGTGCCGAGAGCCTGGGGCCCATGATGAGGGAGGCTATCAATTTGTAGATCTAGATTGTTGAGAAAGAAAGAAAGCTGTTCCATGTGGTACCTTTATATATTACAAGAGATCGACGAAACAACACAAAGCATTTGCTTTTGTATCTCATCTGGTGGCATGCGGTCAATTTTCGCCGCACCGCCAGTTGTGACCATGACGAAAGCGAGATGCAGGTACGGTTCAAAAGAGCTGCCGAGCTCTCTTCCACAAAACAAGTATATACACGTCCCGTCGATCATTCAATACAGAGAGTGATCATGAACTTTCCCTCATCAACCTCTCCAAAGCCCCTCGCCATAATCGCAGGTGTGGGCACCGGCTTAGGGGCCTCAATCGCCCGGCGCTTCGCAGCCGCTTATACCACCGTTCTGCTCGCACGGAAACTTGAACATCTCTTACCGATTGAGAAGGGAATTACAGATCGCGGCGGAGATGCATTCAGTGTGGCCTGCGATGTTTCGCAACCGGAGAGTGTGAAGAATGCATTTGGGAAGATCGAAGAGGTGTTTCCGGGCAGGGCGTGTGCGGTGGCGGTTTTCAATGCTACTGGCCCGTTTGTGATGAAGAGTGTGCTGGACGTTGAGGTTGAAGAGTTCGATAAGGGGTACGGGGTCTCTATGTACGTTGCATGCTCACCTTCTAAAGAATTGGGTAGATTGATTGACCATGGATGTAGGAAAGGAACCCTCCTCTTCTCCCAACGGGCCATTCCTCTCCTCCTCTCCTCCTCAACCTCTCCCCATCCTCCGACCCTAATCTTCACGGGTGCCTCCGCGTCCCTCAAAGGCTCTGCGCTCTTCTCCATCTTCAGCGCCCCCAAATTCGGTCTTCGCAGCCTGGCTCAATCCATCGCACGCGAATTCAACCCAAAAGGCATTCACGTCTGCCATGCCGTTATCGATGGGCCGTTGGACGTCCCTTGGGCGAAGGAGTATCTAGGTGGAAAGACTGACGAAGAAACGATTGATCCGGAGGAGGTTGCGGAGACGTACTGGGCGTTGCATTGTCAGGGGCGGAGGGGTTGGAGTTTTGAGGTTGATGTTCGGGCGATGGGAGAGAAGTGGTAGATTGTTCTATGCAAATTGAATCAAGACAGCTCAGTGCTCAGGTCATGAAGAACTCCATAACGGCAATACTTGTTGGCCTGCGCCTCCTTCCAGAATCAAAGTATATCTTAGATGACATAAGGGGGCTCGAATCCATTCCACTCTCGATAGGCCAAAGGCACCTCCGGAAAATCATCAACGCCATCTACAAGCACCATAGCCATGCCCCCAGATAGATGAGTCTGTACATGGCAATGAAACAACCACACTCCAGGACTATCCGCTTTATACCTGATCGCCGTCCATGTATCCGTCGGCTCACCCTGGATCTCCACCGTGTTGAACGTATCCAGGTAAGGCGGCGTTTCCAAATTGAATTTTCCTTCGGGTAAGTGCTTACTGGCTTCCTCGACGGACTCCCAGGGAAAGTTGCCTTTGCCCGAGCCGATCAGGAACATCCTGTTCCCATGCTTGTGCATTGGGTGGGCCTGGGCGAAGGGTCCTTCCGTGACCATAATGATGTCGACCCACTCGTCTTTGTTTGTTTTCAGGATCAACTCCTCATCGCGGGAGATATCGTTAGGATTCTGGAGCAGGAGCGGAGGATCTGTCCGCTCACGGCTCATGTTGTAGCCGTGCTTGCCCGTCATGGTCCACTCATAGGCGCCATAGGGCCGACCGAGTTTGCGAAGCAGGATCTTGAAGGTCTTGTCGGCACGTTGTTTTGGGCAGACTGCCGGGTAAGGCTTCGTGTCTTCTGGGATGAACGACACGACGTCTTTGTTGAGTGGGTGCCCAGCGAAATCGATCTTAGGTTCAGCCCATTTCGCTCTAGTATTGGATCCATCGTAGGCCAGCTCTCCGAAGCCGCCTAGAATTTGGTTGAGATAGCTGTTGGCGATGCGGATCGTGTAGCGACCTGGTCTTTGATCTAGTTTGATCATGATCGAGATCCTGCTTCCAGTGTTCACCAAGAATCGATCAGTTTTGATGGGCATCACATAACGTCCGTCAACAGCGAAGACGGTAGGCTCATGGCCATCGATTGAAACCTGAAGAGGATAGAGACTGCCGGGATTGATGAAAGTCAAAGCAGCCCAGCCCAAAGAACTGTTCACGTTCAGCGTGAAGTTGCCTCGATCGTTCTGTCCGCCTAGACATTGATCGTAGGCTGTCGGAGGAAGACGGTCGAGGTCAAGGTCAAAGTCACCCTGGAATTCTTGCATTGCGGGAATACATCCTTTGTGAGTGACGTGGTCGACACCCAGGTCGTGCAACATCTGGCGCACAACCGGATGCGTCATGTTGTCTAGAGCGTCATTGTCGAGACAGTATTGCGAGCCGATGCCATTGATGATGATCGCATCGATGCATGCCATGTCCACGTTGGCAGCTGACTGTATAGCATGGAACTCCGTAGAAGTGAATTGGGTCCAGTCAGAGATCATCAGCGTCTCCATGCTGGTTTCTGCTCCCGTCATGGCGACTTGTTCGCCTTGCTCTTCACTCATCAGATGGAACGGCCGCGGTTCCTCCTCAGCTGGCTCAATGATAATTGCTCCATACATGCCATCCATCATCTGTGACCTTGCATGAGCATGGTAAAAGTATACTCCAGATTCTTGTGCTTGCCATTGGTAGAGGTAGGAAGCTCCAGGATTGATCGACGCTTGGGTAAGGCCAGGGACGCCATCAGACCAAGGCGAGTTGCTCTGACTGATGCCGTGAAAGTGTACAGATGTGCCTTGTTCCAAGTAATTTCGCACTAGAAATTTGACATCGTCTCCTTGCTTTGCGTGTAGTGTTGGGCCGACGAAGCTGTCGTTGATCAGAATTACCGGGCGCTCGCCGATGCCAACGGGATTTGCAGCGCCATTGGACAGGTGAATCTCGAAAGTGGTCACCCTGGACCTGGTTTTGATGGCTTGCACTTGTAAGATTAATATGGCGAGAACTGTAACCAGAGGACTCCAAACAGATGACATCCTTGGGCCGCGATAACAAGCAGAAGCAGGTTGAGTTCTTCAGGTCTTGTAAGTCATGCGCGTTAGTGACGCCGTCGCATCAAGTAGCAAACTAAACACTACCAAATTTTGTTGCAGTTATGGCCATAAGCTGCGAATCTGGATCGATTGCCACTCTGAAGCAAGTTCGGTGACTTCGACCACCGAGTCGGCAACCAGATCACCGGCCTTGTACCACAGCCTAGTAGTTTGGCCAGAGCTATCGAGAATACCTACATTCTCACTCTCCTCAGTTGACGTTGGCGAATTCTGAAGTTAAAATTTCTTGCAGACACAATGCGCTTTCAACCGCTTGCCAGCTGTTTCTTCGCTCTGTTGGGCGAGGCTGCGGCGGATTCGCTGCGCTCTGTCCTTTCTTCGCGCAGCTCTTTTTCCGATCTTTATAACGTCCTGCACTTTCACGATCTGCTCAAAGACATCGATCGAATTCAAAATGCGACATACTTTGCACCCAATAACGACGCGCTGAAGTACTTAGCTGACTTCGGCATTAACCTCACAACGGCGGATCCCAGCATTGCTAGAGCACTACTCTACTATGGTCTCATCGATGGGCAACACTCCGTCGAGTCAATTCTTCAGGACGACGACATCCAGCTGGTCCAGTCAGCACTGCACCCGCCCTTGTTCACTAACGTGACAGACGGCCAGGCTCTCAAGCTCAGGACGAAGAGAAACGGCGAGCACTCGACTGTTGTGCTTGAGACGGGCCTGCAAGTCCTTACGAAATTAGTGGAGACGGACATCAGATTCGATCACGGCGTACTTCATGGTACAAGCACCAACATGGTTCTGCCACATAACATCTCGGAGACCTTGAACCTTGGAAATCTTCATGAATTCCTACGTCTGGTCAAAGTCACAGATCTCGTGCCAGAGCTGGAGAGTTTGGCAGACGTTACGTTTCTGTTCCCACATGATAAGGCCATTCAGAAGCTGCGGCCAGTCCTGGACATTCTGAGCCCTATTCAACTCGCCGCTTTTGTTAGAAACCATGCCATCCCAAATCACGTACTGTATGGTAAAGTGATCGGGAGTGCAAACAAGACTCTGCAAACTGTTGCAGGCGGGAGTGCAACCATTCGACGCTACGGCAAGGGTCAAGCCTACGTCAACGACATCCCAATCGTTCGCGAGGACATCCTTATCTACGGTGGCGTAGCGCACATTGTCGATGACGTTCTTTTCCCGGATCCCCGTGAGTTTCCCCATTGACAACGAGAGCTGTTCGGACACTGACAGCAGAGCTTATAGATGGAATTCCGGGCAGCATTTGGAGCGAAACTTCTGTCTCTGTGCACGACGAAACGAGTCTAACAAGCTGGGAAATGTCGAAACTCCAATGGGCCGGCTTGTTTTGCTTCGGCCTGCTTGCAGCAACGCTGTTACTTAAGAAGACAATCAGTAAGCGACATTCGTTCCGGCGAGTGCTTTCGGAAGAAAGCAACGACGAGCGCATGTACAGCGACTACAAGGTCCTTGTGTGAATGAGTTGTCACCTCTTCAAGCCAGAAATCGTTGATGCTTGTTGGGTTGACTCGGAAATAGTATTATACTTATACTCACCCCCACTACAATGGCATGGCATGAGCATTTGTTTCGGAGAACGCTCGAGCAAAATCGAATCTATTAATTTCGAAAAGCTTTACATGACATGTCAGCGAGGTCAAAGTTCTGGTGTGAGAATTGAGCATATGATTCTCACAAACCCCGGCTTTGAGAGATGGAATAGCTCGCCATGGAGAGACCGAATTGGTCTCTGTCTGACTATACTGTGATGTTAGCATACGGAAAGCAGAACTAGGGTAATCTCAGGGCAATACTAATATCATATTGTGATCGTTGAAGCAAGTTCTGCTACGTTACGTATACATACGATTCGCAATCTAACTAATTTTGCGTCTTCAGCGTGCTCACCTGTCCTCTATGTCGGTGGCACCCATCGACTCCGTGCTCTTATCTTCTCGCCATAAACGTAGAACAACACTGGAACGGGTGCCAGCACAACGGCTAACAGCCCAAGAATGCTAGTACCCCATTTGACTCCGATGGAGGCGTACATGGAAGTGCTATAGCAGTCAGTCGTTTGGTGTCCCAAATGCTGGAGTGGCGAAACTCACGCTAAGATTGGAAAGCCAGCCGCAAAGAGCGAGCGGAGGAAAGTGTTGGCAGCGATTGCAGAATTCGCGTATATCCCGTAACAGTCGACAATGTAGTTCATTCCTTGCATGTTAACGATGTGAATTCCGTAGCCCGTCGGTACACCAGCAATAATCTGCGGCCAAGGGTTAATTGAGGCTGAGCTTGTCCATGCAAACCAGAACATCCCAATAGGAAGAGCTACAGCTCCAGTCATCATCAGCAAAAGTCGGGTCTCCTGGGGCCGACCCTCAGCAATATTTGGGGACAGCCAGGTGTTGTTCGTCGCGGATATGACCACTCCAGCAAGAATAATCCCAAGAAGGAGAGCAATAAGGGGCAAGCTTGCCGACGTCTGATCCCAGCCTCGTTCTTGCATGAAAGATGTTGGGTAGGCAAGGAAAAAGTTGTACAGTAGGCCTTTGCCCGGTTAGTACGTGCGAGAGATAATGTCATTGATTGACTCACCAAAGCAAACGGAAATGTACAATGTGATGAGAGCAAGTATCGGCTCGAGGACAAGCATGCGAATCGGTCGTAGAAGATATCTTTCGGCGAAGTCGCTTAGCGTGCTTTCGTTCTCATCCCAAGTTGCCCTCAGTGCCCAGTTCTGTGTGAGGTGTCGAAGGCGTTTGGCTCTCTGAGAGAGAAGCAGAGGTGAGTATGTCTCCGATAGCAAAGGGAAGGTGCCAATGATCACGACCACTGAGGCAATGACTGTGACTGTCTCGATCCTGTTCTACATCAGCGGACCCGGAAACCTGGTGTCTTTGACGGATGCATACCATCTCCAACCCAACGGGCTGTTGACGAGGACTGACGCAATCTGCATGGTAATATGAGCTTCATGAACCAAGTGTCGTCTTGTACACAACTCACAAGAGGGCCAAGGAGTGGCCCAATAGTTAGGAAAGACCCCACGGCAGGCATGGCAAAGCCTCGTTGTTTAGGCGTCCATATGTCGGCTAAAGTACCGGAGAGTATGGAAGATGGAGCCGCACCAAAGAAACCCTGCAAGAAGCGAAGAAAGAAGATCGTCGTGGGGCTTTTCGCATCAATGACTGGTATGTGGAGGAGCGTGAAGTTGAAGAAGGCTATAAGTATCGGCATGCGTCTGCCGAAGCATTCACTTAGCGGCCTGGGTGAAAACGTCAGCGTTCTAAAGACTACAGATGCTTGAAATGGAACAGAATTAACATACCCCCAAAGTGCTGGTCCCAGCGCGAATCCAACCATGAAGAGTGAAGTGCAACCAAACACAACCGTCTTCGGAGGCAAATCAAATTCTTTGGCAATGACAGGTGTAGCAGCTCCAAAGGACGACGAGGCAAAGGTGGTGACGAGAGCATAAAGGGCCAAGGACACTGTGATGAGCCATTTTCGTACCAAAGGCAGATTTTTTGGATCCCCTTTATCGTCCTCGTCGCACCAGTCTACCACGAATGTCTTGCTTCTGATCACCTCAAGGACCTGTTCCTCGAGTTCTTCGGGATCGAGCGATCTGTCCGAGGACTCTGGTGGCGACTGAGAACCAGACCTGAAAGATATCAGTGGACTCTTGGCTCCGTCGAGCGTGCCGTAGGACTGTTCGGATGCCATGCTGTTTGTGCAGGTGCTAAACGGAGGGGAAGATTAATTGATAGAAAGGACAAGTGAAAGTGTGGCCGGAAGGGTCGTTGTTTCACCCAAGACACACGTGAGTGTGGTTACTGTTGAAACTCTTTCCGACCATTCGCCTCGATTCTAGTGTCTTGGTGAACAGTCTCCGTACTGCTCGTCTTCCACATCATGCATCGCAAACCGTTCGGGAATTGAAAGTCGGGAAACGGTCGTCGATGCCGAAAGGCTTCGCAGCGACAAAATAGGAAATCATGCCATCAAGCCAGCCAATCACAACTTGGGGGCATCGGCTCGTTGATGAAGCCGGAGCCTTGGTATTGTGGTAGAAGGCAGATAGTCAAACTGCACACGTTCTGCCATATTGTCGAACACCTTAAACGTCAAAAAGAATGTTAGCTCTTTATTGTCAGACTCTATCGCTGAAGATGTGACCATTGCACATCAAGAACTCATTATCGAACAAGACCATTATCTTGATCGTGGAGATCAACTACAATGAGATGAGACGAAATCGGTAGGTCTTCTTGTGACTTCATAGTGGTTCTACGAGATTTCTTTGAGTACACATATTGGTGATCATGCGAGAGTGGCACTTTCATTCCCAACAGCCCTTGTTACCCATGCAGTGTCTAGTCAGCAGACTCGTCCTCCCAGAAGCAGAAGCACCTCGTCTCAACACTCCTTCGTGGCGGGCCGAAGTCCTCAGGCGTGGGGAAAGCAGAGTGCGGAAGACGCCTGCAGACTCCCTCTTTCTTGGAGTCAAACATCTTCATCACGAGGCATTCGTCTGGGGTCATCTTGGAGAAGAAATGCCATTTGTGCTCGCCTTCCTTCTCAGGAGGTCCAACCTGCCACATCTTGTTCTCAGGAGGAGTCATGGGCCACTTCACTGGAACCAAGTGGATGGTATCGTGGAGTTGTTCCTCTGAGACCGTTCGAGCGTCGCAAAGCCCCAAAGGCTCGTTGTTGACAACCTCCAGCGGGCGCCAGATGTTGATGACGGACCACCTGGTCTTCTCCATGACTTTAGCCTCCTCAGCACCCATGTCAAGATACAATCTCTTTCGAGCTCCAGAGTAAGATTGATCGACGTGTACAAATCGAGCGGAAGCGTTGCCAGGAGTCATTTCCATGTCCGGCTTATCCTCATCCTCGCCGCTCGCTTTTGTGGCATCGTAGCCTCTTCTGCGCGTCAAGCTGCTGATAACGAAGACTCGAGAACAGCCGGTCCTTATCAAGTATTAGCATCGACATTTTTTCTGAACGGAGACAGTGGAGATTTCGTGTACTAACACTTTCTTCAAGAGCTTGACACAGTCCTCGTCGTAGGCGCTGCCCCTCAGTGGAACTACACCATCTTCGTTGAGCTCTAACCCTGGTGCTGGGGCATGCTCCAGCTGGAAGCCTTGCACGTCAATCTTGAATTGATCCTCGTGTCCACGCTCGTCATAGATCTTGACGGGGAACGGGTGGTACTTTCGACGCAGCTGCCCGTAGACTCCACCCCAGATGACTTCAGTTCCACCCATGGTAGGGTCGAGTCGATAGTTGAGAACCGCATCGACGTACGGTTTCTCTGGCTGGAGTACTGCTGCAGCCATGCTGAAGAATCCAAGACAATCACAAGGGCTAAGCCGTTCGAGAGAACAAATGGAGAGATGACGACTACTTTGTGGTAGGAATGAGGGAGCATGGTTCTTAATTGGGCACGAAACTGCTACAGTGAAAGCGTCGGCGTGCTTCGAGCACCGAGCGGCAATGTCGGGTTTCAGATTCGGCGTGCAATCCTGACGTATGCCGGTCCATGATCCCGCACTGTAACAATTTGTTGAAGCTGAAGGTCAAGCAACGCAGGGCATTTCCCAATCGCAATGAGCGTTCAGTTCAGACCAACATGATCAGGAAACCTATTCAGCTCAAAGGTCTTCATCACACTTACTGATACCGAGATCAGTGATCAAACACGCTCCTTCCTTGGATCTGTCAATGCTAACGGAGTGATGAGCCGCAGTCAGCCTCGGCGATCATTTACCGGTAGCCTTGCAGCTTCGATGAGCTCTCGGTCCAACCAGTACCCAAAATCATTTCTTACACAGTCAGTGAATGGAACATCCCATCTGATACAATCAACCATGTCGTCCGCTCCTAATGTACTCGATTACGACGTCGTAATAGTAGGGGGCGGCTTCTCGGGATGCTACTTGCTAAAATTGCTGCGAGACCAGGGGTTTGCCACCGTGCTGATCGAAGCCAACTCTCGCCTTGGTGGTGTCTGGTCTTGGAGTTGCTATCCCGGAGCCAGAGTCGACTCAGAACTTCCGTACTACGGATACTCCGATCCAGCCATATGGAGTACCTGGCAGTGGACTGAGCGATTCTGTTCGTATCGTGAACTTCGTGGCTATTTCAATCATGTTGACAAAGTTTGGCGACTCTCGCCTGATGTTGTCTACAATACCAAAGTGACTAGGTCCCAGTGGCAAGAAGATTCTGGGACCTGGCTTATCTCCACTGCGGAAGGGCAACAGCAATATAGATGCACCTGGTTTGTGCCTGCGACGGGCACCTCCTTCAAGACGAATGTTCCAGACTTGAGAGGCAAAGAACTGTACCAAGGTTCCATGCTACACTCTTCAAAGTGGCCAGAGTCCGGATTGGATTTTACCGGGAAGCGTGTTGCGATCATCGGCGCAGGGAGCACAGGAGTTCAAATCATGCAAGAGGCAGCAAAGAAGTCGTCGAGGGTGGTTCAATATTCGAAGACTCCCAACTTTGCGTTGCCAATGAGACAGCGGCAGATCAGCGAGGAGGAGATTTACCATACGAAGTCTCATGTTCCCCATCTTTTCAAGGTACCCGACTTCCTTGCAAAGAGACTCGAATGTTTGAATCACTCAGACTAACGATTTTCCTGAAAAGGCCTGTCGCAATACTCGGATTGGTTTAGCTGTGACCAATACTGGCAAGAAGACATTCGACGTATCGGATGAAGAGCGGGAGAGGATTTGGGAAGAGAACTGGAAGCGAGGAGGTTTCAACTGGTAAGTCAGAGTTGTTTTCAAGTTAATTGGATCCTTCTTTTCCCAGATCCTAAGTATCCCAGGTCGCAGGGAGGTTTTACAGACACTGTGTTTGAGAAAGAAGCAAATCTGGCTGCGTACAACTTCTGGCGCAAAAAGACTCGAGCAAGAATCACGGACCCGGCTAAGGCAGATGTACTTGCTCCAAAAGAGCCTCCATACTGGATCCTCACCAAGAGACCGTCGTTGGAACAAGTAAGCACCTGAAGTAGTTCTCACGACGGCAGAGGGAAGAAACTGATCTATATTTAGGATTACTTCGAAATGTGCGATAGACCAAACGTTGAGCTCATGAACTCGCCCATCGAAGAGTTCACTGAGAAAGGTATTATCACGAGGGACGGTCAGGTTCGTGAGTTCGACATCATTGTGTTCTGCACTGGCTACGATGCGGTCACTGGCGGGCTTCGCACTATGGGCATAAAAGGCAGAGACGGAATAGACCTTAACGATAAGTGGAGAGACGGCGTACGAACGCATCTTGGTATGCTCGTCACTGGGTTCCCGAATATGTTCGTGGCATATGGACCACAGGGTAAGTCTCAAGTTCGCGACGAGCAACGATCCTCAAGGCTGACATCTATAGCCCCAACATCACTCACCAACGGTCCTACATTCATCGAGATCCAAAGCGAATGGATCGCAGAAACCCTTTCTACACAGCGAGAGCAGAAGCTTCGCTCTATCGAGCCCAAGCCAGAAGCCGAAGAGGCGTGGCGCGAAGCGTGCAGCAAGATCGCTGAGGCTACTCTTTTGTCTCAGACTAACTCATGGTACATGGGTAGTAACATTCCAGGAAAGCCGCGTGAATTTTTGATGTACCTAGGCGGCATCCCCGCCTGGCACGAGGCTTGCAAGGAGGCTTTGAAAGACTGGGATGGGTTCGATGTTAGAACTTAGAAACAGAAGAAGCCATGAGTATAAACTTGAGCGAACGATGCCAAAGGACATGCCGGAGTAGAGGTAAGCTGGATTTTTGACGTAGCACGGACGATCGTTTATCTACTTTTCGTGTAAGACTTCTCCTCGAAGTGCATTCCGTATAGTAAGTGAACTCTCACCTGTTGATGGCATTGTCATTCTTGACTGTACGTTTCTCGGTCCAGTGACTGGACAGATGAGCATCGATTGTGCTGAAACCATTTTGCTGTACAAAGCACGTAGGTAACTACGGAGACTGACTCCCCTGACTTAAGTACAGATGGATTTCCTGTCAAGATCAGCTTGTTGACAAGACGAAACACTGCTTGCCGAGGGAATGATCAGAAGCTGCTTCCAATTTCGCCAAACACTGTGTTGCTTCAAATGCAGCTCACCAGCCTCTAGTGCGCCAGACCGGCGACTACCAAGAATAAGCATCAACATCAAGCTCAAAGATGGTCTTCTGGTGCTTTCCAGCTTCAATAACAGCCATACGAGCAGCATCGCACAGTCCTCCAGGGCCACAAACAACAACCCCAACTTTCCTCCAACCTGCCGCAGCCTCAGCCTTCAACAACTCCAAGATATCGAGTCTCGTCCCGATCCTCACGTCTTTCTCCGGTATAACTTCGAGAACGCTGCTGAGAGAGCGGACCAGGGATTCAGCGGGCGTCTGTACGCTCCAGGCGAGTTTGGTGTTAGGATGAGAGCCCACCCAAGGTACCAAACCAGAAATACCAATTCCGCCACCAATGAGTAGTAGACGGTCGGTCCGTAGAGCGGCTTTGTAAGAGTTGTTGTGATAGGGACCGTCTAGGAGAGTAAGTAGATTCTGGCCATGTTTGAATAGCCTCGTTGTGCCCTTCGACTTGCGAACGAACAGCGTAATCCCTGCGCTTGTCTTGTTTGCAATGATTGGGGTCGATGCGCTTCTTTGGTCTGTTGGTGTGGCGAAACCTGAGCTAGAGTTTGAGCCGTCTTCACCTGATACGTCGCTAATCTCCTTTATGTTGCCGTTGCCTTGAGCTTTTTCGAGGTCGCTCTGCGACGGACCCTTAGGAAAATCTTGCAACAACGCAGAGGGAGTCCACGAGAATGGATGGTTCTCCCAAGGACGCAATGGATGAAGTGTCGGGAAGTGAACGTATACATGCTTGCCTGGCTCAGGATCCCATCTCACCCCCTTGATGTCGATTCGTACAATGTCGTTGGCAAGTTCTGTAACGTCGGCTCGACGCATGCCATTGTAGACGATGCGGAAAAGTCGAACTACACGATCGAAACCCCAGAAGGCAATGGCTATGTAGAGCCAATCTTGTGACTCGTTGTGGTAGCGACCAATTCCATACGGGATGAGCCAGATGTGATACCAACAGCCGACGATGGTGATGGCCGCCAAGACGATGTGCGAGACTAAGAAAGAGTTGTATGACCACTGCCGGATCTTGGTCCCGCTGAAAACGATGAGGAGCACAGTTGTCAAAGTAGCGACAATCCCCCAGATCCAAAACTTTTCGACGACTTCAGTGGAATAGATTCCAGTTCTGACTGCCCACACCCATGCACAAATGGAGTGGACGATGGCCAGCAAAAACCATAAACGAGATACCCATCGGTGCATCATGATATAGGTGGTGTGGCTCCAGTTGGTTAGGTAGAGGAGCACATTGTTTCTGCCCGCGAAAAGGACCACAACTGGAAGAATCGCGTATCCAAATGTGCCACTTCGTTGGGTGACCAGATCCAGATTGTTGTTGTACCGTGTTGTAGTCCCGTCCAGAGGCTTAGTCTCGTATATCGACATCAGAATGATGGTCGAGGCGAACACGATGAAGATATAGACAGATTGTCCCACTGTAGGTATGTATCCGTATAGCCACTTGTGGAGCTGTATATGCCGGGTGCCAAATAGAGGCCTGTAGACAACAAAAGGCTTTACACGTTCGATAATGGAGTGCACGCCTGGGATCCAATTAAGCCAAGTAAGCAAGATTGGAAGGACCAGGAAGGTGACTAGCAGAGCCAAACTACAAGCCGTTAGGATATAAATGACTCGAAGTCGGATTCAGAACGTGGTCTACTCACCCGTATTGCGCCTGTCTCTGTACAAGTGGATCTATGCCTTCTTGAGAGTCATACTGATACTGGTAAGTACTCTCGTCGACAAGGGCGGTGTAGTTGAGCGTCCCATAAGGCATGATGACTTTGGTGGGCGGATCTTGGATCTGGTTCAAGGATTCGGCATAAGTCCATTTTGGTGTCGCCTGGATCGGCTTCGTCGTGGTACCTGTACCTGGATCGCAAACGACATCGCTTTCCCACCAAGTATCGATCTTGGAAGCCTTGATGCTCGTACCGCACTTGGACTGAACGCAATAGGCAAGTGTGGTCAGATAGTATGTGTCGTTCGCATAGCAATCCGGCGAGGTAATGACGCTGTCTTGACGGCCGAGGGTGCCGAACTGCTGAGTCGAGGAGCATACCAATGCAGTCTCTGCCAGTGTCCTTGCACAAGCCTGTGCACAGATTGGGTCGCCTGAGTTAGACCCCAAACCAATGATCCATTCTGCGGCGACCTGGCTTGAAATCGAAAGGCATGCCAACTGGAAAGTAGTTGTGATCCGCATCTTCATTCAGCCGTTCTGATGAAAGCAATAGAGAAAGCGTGGCAGGCGAAAACAGGTACTCCAGCCCCTGCATCTATAAAAGACTTCAGCGGCATTGGCATGCACATGACTATGGCGAGAGAACGGTGACCGAGGTCAAGGCATGTCAGAAGTCCACGCCATAACCTTCGCAAAACAGCATTTGTCGATTCCACTTCGTCTACAGTCGACATCGGGGCCTTTCCTGCCGCCGGTCAGCAGCCCGGGCATCATTCGCCGTATGTTCTGGCCTCGAGCTTATTCCAAATGCGCAGTAGCCGCAAATCCATCCTGTGCGGTTCTTTGAAGGCCGTCGTATCAGAACAGGTCCAATGATGATCGATGCGCTTTAGTAAGTTGAGTTTTCGGGCCAGTTTGCTACGCCAAAGGCCATTCAAATTCGGGGAAGAGTTCACGCCTCTTGCCAAGGGACTAACAATGCTACTTGCTCGTCGTTGTACACAAGGCGTAATGATGTAAGCATGCTGCATGTTTGCGAATGCTCAGGGTCTGTATCTCTGGGGCATTTCGCATCAAGTTCGAGTGAAAATGTCAAGTTCAAACACCCAAAAGATGCACAAGGTGTTCAGGAAGCTGGTAGCACCTCCCATCCAATGTTATTATCACCTTTTGCAGTCGTGCTTAGTCTTCTATCTCTAGGCAGACTCAACATCTTGATCTTTCTTCTCGTCATCCTGCTGTTGACTTCCAGACATGGATCCCTCTCTCTGGTCTTTCCGCAGCCCTTTGGATGCCTTCTCAGCAGCTCTGGCTTCGGCATTAGCGTGCTCGGCTTCAAGGCCCGTCTTTGTCTCCTCATGTTCGCTGGTCAACTTCTTCGGCTTGATGAATAATGAGACAATGAGCCCTGCCGCGGCAAAGCAACAGTACATGATCCACATAGGCTGCAAAGAGGCCGCAAACGCCGCTTGTACTTCGCTCTTCGCTGGTTGTGGAAGCGAGTTGATAAGCCCAGTGCTATCACTTGCTTCGCCAGAAGTCAAAGACGACAATTCTTGTGGAGAAAGGCTTGAAGATAGTCCCTTCAGATTCTTCTCGAATTGGTTTGTGTAGACCACATTTCCGACCACAACTCCAATACTAGTTGCTAAGGCACGTACGAAACTTAGTGTAGCCGTACCAGTGCCGATGTCACGGGGGTGAATATGGGCCTGCAAGGCAACAATGGGTGCCTGGAATAGCGGTCCGATACCCACAGATGCAACGATCTGGTATAGGATAAGTTTGGCCCAATTGCTCGTAGCGTCGATGTCGATATAGAGGCCAAATCCAAGGGTCATGAAGAAGAATCCGAACCAGATCGGAGGAAGAAATTTTCCAGTAATACCCACGAAGGCGCCAGTTGCAACCGAGCTAAGACCTAGGCTCACAGCGGTTGGAAGCAGGTCGACGCCAGACATGATGGGGCTGGCTCCACGAACTGTCTGAAAGTAGAGGGGCAGATAGTATGTGCCTGCAATGAACACAATCCCGTGGAAGAAAATTGCCCCCAGAGTCGCGCAGTTGGTAGTGCTGGCAAAGAGTTGAGTAGGCATAATCGGGAATTTGGCGAACTTCCAGTCCCAGATCAGGAAAATAGCAAAGGTAACAACTCCAAAGACAATCAAACATATGACCTGCACACATGAGAGGAGAGTTAGCCTGCTCGAGATGCATGTCTTGGAACTCAAGGGGTATCATCAACTCATACCTTGGCGGAGTCCCATGGTGCTGACTGACCACCATACTCCAATCCAAACAGAAACATCAGAGTTGCTCCAACTACCAGGAGAGCTCCCACCCAGTCGATAGCCTTTAGGCCTTCCAGGATCGGAGTACGGGGGGTTTTGACATCGAGAAAAAACACGAGAATGAAGAACGCTAGACCGTCGACAGGCAAGTTGATGTAGAAGCACCTCGAAACACTGTTAGCGTGAGGGAAAAGGCAGATAGGCTGCACCGTGACTTACCATCGCCAGCTCACGTTTTCAGTCAGCGCTCCTCCGATGATAGGACCGATTGACAACGCCACAGCCCACATAGCACCAATGATGCCGTAGAAGCCTCCACGTATGCGGAGGGGGATCAAGTCGCCAACAACTATACTAGCCAGAACACTCAAGCCTCCGGCTCCGATTCCCTGGACTGCGATCCCATGTCAGCTAAGACCAGAAAGATTATACATCATGCAGCGGCATACCTGCACGCGCCGCAATGAGCATTCCGATGCTGTTGGCGAGTCCAGCGACGAGTGACCCCACAAAGAAAATGACCTAATACCCAAGCTGTCGTTAGATTTTGGATAGCCCGAGTAATCATACGGCAACGCAACTTACATTGGCGAAGAGGAGCATAGGTTTGCGGCCAAATATGTCAGAAAACTTGGCCCAAGATGGAGTGGCAGATGCGTTCGCAAGCAGATAGGCTGATCCAATCCAGACATATCCTGCAGAGGAGTTGAAATGCTCACTAATAGTAGGAAGCGCTGTCGTAATGATCGTGGCATCGAGGGCAGCTAGAAGTACTGCCAAGCACAGGGCCAACATGATGACCGCGATTTGACCCTTGGACCGCCCGTTTATTTTGCCGTCGTTGACACTGGTATCGTCTGTATCTCCCTTCTCTTCAGCGGCTTCGAGATCTGGCTGGCTCGAGGCACCTCCAGAGGCGTCATTGGTTTGATCGACCGCTGCCATGGTAGTCTCGGGACGGAAAGTGGTTGTCTCAGGTGAATTCGTGGAAGGCATGGTTGCTTGCGTAGGGATGCGGTGACCAGCCGGTAGCCTCAAGAGCACAGCAGAGGATACGGTACTGGCGGAGCACAAGTCAAGCCTGCCAAGACGCTGTATGGAAAGGTTAGGGTACTCTCCTACTCCAACCCAAGTAGATCTTAAAGGGAGATTGAGAATCCTGCCAACCAACGACTACTCAAGTCCAGAAATGATGTAACGACCCAAGCGCCGTGTGCAGACGGCATCAGAACCCCTTCGACTATTTGAAAACGATGCGATCAGGGCAGAGACTCCCGTCTACAAAGTTGCCGCTGCGCGGAATGGTGGGATTCATCTCAGAACAAACGCCCCACGTTTACCGTTGGCTGCGTCTTGCCAGATCACAGCGCTTCATCAGTTTTCTCGATCGGGATCAGCTTGGGTAGGGCGGACATGCGGCGAACGGTTGCCGATGCGGCCAAAAATGTCCGCCGCTAACGCAACTGCCTAAAGCGGCCCGGTTCAGCCTCGTCGAGACTTGACTCCGTGTCGTCCCAAGCTTGTTCATCGGCAACTTCAGCACTCTTGCCGATGGCGCCTATCGCTCAAAGCAAATACTCTGCACAAATGGGTTATGACGCCACTTGATTGAAGAGAATTCAGAAGGTGTGTACAAAAGGTCTTTTTCCACCCAAATTGAAACCTTGATTGACTTGTGCTTCGCTCTATGTAGGTTGTGGGCACCCACTAGATGAGAAATATCGCAAAGTCGAACTACTCCATTGCAGCGTGTTCCGCACTGCCAACGCTTTTACGAATTTCTTTGCTTTCGAGACAGTGGCGTGGGCGCGCTGCTACATGAGTGTTCCATGATCCCACTAAGTGCTTCATACTCAACCAAAGTTGTACTCTGGAAGTGGAAAGTCTTCGTCTTTCCCAATGTCGATCAGTTTCCAGATTTTGGACTGCGCCATCGCCTTGAACACACTTCTTTCCAAAGCTATTCCAATTCCAGTCTGAGGATTGAGGAGCTCTGGCCCTTTGCCTCTGAAAGGGATTTTCTGCTCCCTTCGTACGTAGTCGTGGAGCTTCTTCTCATATTGCGCAAATGCAGCTGATGGATTGTCGAGATTCGAAGCCAGTTCGCCGGCAATGACATAGGCGCCTAGAGTCGCCAGTGTAGTACCTTGACCCGTGAGTGGACTGGGAGCATAGCCGGCATCTCCAACAAGACCACAGCGTCCTCGGTGCCACGAGTCAAGCTTAACCTGAACAATGCGTGTGAAGTAGAAATCATCGGCCTCTCTTCGCAGGCCCCACCGAGCCCTTTCGCCCAAACCAGGAAAATCTTCAAAGAGCTTCGCGAGCTCTTCTTTCTGTTCCGTAGCACTACCAGATTCGGAGAGCTTTGCTAGCTCGGGGTACTCGCCTACGGCAATGATGTAGCAGGAGACTCGGCTGCCTTCCCTGTCGATAGGCCGGATAAAGATTGCTCTGCCTCCCGTACTGTTTTGGACACGCGAGTTGGGAAGATCGTGCTCTGGGTCCCCAGCCATCGAGAAATAGCCAGTGTAAACGTTCTTGGCGTCGAGACAAGCCTTGTTGATTTCTGGGTCGAAGATTAGCGACCGGACATGGGAATTCTGGCCGTCGGCTCCGATTACGAAAGCAAACTCCTCTTGCTCACCGCTGTCACTCAAGACCGCAGTGACAGAGCTGTCACTCTCTCGAATCCCTGAAAGGGTGCATCCATAGCGATAAGTCACATTCGGTAACGACTGTGCCCTCTCCGCAAATAGCTCAGTACATTTGCCTCGCATTATCTCAATCTCCTGGATCCATGAAGCAGTACTGGCGTCTTCGGGTGCGGTCCCAACTGCAGCAATGTCATTTGCATTGTCATCAACCATAGTCATGCCGCCCTCTCCAGTGGTATTCTCTCTGATCTTTTCATACAGTCCCATCTTCTTAATGACCGGGATCGCAGGACCAGTGAGGTCAATGCCTTGTCCATATGCGAATTTGCTCGTGGAACGCTCGGCGACGGTGACTTGGAAGCCGCCTTTGGCAAGCCAGAAAGCTGTACATGCTCCGGCAGGTCCACCTCCAATGACCAACGCACGGCGTGAAGTGTTCGTCATGGCTGGACAATGTTCTCTTGGAAGTATGACTGGTGGCAGCCTGTCGAAATTATCGGTTACCTCTGAGAATTGAGGGTTGTGTTACGACTGAAAAAAAAGGAGAGCGACTCATGGCTTGAATATAGTCCATCTGAATGTTCGCTACGGACTGCTGTAGGGAACATTGCGAAATGGTTACATCATGAACGCAGGATCAGCTGTTGTTATTTGTGTTGAGCAGACGCGTGAAGTAGAGGACCCGCGGAACCGGCGAAGTGTCGCCGTATACGGCGTACTTCAAGATCAACTTAGGTCATAACAAAGGTACGGAGAACTTTAGGGGCCCGGAACTTGCCACTACTCTCTTGGGGGGAGAGACGATTTGATGCTGACTAGAATTTACAGTTCAATCAGTTCTACCAAGCAGACTGTACGTTACCCCTCTACAATCACCGACGCAAAGGCCCAGAATGGCAGGCGCCACGCGGCCGGGGAGTTTCATGCCGGACTCGTGTTCCAGGAACATGGGCTGAAAGACCGCTACGGCGATTGGAATGACCCATACGGACGAGGCTCCGCAAGATCTAAAGGCTGCTTAAAGACCAAGCTGCAGGGATGACGCCAAAGAAGCATTCTCACTGCTCCAAAAATCCCAAGCTGCGACAGATATGACTCAAACCGGCAATGATGGCACTCAGGCAGCCAAGAAACAGAAGTCGGCTCGTTCAAGGCATGACAGACCGAGCTTTTCAAGGAACCATTTCGTAGCGACATCTTCTTCGAAAAGTGCAGCCCCCGCAGAAAGCCGATCGATTTCCACTCTATCACCGCCTCAGCTCCAGCAAGACAGCATGTCCCTTATTGACGATGACCTGTCAAGCTACGTGGATATCTGGCCGAATGCCACGGCATGGGATTACGGGACTACGCCGCCGTCGTTCTCCTCGTTCGTGCTGCCGGATTGCTTGTTGTCTCCTGCTCCGGTGAAAGATATCAAAGCGGAGACGACCCAGGATCATATGCCAGAGCGAAATGAAGGAGAGCCTAATTGTCAGACTAGTGCTCAGCAAGTCGCGCCAGTTGCCAAAATGTTGGCGACCGATGACACGGACACGAGGGAGGCTCCTAAACATGTCTCCTGCTTGCAGAAGCTGCTAGATGCAGCTCTCGCACTAAAAATCAAGGAGCCAAAACCCGCTGATAGCTGGGGAAAGGCGTCGTCAGATGAGCCAGCAGAAAGCATCGATCAAGTTTTACTTCGCAATCGAGCCATCATCAAGCTTTTGAACAGCGTTCTGGACTGCAACTGCGCTTGTCTGCCAGACATCATCTTGGCATGTTACATGACATTGACGAAGGTCGTTGCCTGCTATGAAGACGCACTAGACAGCTCCTGTTTTGCCACTGCATCGGCCGCAAGTAGCATCCATAACTTGAGCCGGCAAGCCCAAAGTGCAGTACTGGCTCGAGTCATTCTGTCCGAGCTGCAAGACCAGGTGAAACCATTGCTCAAAAGACTGCCCCAGCGTACAATCTGTGCGTCGACTTCAGAGGAGAGTGAAGGATGTGCATTGAGGAACAGCATCAGGGGCATTGTGCTCAAAGTCGATAGGACTCTCCGTACTTGAGCGTTTTAGCATCATTGTTGCCCACTAAATGTCGATGGATGGGTCGAAAGTGGGAGCCTCGGTCATGGAAGTTGGAAATGTTGCATTGCGATTACCGATGTGATCTGACTTGCTCTGTGTAATGTTCATCAAGGGGGCAGTCTGTTCACCGAGAAGTTCGCGGCACTACGGCAAGCACATAAAGGTGGACGCAAGCCCATGATCTTGAACACCATCTGACGATCGTAACATATGTCGTAGTGCAGGATGTGTACCTGGACAACTCGTGAACACCAAATGCTACCCAAAAACTCCCTGTTGACGGCTTTCGCAGACCTACAGTACAGCTCAATGGTTCGGTCGATGGCTCGGAATGTCCAATGAGAAATACAGCTAACACGGAATTAGGCTACGAGCATGACGCTGCAATTCGAAGGCCCTTCAGCCTGCGGTGCGGATGAGGACTTGCAAACGCTTCTGAAACACCCATTCTCGGCCACTGCAATTCGTCTGGCGCGAGCGGATCTCGACAGCAGTGATTCAGGGGAACAATCGCGTGGCCGGGCACGGTTGATTACTTCACTGCGCCAAACACTGAGATCGCGGGACATGGAAGTGAGAGTAGACAGGCAGCCAACACTAAGCCAGGCTTTGCTGCTACATTTGAGAGCAGGCGTTGAGCGACTAGGAGAGTGGCTTTCGCAACATCCGACCGGCTTGTATGTGAGATAGCGAATGGATACGGCGATTGTTCACCGAGTTCCCGAAGCACTCATTTGTCTACTACCACAGCCTTGCCTAAGACTTCGCCGCTGGGTCAGACTTTTGGAAACTTGAAGTCGAGGCCTTAGACCGACGTCACATCGCCTTCTGCGTTTGTTCGCCTGTCCTGCACTTCGTCCTAAGAGTGCTTCTCTGTCGATATGGCTTCTAATGGCACCGAGCGTTCTCACCCGGTCAACACCTCCTCTCCTTTTCTTCGACCTCCTCCAGACCCAGCAACGCCGTTGGGGGAATATCGGCTCCTTGGACCTCGTGCCGCTGTACTCGTGAGTCCAATTCAACTTGGTGGCATGAACTTTGGAGACGCATGGGCTGCCATTGCTGGACACACAACGAAACAAGACATCTTCAAACTTCTCGATGCTTACGTTGAGGCGGGAGGTAATTGGCTAGACACGTCAGTCCACGTCTTCAATATGGCTCTCTCGCTCGACCTGACTGACGGACTAATTTCAGAGCGAATGTATATCAGAATGAGCAATCAGAGAAGTGGGTTGGGGAGTGGATGAAGCTCAGGGGTAACCGAGATCGGATGGTCATCGCCACGAAATACTCTGCGCCTTACACCAAGTACAGAGATGAACCCGGGGCACGAATAAGTTATCTTGGTAATGGGAAGCGGTCACTGAATCTGTCTGTACGTGATAGCCTGCAGAAGCTGGGCACGGATTGGATCGATATTCTCTACCTCCATTGGTACGTTAAATCTGTTCTCGTCGTTTTGCTTTCAGCTGACAGCACGGTAGGTGGGATTGGACAGCAACAATCGAGGAGGTGATGAACAGTCTCCATATCCTCGTCGAGCAGGGCAAGGTCCTATATCTCGGTATTAGCAATACGCCGGCGTGGGTAGTGAGTGCATGTAATACTTACGCCCTTGACCACGGGAAGACGCCGTTCACAATATACCAGGGTCAATGGAACGTTTTAGGTGGGGCCGGCACGACTTCTTAGTTTGTTGAAGCGTTACTGACGAGATGCAGCCCGTGACCTAGAGCGCGAGATTCTACCCATGTGCCGACAATTCGGAATGGCCGTGGTACCGTATGATGCCGTTGGAGGAGGAAAGCTCCGGACCAAGACGCAGCTGAATTGCGGCGACGCCCAGGCTGTTGGGAAGCAGATATCCGAGACTGAACTGAAAATGTCTAATGTGCTTGAAGATGTAGCGAAGCAGCACGGTGTAGAGTCGGTGACAGCAGTGGCACTTGCTTGGTAAGGCAACCGCCAGAGTGGATTGAGGGTAACAAGACTGATACACTCTCAGGCTTTTCCACAAGCAACCATACGTCTTCCCTATCGTCGGCACAAGGAACATCAATCACCTACTCGATAATGTCCAAGCACTCAAGCTCAAGCTCACATCCGAGCAGATGGCTAGTATAGAGAGCGTCTCGAATTTTGCTCCATGCTACCCGGAGAGTGCGTTTGGCGAAGATCCACATGTCAATGGCAAGGCTGCGATCATGACAGAATCGGCGGCAAAGACCTCATGGGTACAATATCCCAAAGCAATTGGGCGTATTTAAGAGCGAGGGTGAGCCATTGCTCCGTGAATGATAGAAAGCTACTCGAAATGGTAAAATGTCTTCACTGTAAATTAAGGTGATCGTTTTGACACAGTGGGAAGACCTTTCAAGGCGCATGCATTCGATTGGCACGCACATAGTTCGTACCAGCATAGAATCGTATTTTTTTTGATTGCCTATCACTCTGTCAACGCTCTGGAGCTGCTACCACACTGCCACAGGACTTTCGCTCTTGATCTTACACCCGCAGAGCCTGAGCCTCCCGGAGACTGCGAGCCTTGTCTTTGCCGACCGGTATTCGCGTTCACCGACTACAATCGCCGGGCGTACTTAGTCTCAAAACGAGACCAGTCGACGGCAGTGGGCTTGCAAAGAGAGATCCATAAGACGAATTGACTCAGTCCACTCTCTTCGCCATCAACTTTCGACATGTCGCCGCCAACACCAAGACCCGTCGTGCTAATTGGCAACACCGCACGATTTGCCAAGTTTGTCGTACCAAAGCTTTTGCCCGAGTACGATGGTAAAGCAGTACCCCAAAAGCCTTGCAGCGATTCGACTGATTGACAGCATGCAGTCGTCCACTTCACTAGCGACGTTGAACAGGCCAAGCAGGAACTGACCACAATCCTGGAAGGAGGCGAGCCACCGCGTGATTCGAATCATGTCGCTTCTGCAAACTTCTCGCAACTACCCAAGCATATCATCTTTGGCAAGGGCTTTCAACTTCCAGAGCTGCTGCGAGTTCGCGAGTCTGCTGGAAACGAGGAGTCCGGGTTGTGTTGGTACTACGCACCCCTGAAGGAGGGAGAGGTTATTAAGAGAGACATCAGCGATGTCACTGATAGTATGATTGATATGCAGACTGATAAGATTGTGGCGAACATGAAGCGCGTGTTGGGAGAAGTTATCAATGAGGGCAAGGAGGGTGTTGATGGTATTCACAAGTTGTAGAGATGGCATTCAAATGGAACGTGCCACAACGGTACTTGAAACAAGTTGTCAGACAGGAATCACTAGAGTATTCACAAGCGTAGCAAGGTACTTATTTGTGGGTGATTGTAATCGAAGCTGGTCATGATCTCAAGTTACGAATGCCGCTCGGACTGTTGAACTGTTCTGCATCGCCGCTGAATGTCAACAAAGACGGCGAAACTGCACCAAGAGAAGCTTATTTGATCATGTCGCTCTTCATTCCCAAAATGCTAAACCCTCCCCAATGCTCGTTTTACAGCCCACAAACTGGCCCATTCAACCTGGACTCAATCAAGAGACTCACGAACCCATGTCACGCTCACTTGTAAGGCGAACTGCCGACCAATATCTATCAAGCCGGATAGTGTATGGTATCTAGAGCTCGGGAAGCTTGAAGCCTCCAGGGACCTGCTTCTGGAAGACTCTCAGGGGGTCGTATTTCTTGCTGGTCCTGACCAATTCCTCGACTGTACTCTTGCTCCGGGCCTCGAACGGGTTCTGCCAGTAATCGGCATACGTAGCTTGCGTATAGGTGCGGTAAACATTCATCTTCTTGGCCTTTTTGTCAGCGGCCGCGAAAAGCTCCTGCATGGCATTGGTTATGTCGTTATCATGCTCCCAAGCCTCCTCGTCAACGGCAAGTGCCCAATGAATTAGGATTACGTTACCCTGTGTCTGGATGGGTCCAAGGGAGTCCACAGCTCCCCGGCGCTCAGACATGACGGTTGGAACAGCTTGGAGGTTGAGAGAGAGGAGGAAACCGGGAAGACCAACGAAGGGTTTCATGGCCTCGTCCGTCATCTGGACAAATTCCTCCATGAAGTCTGCATCAGGAGCAAAGCTGTACATGGCAAAACTCCATCGCTTTGGACCAAATTTTGATGCATCGTACTCGCGTGCGTAGTTTGGCATTTCATCGACACGCAGAGTGTTTGGTGGGATGCCAGGCATGAGAGGAGTTTGAGGGAGGTCCAGGAATGGTTTGAAGACCTTTGGCTCCGGGACCGGTGGGTCGCTCTTTGTGTACTGGAGCGAATTGGCCATGGCCCAAGATCTTGTGTTGTTGTTCAGAATCAAAGTGTTCATGAAATGAGCATACTGATCATAGGGGTACGAGTTGGCAAGCTCGACGTGGGCAGCGAAGACTTTCTTCCGCAGGTCAAACGAATGAAAGGTCTGACCTCCCCAGAAAGGACCCTGCTCCACTGTCTTCAAAGTCAAGGCCGTCACAACACCGAGGTTGTTGCCACCGCCGCGAAGAGCCTTCCACAGATCCGGATTGTTTTCGGCGTTGGCGTTCACGATGTCACCTGTGGCTAACACCACTTCGAAATTCTCGACCATATCGCAGATATAGCCGTAGCGGAACGACAGGTAGGACACTCCGCATGCAGTAGCGGAGCCACCTACGCCGACTCCTGAGACCTTTGTACCCACTGCGCTCCGGTTGTAGGGAGCAAGGGTATCGTATACAGTGTCCCATGCCGTGCTGGGAGAGACAGTGATCGTTTCGTGGTCGGGTGATAGACCAGCCGATGGCATATGAATGAGATCCAGCACAATGCCGCCATCAAGGCTGGCAGCACCCTTGAAAGGTGTATGGCCGCCTCCGCGGATGCCAAATTGGCATTGATCCTTCCACACGTGGGCCCCGAGCGACAGCGTTCGAATGGCGGCAGATACATCTTCGGCAGACCTCGGCAGTGCCACGCAGCTAGGCTGCAGCTCTACATTTTTCAAGCTAAAGTATGAGCCAACCGAGGAGGAGTATGCAGTATCGACTGGATACACCACAGCGTTCTTGCCGAGAGTCTTGCTCAAGGCCTCACACTTGGATCATCGGTCAGCGCTGACTGTCAGATCGTAGCCTTGGAATGGCAGGACTTACGCAGGACGATGAAGAGGCAACAGCTTCCCACGAGCTTCCACTAGCGCCGTGGAAGTGATCCTGCGAGCTGCCCCCGACGAACGGTGAAATTCTGGGGAGACTGGTAAGGAACTGCTGGATGTTGAAGCCGCGCATGGTTGCTGGGACGGGCGAACAGCAAATTGGGATACAGCATGGGTAGCACACATTCGAACTTCATCTTGTATCGGAGACTTCGAGCATCAGTCGGCGATGTACAGGCCGGGAAATGGACACGTGATCTGCAGGCATTCGCCGACCATATGGTGTGCAAATGTCAGCCTTGCCAAGACCGGGCTTCGCATAAGCCTTATACTTATCCCAACCACAACTTGATGGCGTAACAGATGCCGAGTCTCGATACGGCTCTCACATGGGAGCCTTTGTCAAAACACCAGTGTTGCATTCAAAAAGAGGGCCAAATTCCGGCCTGGTTGCCGGCTACGGCTCCGCATAGATTGTCAAACTGTTGACAACTGCGAAGATGACGGGAACAACGAATGAGGTCATTGGATCTGGCAAAATTCGCGATTCGTGCAACAGTTGCAGTTCACAGAAGATCAGGTAATTTTGATCGGTTTGGGATTTGGCAAAAACCACACCTAACAGGCAGTCACCAGATGTACCAAGGAGAGGCCTGCCTGTGCGCGATGTGTCTCCAAAGGACTCGACTGTGCATACTCCATTTCCATGCGGACTGGTAGGTTGCCGAACTGCATTTATCGAGCAGGATTCGAGGCTGACGTTTGACTGTCCGATGTCCAGGACGCCCTTCCCGTGCTTCGCAAGCGGCTGCGGCTGCGGCTGCTGCTGCTACTACTAATATGACAGCCACTGACTCTTCAGTTACGAGTAGCAGTGATAACTCTAGCAGTTACATAGCGGTCTCTCCTCCTCGTTCCCCCAGTAACGCGCCAAATCAGCCGAAACAACAATTAACACCGATGATGGGGCACCATGAAGGAAGCTCTACCGGTGTCGCAGAGTCAGCAGAGTCAATCCTTGCGCATCTCGATCAACAGTTCTTCTTGAACGATGAGTTCTGGGTCCCGGATAGTGGAGGATTTCAAACCGACCTTGCTGAACAGAGCACCTCAATGCACAGCATGTCACCAGCCGGAGCAAGCACGATGTTGGATTGGAACGACATTTCGACGAAAGAGATATCAGTGCCGATCGGGAAATCGGGGACAGTTCCTCCGGGACAGAACTCCACTCAGAGGGCGCAAGGACATCAGCAGCAACAGGATTGTGTCTTCCCGAATGATAACCTGGGGGAGCCTCAATCGGGGTCGTCTTATGGACCATCAAACGAGACTGCCATGACTGGTTCATGCGGTGATTCAGCAGAGCAGAGTTGCCTCACCAGTCTGTCGCAACTCACTCTCGAGCTCCACGTACAAGACTCAGTCTGCACTACGGCGATATGCTCAGGATCGAGCCAACAGCACCGGGAGGAGACTAATGTCCACCGCGGCGTCGACTCCGTATTGCTACAAAACCGCTCCGCGGTCCGCCTGCTTGCTCGTGTGCTCGACTGTCCCTGCTCTCGTGAGCTGAGCGTCACGCTGGCTGCATATCTCGTTGCCTGCAAGATTGTGGCCTGGTACGGCGCCATCCTCGGCGTTGGGTGCACGCCCTCGGTGGCTACTCGTATCACGGAACAACCCATCGTTATGGGAAGCTACAGTCTTGACGCCAGCGTGCAGCGTTCGGTTAGAGCTAAAGTCGTTCTGAGCGAGCTGAGTCTGCAAGTCGAACCGCTATTGGCAAGCCTACCCCAATTTCATGTGACGCTTGGCGAACTTGCGTCCTGGACGACATCGTCCCCATCCTCACGACCTGTGCCACCGGTGGATCAGCAAAGATGCTTCCTGCGAGATCAACTCCAGAAGGTTGTGTACGAAGCTCGTCAGTGTATTGGTCGGGGCTGAGAGATTGATGGACCAAGGACATCGGCGATGAGACATGTTTCGGAGAAGGATGGTGTGATACATTACGGGATGCTCTGGGAGCGGGAGCCAACAGCAACCTTCACCGAGACCAATTGAAGAAGCTCCAGTCAAGCTCACGAGCCAAGGAGCGAAGGAGCTGTCGGAGAAACCAACAAGTCAGCCGGTCAACGAAATGGGCAGTAGTGTTGAGCAGTCCATCGTGGGTTGGAGAAAAAGGCGGCTCGGGAATCGGCGAGACGTGCACACCGGCATCATGACATGCATCCTTCGAGGCGCGGACCATGCAACACGTGGTGATTGACTCGACGACTGTGCTCTGGGAGCACTTCCTCGTCTACGACGGCGCATTCGTTACGGTTGTAGGACGAGTGAGATTTGTAGTGCAATTGTGTTCACGGCTTCGCTCGGCTGCTCGGCTACTGTGAGTGATCAGATTCATGATTTTTGAAACCTTGAAGCAGCCTTACTGCAGTCCGATGGAATGGTCGTCTTTGAAGAAGCGAAGAGTTGAACGTAGATAAAAACAAATTCTATTGATCTATCGAAGCCGAACGTTCATTTCTCATCATAATTCCATGCAAACACTCTCGTATACAGAAATCATATCGCTTCTGTGGGGAGTTGCATCACGCATAAGTCATCAGCGCATGGCCCCTGGCAGCGACTATCATGAGTTTGTCCTCCAATGCCTTAAGATAGCAGTCCGCGACATCCCAGCTCTCAAGGGGTGACCCCGTAAAAGCGGCAGCCGCTGCAATGTTCGGGGTTGCGGTAGCTATCTGGCGTCTTTGTTGCATCTTGCTCAACAGTGGCTGGAAATGCCGCGTGAGCTCGCTCAATACCACGTGAGCATGCACAGCCATCTGAGCATCGACGTCTAAGCAATAGTTTCCAATCTTTACTTGGCTCGTGACAATTCTTTCGCCGCCCCGGCCTAAGAGGACGCCTGCCGCACTGGTACGAGCAGCTTGTTTCCCGCGTCCGTTCAATTGTAGTGCAGCTTCATACCACAAAAGTGCCTGGTGGGCGGCCAAGAAGACAGTAAGCAACACTTGCTGGCGTCGAGTGCACGGGCAGTCAAGTATCCAGTCAAGATCTCGGATAGCCCTTCGGTTGTCATAAATGACCGTGTCGATGTCACGAGGACGGCTCTGACCTTCCGTGCTCACGCCTGCATCGACGCCGTTGGCCGTTGTCACGCAAGGCCGGTCCGATGATACTTGAAGTTCCGCAACAAGCAGCTTGGTCGCATCGATGCAGTCCATCGTTGCACCATCGTTGGCCGATGATGTAACGCAGATTATCGTTCCGTTGGCGGTACCTGGTCCTGGCTGATTGGACTGAAGAACAGCATTTGTCGGTAACAGGGGAACTGTTTGATCACCAACTGGCAAGCCAATAGCTGAAGTTACTATTGACTGTTGGGGTTCTTGAGGTAGCTCAAACACCTCGTCAAGGTCATCTGTAGGAATTGTAGAAACGGTAAGGCTGGCCAGTGAAGAGCTACTGGAACCATTCTGGATGTACTCGCCACCCTGAACTGGGCTGCCCAGGTTGCTGAATACAGCGAGATCGAGGTCAGGGCTTGTAGAGGATGCTGAAGACGAATCAAGCATCCAAGTGTTGCCAGCGGAGAGTGTGGAGGCGTCAAAATACTGTTCCTCCTGCGATTGTTGACCTTGGTCGAAAGCGTGAACTGTCGCCAGGGAGTTGGGGTTGTTCGTCGACGGTAACATGAAGATTTCTCGAGTCGGCGTAGTGGGTGAGCTACTGTGCAGCCAGGCATCTCTCGCACCAGTGCGTCGGGACATGCCGTACACACATTCCACACCCTTTGCTCGACATCGGCTGCAAACAGGCCGATCCTTACTACAACTGTAGCAACAAGTCAGCGGACGGAATGAGGCTGCCAGGTAAAGCTCAACGGCGAGGGGACCATGGCGAGAAACCACCAACCGGATTTTCTGGGAGCTACAAGCGTCACAAGACTCCCTTATTTTCTGCCCACTGGAACTTGTTTCCCCCTCACAAGACGAGGCTGCCATCTATGCTGATCACCCAGGTTCGCAATCGTAGAGGCCTGTACCGCGTGGGAAATGGACGGAGAATTGGAGTATTGTTTCCTGCGATGGAAATCGAGGTATAACGTCAGGATGGACCTGCAGCGAGGCAAAGCAAGGCCTGTACCTGATACGAAGGCGGGACGTCGAGAAATGGAGCCACTTAAATGAACCAACGACCCAGAACGACTTCAGCAGCGGCTGAGCTGAAGGGCTGCGAATGCTGAGAGGCCTCGATAGTCTATGCAGAGCTGTACGTACCGTCGCCGGGGCCTGGGAAGCTGATTATGCTGTGGATCTTCGTCGGGGTTGGTTTAACCTCTCAGACTCGCTGAGGGTTACCAACAGCATGGTGCTATGCCAGGATGAGTAGCTAGATTCGCTTTGGTATCGTCGACCGGATATGCTTGCTCAAGCCCTGAGAGTGCAGGAGTGCGCTAAAATTCGCGGAACCTGATCCCCACGATCGCATTCGCGCAGCCCTGCTCCGAAAGTCGAAGTGGCGTGCAGGACGAAGGCTAAAGTGCCGCAAGGTTCACCGGATACGGCATCGTGCTGTTCTCATCGGACCTATGCACAATGAAACACTTGATGAAGGCTGATGAAGCTTCGCGACACCGCTTGACGCTATCTTGGCCGAGCACTAGTAAGTCATCGTTGTCCGACCGGTCGCACGTGTGATCAGCAAACTCCCGGGCTTCCAGGTTGCAGTCTCTGAGCAGGACCAACGATCGATCTGCCAGGATCTGCGCACATGGTTCACGGGGGGATATGAAAGTACTACTGTATCAGTACAGAAGTAGTGGCAAACGCCCGATCCGTCCCTCGTATCGGTCAAACAACAAGTCCAGCAGTATCCGATTATACGTGGTATGAACTACGCAGTCCTGGTAGCAACGCCGTGTTCAATGGCAAAAACATCTACCTTTGTTGCTGACCATAGGCTCGCTTGGCACTCCCAAACTCGAGTCATCAAGGACTGGAATCTCCGAAGTCAGTATTGTCGGTAGCGAAGAGTGCACACATGCCTATTTTGGACGTGTCTCAACAGCGTCGGGGTCCAATTCATTAGAAGCCTCAGTAGGTAGGACTCAGGAGAGAATCTGTACCACTAGTAGCCTCATAGTACTAATCCCTTTCCTCGATCGTGCCACCCGGGCTCATGCACAAGAGCAGGAAGCATGCTATGCTTTTCGCTACTTATGCGATGAGCGAATTTCAGCCGCTACTATGCGAGACGCATGTGTCATTTTCGCCTCGGCCCATGCTGCCACAGCGGATGACAAGCGAAAGGGCGCAGAGTACTCAGAGACTTCTTGCCATGCTCGAGTTCGCGTACAATATAATAACGTGACCATGTGCCCTAGGCGAGAGCATATCTGCAACAAGCTCAGACCGTTGCCCATGGTTTTCAGGGCTGAAAGCGACGGGGAGGGCATAGGCAGGGTCGAGGTAGGGTTAGCAGTCACAACGTGACTGAAGGTTTCGACTACGGTTACAGTTAAGTCACACGTCACGGTGACCGTTTGTGACCTGTGACTGCTATCCCTAGGTCGAGGGCATCCTCGTTAACCATATTCGGCCGGCTGCAGAAGTACCCGATGTTGTTCGTCGATAAGATAATCGTTTCCCGAGACGGCTCGAGTTGGATGGCACCGATTGCGTGGACGCGTGGGGCGTGGGGGACTTGCGTCACACGCAGTCTATCTGAGTTCGACGCTAACGAGCACGCTCTGCTTTGAGGACTTGGAGGGTTGGTGCAATTAATCACTGGTGTTGTTGGTTTCAGCCATGCTGTATTCTTGATCGTCGAATGAAGATGTTGGAAGCTCTTGGAACGCCACCCCGTCATCGCATCGCCTGATTTGTCCAACCGTCATGTTACGGACCTGCTTCCAGAGCGGGCCGCTCCCCAACGGACAGGATCAGCACACGTTGCTCAGCATGGGCGTGTAGAAGACATAGACTTCATGTCGCTGCGACTTCTTACCGCTTCGGGCACGCGGTGCGAGACACTGGTCGACACCAATCTCTAGCTGGCCCAACAGCGAAGCTGAGCGAAGCTGGAGACTAACTGTTGCCGGAGAGTCTCCTTCGAGCCAGCCTCAATGACCGGTTGGGGGAAAATTGTATAGCAAGTAGACCTCCGAGCGTCCCTGGACTTACGCAGCCTTATGGTAGCTAACAGCTTCGCGCTCTTCGTGTTCATGGGAGCCCACAGTCCGCGTGCCTTTCATTCCTTCGCTAACACCTCCTTTAGGCCTTCACTCCGCGTCGACAAGCTTTTGCCAACAAGCTTGTGTGCTACACCATCGTATTGCGGCCGATGTGCACAGCCTCGGAAGTTCGGATATGCACCCACTGCAGCAATGCGAAGCCTGCATTGCATTGCTTGGCGTTGCTTCGTTCATGCTTAGTGTCGCGGCTCGCGTGTCAACGAGGACCCTTCTCCCAGGCTTATATCCACTGATCAACACGGCGAACGCTAGATGAGCTTGCGTGGGTTGAGCGGCCGGCGTGGCTCGGTGGTTGAGACCGTGCGGACCGATCTCCATGTCATTCATACGAGACCAGCCAGCTACCCTATCACAGCGGCACGACCATGCCACGGCCACATGCTTTGGGCTCCACGGGCACGCTCCTTTATGCTGGCCACCTGCATCTATAGCGTCCTGCAGTTGGCAATCCCTCGTGGTACTAGCATCCAACAGCGACTCTGCTCTTCTTGGTTCACATGCAACCATGCAACCATCGAGCTCCTCACACCCGTTGCTGAACATGGCCTTGTTGGAACTAAGCACCTTCGGCCACTCGCCTGGCGTGCTTGATCACCGGCTTCGACAATCTTCGCCAAAGCTGCGGCTGAGCTGGAGTTGCAATTGAGATGTTGGCTGACACTGTTCTCACTGACCAGCGACCTTCAGCACTTATAAGACACTCCTGGTAGACACGTTCCTGTGCTCTTCGAGTTCGGTGTATATCTTTGCTTGTCACTAGTCTGATATTCAAGCTGTGACACTGACATATCGTTGTCCTACATTCTCTCGGTCCTCCACACAATGTCTGTGCCACCGCACGAAGCCGAGACAAGTCCGACTGGGCAGAAAGTTCGAGAGTCCTGTAATGCGTGCAGTTCGCAAAAGATCAGGTGCGTACGGGGTCAACTGGGCCAACACCTCGGCCTTGTCTTTATATTTCCGCAGCTGACCTGTTGCAAGGTGTGGAAAAGAGCGACCAACATGTAGCAGATGCGCTCAGAAAGGGGTTGAATGTGTTTATGGCATGTCAAAGCGCACTGGTCGTCGGAAGAGGTCGCCACCCTCAAGCCCCTACGCGGCGCCTCGTACGTCGTCGCTTGATGTACCAGCTGCCATGACCGATGAGCTTTGGGCGTCACTTACTTCGTTTGACAATATGTCATACTCATTCGGCACTTTCTCTCCGGATCGCTCCAAGGATGCCATGGATCTGGACATGCCATACTTCGACCCATCGATCTGGGGTGCCGATCCTATCGACACAATGAGGCCTAAGCAGGACTCGGTCAGCTCATCGCTGAGTTCAACAAGCATAGCGTCTGACAATGACGATGCCATCGACAGTCTGTTCAATCTGTCTTCGACAACGTCGAACCAGTTCTCGCCGTCCTTGCCGACGCCGACACAGACACCTCATCCACCAATCTATCCTCAAAGTTTTGACCCCTGGAGGCCTACACCCGCCTCTACCATTGCAAGCACAGGAAGCGGCGCAGGTTCCAACCGCTGTGGAGGCCTTATCCAGGGATGTATCTCCTCGGCCTTGCAACTAGTCGCCGACCAACGTATGTCACTCTCATATCTAAACGTGTCCATCAGAAAGAGCTAACAAGCTACAGATGCTCGACCCTGTCCTGCCGGCAGCATGAGTCGCGATATCGACACAGTGCTTGAGAGTAACCGCAAAACACTCCAGAAGTTGTCGAGGATTCTAGAATGCCCCTGCTCCAACGAACAAGAAGTCCTCATACCTGTCTTTCTAGCTGCGCATCAGACAATTCTGTGGTACGAGGCCGCCCTATGCGTGGACTCCCCGCTGTCGCCGTCCACCTCCTCCCTGTATCTCTCTCAGGCGAATACTACCGGTCGAGCAGTAACCTCACAAGCCAAGATGGGACAATACTGCCTAGACGCCGATACCCAACGCCTTGTGCACGCACATGGCGTCTTCTGCGAGCTGCGCACACACTTTAAGCCTTTGATGAAACAGATCCAACGACGCAGTGCCCGACAAGAAGAGCACGGTCTCAGTCCACGACATGACATGGGAGACCACGACTCTTGGGATGTCGTGCATCGCTACGACCAGGCACTGCGTGCCAAGCTCAGCGCAGTCGTCAACAAAGCTAATACCCTCAAGAGAGGCTGAGGCGGATTGAGACTAGTATTGGACACGTTTCAGGATTGGCAAAATTTCTGGATTCTGGTGTCATATCTGTATTGATGTGGTCTTAGAGACGCTGCGTCTGAATGGGCCATTATGATTCTTGCCTTGGGTAACGAGCTCGGCGTGGCTCTAAGGCACCGACAAAGCTGGCACCACCACAAGCATTGTTGGGTTATGGAGCTTTGGAGTATGTCACGGACCACGATGGAGAATCTCACCCGCATCGATCAAGGCCGCGAAGGACATAGAGGTGTTGTTGGTGATTCAAACTGCAGAGAAAGAAATTTAATAGACTTTAGCTAGCGCCCGGGAATCATTCACCGAGTATCCAATCACATGCCAACGATCACTCTACTTCGCACGAGCTTCTCACAGTCCGGCTTAGTTCCGATGGATTAATGCAATGTGATAAATCTGGGTGTTGGCTGATCAGCGCCGCAAACGTCGGACTCGGCCCGACGATTGTTGGTTCCTATTCGTCGAGATCCATGTCGCCACCAATGTTTTCATTAGCACATAGTCGCAAGAGAAGCCTTTGGTGGCGTTGTGTTGGTAGATTGAGTTCGACTCCTTTAGCACACAAGACGAGACACGCAGCTGAAGCCGAGGGACGAGAAGATGACGATTTCATTATGCCAGAGTGATGAGCACGGAGATCAAGTGTGCCTTCCGAAGCAAAAGCGAGGCCTCTCAACGACTCTTCATGTTATGTTTCGCCTGCATGCATGATGATCCCATCGCAAGCGAGTACAGCCTGGTCGGTTGTGCTGTACGCCAAGAGGCATCTGCTCGCTTTGCATGTCTGACAGGACAGATTTCGCCGGACACATCGGTGGCTCTATTCGGTATGTGTGTATGCCCTTGCAGAGGGTCCTTCAGGGCTCGAAAGCTTGGCCGAGGGATCAAAGTGTGATTTTGTGATTCCATCTCGTCCGAATGTGGGTGCATAAGAGGTGTCGGTAGCTAGAAGGACCGAGAGATACGCGGAGACCATCGAGACGAGGCTGAAGGCAGCCTCGGTAAGCGAGCAGTTGCACGTGGAAATGGATTATGTGGCAGAGGCTGGGGGGTAGAGTTCTTGAAAGCGGCTCCGAATTGCTCGAAGCGTAGTCGTTGGCCTATGAGGTGTTGAGCCAAGGAAAGCTTTTTCAGGAGCTGGCAAAGTCGTCGAGCCCTGGCGATGAGCGCGTTTGTCTCGTTAATGCAGGAGCGAAGTTGTCGCATGCGCGTCGAGCAATCAAACAGTGAAGTGCAAAGGATGGGGGCCGCATAGAGGAAACGATCGCGAGACGACGGCCCATGTGCGAACGCTAGCCTACGTGTTGAGGTCTCCGTCAATCAGATTGAGACTTGAGCTGCTTTGCTCGAGATGGAAGGAGATCTCCTTCCTTCATTCGGCACGGGCGGCCAGGGCTGCATCAAGCACATGTAGGCACGGTTCCGCCATGCATAACCTTATCTTGCATTAGGTCGTATTAAGGTAACGGCTGGTTGGAGCCCACGGGCGGCAGCTCCATGTACCGGGTACCTCCCACGCTTGCGTCACATTCCTTAAAAGTCGCCGACTGCCCGAATTTTTGTTACTGTTGCTGTTGGTGTACCGATGATCTTAGCGGTCTAGAGGCATTTTGCCCACGGAGCGTAGGGTTCGATGTGCAGTGCACGTTGCACTCAACATCGATCGCGAGAACAGCCCCAAGAGTATCATGCTTACCAGGATGGTGGGTTGGCAGTGGCGCGATAGCTGATATGGATCGACTTTGCTCCCGGTCTGACACGCATACAAGGTCTTTTTGCCTTGCAGCCGGTGGGATTGACTGAGACCTGCAGTATTGTGTCAGGGGAGGCGGCTTCCGCGAGGCACGGGATGGTGCAGCACACACTAGAGCCCTATTATCTCCGGGCAACTTGCGCAACACTCTAGCCCGAATTGTGGGATCCCAAATGGTCGTAGGATTCAGTACTTGGGCCAAATCTCGTGTGGAAAACTCGCAGACAATGTCTCACTGTTCAAAGCTCAGTCTTGGAGTGTGGTGGATCTGAGTCTTTTGTCAGCCACGTACTTTTGATGATCACTACTCCATTGACAGACTTCGTATTCCTTCCTTGTCCCTCACACAGTCTGCCGTCATCATAGAAGCATTTCCTCGCCTGTTGGTGTATTGGTCACCAAGCGATATGTAGTGCACGAAAGCTTGTATAAATACAGGCGAAAGCACGAGTGTGAAGAGGGCGTACAAGAGGGCTTGGACTCTGTGCGATATCGCCGAGCTGCGCGCCCGCGTACGAGCCAGTGAAGCTGAGTGAGAAGTTGACAGACTGGGCATGTCGAGGAGGTTTTCAATATCATCGTTGAGATCTTCAACTGCGCAGCGATGAAAGTTTTCGTATTGCTTGCCTTGTGCCCATTGTACTGTACAGTTCTTCGCCCAACGCCTCGCTAATCCCATCGATATCTGCCAATGCCTGACCATCACCTCTTCTTCTTTTGCCCCTTCCGCGATTCTACAAGTCCTGTCAGTATCATGAACACGGTATGGGGAAGATTCTGCCCGTACCAGCCGCTGTCTTCTTCTTCTTGGGCGCACCCTTGCCTCGACTCTTTGCAATTTGAATGTGCTCCAGCCGATCCTCTTCAAAATTGTCGTACATCTCCACGCCTGGGTACAGCTGTCGCAGCTGTTTGAAAGTAGATACGCGTCGGGGGTAGTATGCGGCAATCGACGGGCCTCTCAGTCGCTGGCGCAGGACCTTGTTGCCGAGACGGGCATTGGTGGGGTTGAAGGTCGTGTTGAAGATGCGGCATTGTACCCGCATCAGATCGAGGATTCGTGATCGCGGGACTGCCATGGTGGATGTGGCTGTTGATATTGATATAGTATCGTTATGAGAGAGGATGTCGTCGCAAAGGAGGGTCGAGATGCCAAGACCTCGGAACTGCGCCGACCCGCGGAAGACTTCCCGTCCATCTTCCCGTCTTCACCTCACGACAATCCAACAACAACACCACCACGCCATCGACACCACCACCACGGCTCATCTCCTCGCTATCACGCCGGCTGATTGTCCAATCCGACAGTCGGCCACATATTGATTCAAGGATCAATCAAGTGACGAGCGCTGAGGAGAGCCGTCCGCCATGCCTGACAACAAACGTCCGTACGCCCATGATGGCCAAGATTACGGCCATCGCCCATCTAAGCGCCAACATCACGACGACCGAAAGCCATATCACAACAGCAACTGCAACGACAGGAATGTCTACGATGACCGGAGACCATACCACAGGGACGGCTACAGCGACCGTGGCAAGCACCGCAAGAAGCAGAATGACTCTCCTACCGCGTCTACCGCGTCGAAGATGCGCTCTCTTGCCGACTTGCCCCCTCTCCCATCTGTGACAGAAGAATACCGCGAAGCACCCTTCACCCACCGCTCCGTTACTTCGGAGTCTCGCAGCGTCACAGGCCCAAAGGCTCTTTCTTACGAGCGCCTCGAGTTCTTGGGGGACGCCTACATCGAACTCTTCGCCAGCCGCCTCATCTTCTCCCGCTTGATCCACCTGCCTAGTGGGCAGATGAGTCAGCTTCGGGAGCTGTTTGTCAGGAATGACACCTTGGCTGAGTATTCTCGGGCGTATGGCTTCGACAAGCGCATCCGTGTCGCTGACCTCAACCACATGCAAGCTGACTCTCGCAAATCGAACAAGGGCTTCAACAAAGTTCTCGGCGATGTCTTCGAGGCATATGTCAGTGCTGTTGTCTTGAGCCACGGCGAGGAAGGCTTCTCAGTCGCGGAGCAGTGGCTCTACGCCCTCTGGAAACCCAAGCTTCGAGAAGCCATCCAGCAGGACAAGAACTATGACCGTGAGATTGCCCTACCTGACGATGGCAATGGTGATCCACGTACGCGCTATGATCCAGAAGCCAAAGCCACTTTGCAGAGGCGAATCATAGGCGGCGCCGACAAGAAGCTCTTCTACGAGCCGTACAAGGATAGCATCGAGCTCAAGGGTGACAAACTTGGTCAGAACCGCCACTTTATCGCCCTGTACCTCACAGGCTACGGTTACGAGAAGAAGCTGCTTGGCAGAGGTGAGGGAAAGAACAAGGTGGAGGCTGGCAATTGGGCGGCTATCGAAGCCATGTACGGCGATTCGAAACACATCGTGAACGAATGTGAGAATATTTCGAAGACCGAGAAAGAGAGGCGATTGGCTGAGAAGAAGGCCGCCGAGCAAGAAGCAAACGACGTGGGGAAGGAAGACGGGCATGTGGTCAAGGTCGAATGAGAGTCGCTTGCAAGCGAACGTGAGGATACCACACCTACCGCTTTCAGTTTAAGATTGGTCGCAGCAGGCGCAACCTCGATTTCTGCCCTTGCATCGCAACTCGACTGAGGCGAACGCGAATGCGTGTGCGTAACAACCCTATGCCTATCCAAGAACAGGTCGGCGACACGTTTTCGATCACCATGACACTGTCGCCGATGCACGTTATGCCACGCGACGTAAGTGGCACCTTGCACGGAAGAGCTGTGGACCAAACGTGCCCATCACACGAGAGTGCTGAGAGAAGCGTTATCTACGAATGAGGAGCTGGGATTGAAGACCAACACCCGGGACATCAATGGCTTTGCTGCTGTACCAACACCGACAGCTTCTCTAGCGCCTCAACAACAGGGCTAGCAACGATGATGTAGCAAGCCCAGGCAATGTGAGGTGATGGGTTGAGACAATTCGTATAAGATATCAAACGTCCCACGTCTGATCCGTTCGCGTCCGTTCCAACCTTCCATTATCTTTCTTCTCGTCCTGCATTCACATCGAGGAAGTGAGTGGTAAGCACAGTGAACAGAACATCCTTCTATTCTGGATGTACTTTGCTAATATACTCCCCAGGTATCCTTCCCTTAGGGACATCATGCAGGTCCACTACCACATGGCTAGGACAAACCGCTCTTCGACAACGCCTGCTCCAGGCTCTTCGAGAGCCCACAAGTCCGTCTGATTGTCTTGGGACCAGACTATCGCCGTCCACAGAAGCCTTGCTACCCCTATCAAACGTCCCATTCGCCCATGCCTAGACGGCAGCTAATGGGTGTGCAAAAATTTTCGGACTCCGAGTGATTTCTTCGCTCCACGAGAAGCCCGCGGGAGCTATGATCCTTTTGGATGTTACCGCTCTCACTGGCTACATGACCACGGGAGCTAATGGGTTGTCAAGTACTCGGGTCCCAAGGACCTCTTCTTTCTGCTGGAAGCCCGAGTACTCGTTCAATCCTTCGGTGTATACTGTTGAAATACTTCCACACCCCGAGCAGCATCCAATCCATCATTGGACGGATTCACGCCACCGCTAACGCATGTGCAAAATTCGGGGTATATGGAAGAATAGATTATTCCTTTGCCTTCCCCTTCGACGAAAGTAGCCCTGCTATTGGAAGAGATGGAGCAAACACTAACGGATATCCCAAAAATCGGGCCATTAGAAACGTTTGCACTCCGATTGATACCCCGAGCAAGGTAAGTACTTCTCATTGTCATTGGCACAGTCGACGCGGACACCAGTGGGATGTTGCATTTTCGGTGCATATGTTCAAGAAGGATTTTCAACGCGGACCTTGAGGTGTTTTGGTGATTCGCCGTTCTTTCGTTTGCTGACCGACGGTGAGCGAGGAAAGAACGACTCCGACGCACGACTCATTCCTAGAGGAGAGCCCCGATGAGGGTAACTTCATTCATTGGACGCTGTGGCGCGGCAGCTAATGGCTGTTAAATTTCGCGGAGTCCGAGCAAATGCGGGACGTCAGCAGTCCTCCATGAATGTGGGTCTGATTGGATAGAAAAGGGGCGACGCTAGTTCATGTCTTTTTTTTCGGTGATCAAGGTCAAATGCGATGGGCCCCGAGGGGTTTTTCGGCGATGAATAGACTGGATACGGGCATAGTTGCGAAGAAGCTCGGGGGATCTGTTTCAGGAGTGACGCCGAAGACGGTTTGATTGTCGTTGAAGGTCGGACTGGACTAGCTAAACTCAAAATCGAGGCTTATTGCCAGTTTCCTCTATCTTTCTCCCTCTTCCCTTCAACAACAACGCGGAGACTTGCTATCCCTCTTGGCGTACACGACGACAATATCGTCATGTGCAAGTCTTGACTTTCGACCATAGACTGCCCTCCGCACGTGGCAAACGGGGCATGATGTACGAGGTACTTCCTACAAGGCTGGGCAGGGTTCGCCAAGAAGAAGACGAGACTGGTCGACCAGACTTTCGTCTTCTGAAGGCATTGGCATGACGCAGAGTCGTTGATTTTGAGACTGGCTGTTGCTTGGGAGCTGGGAAGACAATATTTCCCTGTGGTGTAAGAGATAGAAAGGTCAAGAGCCAAGAAGAGATGGCAAATTCGAGTGACGAGGCGTCAATGGCGAAAGGATGTCTCGATAATAGCACTTGATAGCATATAAGACCTCTGTAGGATCACTCCATCTATTTCGTTCAGTATTAAGATCCAGCAAGATCAAAGTATATCCCGATTTAAACCTGCAAAGACGAAGCAAACCACAGCGGAATCAATGCCTCGCATCAACGACACAAACCAGGGAGGTAAGCAACAAATCCACCACCTTTCCAACACCGACTATAGCGCTGATATGATCCCAGACGAGACCTTCCCAACCTGGGAAACCAAATCGCCCACCACTTCCACCCCGAAGAACTCCCTCTCTAGCGACATGCGTCCATCCGACATGCCCTCCGAGAGCATCGCCTTCGCAGAAGACTACAACACTCGATCCCGGAAGAGGGAGAGCACGACAAGCAGCACCAAGAACAAGAGTCGAAGCCGGAGCCGGGTGTCTTCGGCGTATGATATGCCGGTGGAGGAGAAGAATGTTTGGGCGCAGGATAAGGAGGCACAGCATAAGACGTTTCTGAAGAAGGCGTTTGAGCATAAGCTTGTGCCGGAGTTTTTGAAGTAGCTTGGTGGTGAACAGGATGATGTTTGAGGATGGAGTTGTGTTGTATAGCATGACGAATGGAATTTCTTGGAATTGCTTTTTGAAAAGAGACAATCCCTTTCGTGACTACCCTCGGTAATCCGCTCATCTATCCCTAAGCCCTCTAAGCAGCTGACTGAGAGTGTTATTAGGAGCGTCGTCGATTGAGGAAAGACGGAGAGATGCCAGTTTGATGCGTTCCACTTTGACCGGACCGAGGAGCGTACTCCCCATCAATCATTGATCTTTTTGTGTGGGGTTCACTCCTCAGAAGTCAACACATATTCCACGACCTTCCCGCTCACGCCATTCCAGTGCGTCCGGGCCCAGAAAAGCCAAGTGGTGAGCACGAAGAGCGCGCAGAATGCAAAGATCGGACTGGCATAATTCATTCCTGCGCCTGTCACAGGCACTGAGCTTGGCCATGGCAGGAAGATGATAATCCAGAGCGTGTAGACCACAGCAAAGAGATTGATCATCAAGCCCCATCTTCCCAGATTCCAGGTCCCCAGCTCGAGAGGTTGCGAGAGTCGAGTCCACACCATACATGCGATGGCGATGAAGTAAGAGACGTACAACGCGAGTGAAGACAGGGCGATGATTGCACCGAACGCGGCAGATGACCCGAGTCCTAGCAGAGCGTGGAGGATGACAAGAACCGTCGGTAAGATCACAGCAGCAACAGGGACGGGAAAGCGTTGGCTGACTACTGAGATTCGTGGATGCAGTCCTCCGTCCCGACTCCAGGTCCAGGTAAGTCGACTTACAGTAGCCGTAGCTGCAACGCCAACGAAGTACGAAACCACGATAAGCAGGCTCATGAGCGCAGTCGTAGCTTGGACAGATCCAGTGGTGTCGAGTAGGATAGCTAGGATCGGCCACTCTGCTTCAAGCGCTTCTTCCAGAGGCCCCAGGGGAAAGAGCAATGCTATGACCATGGCGAAACCGAGTACGCCGTTGAGTGCGATTGTCAGGGCGAACTTCTTCAGACATGTGGACGGTGCCGTCAAAACCAGTGACTGCGTAAAAGTCAGCCTTGCATGGGACAGTTCGCAGGGGATTGAAGCTCACACGACCACGTAGTTGACAGCATGCCCAGATTCCACGCCACGAATCGATTCCCTGCCCAGCCCGAGGATACCTCAAAATGAGTGAACACATAGTCAGCACTATGCTTTGATCCCATGCCGCCCAGCACGCCCACAAAGACGATGAATAGAAGCAAATGTAGCCAACCTGCAACGACTTCCGCAGCCGGCAAAACCTTCCACGCAAAGATGTTACATGCAGCTTGCGTCACCGCGAGCGCGACGATGGTCAAGTAGAGATGCCAATCCTTTGGACTGTATTCTGGAATACACAGATTGACGAGGCTTAGCAGCAGGCCCGCAGTTACATTGACAATGCCGCAGAGTAGAGAGATCCATCCAAACCAGGTCAGCCATCCTTGAAGCCAGGTGAGGAATCTCTTCATCCGTATTGGGGCGAATGCCCAAGTCCAGTGATATTGAGCGCCAGCGATGGGTTGGAGAGACGCCATCTCAGCCATCGAGGCGGCCTGGGCGAGTACCCCTATCCAGCTGATGAGGCAGCTCCAGATGAAGACCTGAGGCCCCCCGTTGTAAGAGGGCGAAGAACATGTTGCTGTGTGAAAGAGCATCATCATCAGGTACAACGGAATTAGCGCATGTGGATCACATACGTGAACATGCCATCCCAGGTGGATTGGAAGACCAGAGCAAAGGCGAAGATCGAATGGAAGGTGAAGACTCGCTGAGAGGCTCAATGTCAGTCTGAGAAAGGCAGTCTGTTCAAGAGGTCTCTCGCCTTGACCTTGGAGGCATTGCCGATAATTTGCTGTTCGGCTTCGTTTGATTCTGTGGGCGAGGCTGTCGTATTGTTGTGCGGGGTTTCCAGGAGGTGACATCTCACAGGTGACGCCTGCTTTGGATAGCAATGAGAGCGAAGTATGCGGTGGTGCATCAAGACGATGAAGAGAGACCGGGAAAGTTCGCATTTGCTCTTCCATCGGGCACCATCTTGTCCTCGTGCATGGCGTTGTGGAACCACATGAGTTCGGGTGGCTGTACTGCGAGCACGCTCACTAGATTAGAAGATGCGCCCCTCCATGCGAGGTCAAATTAGCTCTACTTGTATGAGGCATCACAGGGGGAATAGGTGTGGTCGCAGGGCGAATCCTCATCAAGCCGCAGTTGCTCTACCACACTGCCTACGCAGTGCCTTGTACCCTGCATCCTGGTAGCCATGGTGCTGTACGATGAGGTTCCATGATCAGAGATTGGGAATTGCCGGTGAAAGCAATGGCTGACCTTCAAATCGTTGGGCGGTGCTCCTGAATAATATGATCAACTCGAACACATTGGAGGAGGAAGGGTGAAGGAAGCGAGTCCTTGCGATGGGAGTTGTGGTGAAGAAGGTTCTTGCAGTTAGTCAGCCCAATCAATCGTTAATTTCGGAAGCCGTTGCGATTAGGTTCAATCATCTGGCAGGGACGCGTTTCTATTGAAAAGGCGTCTGCTCGCTCTTTCAAATCTTGAACACAGCAACCTTTGCTGACCTCAAGGTCAACAAACTCTCCGAGCAACATCTTGCCCACAAAGCAAAAACATACCTAAGAACGACCAGACATTCGGGCCCGCATTGGACCATCAATGTCCTTCACCTACACCTTTGACTTCCTCCATCTCGAGTCTACACATTGGGGTCTCTCTCATCCAAATCACACGTCTCCAACAAGTTCTGCGTCAGGTTTGGCTTCCTGTTATACTCGTCGGCACTCAAATATCGATCACCCCACTCGCCGACCGTATTATCGTAGGTCGTTCCTGGCTTGACTTTGCACAGGTGCAGCATGTTGTCCTTGAGGCCCTTCATGAGGCCAAGACGAGGGTACTCCTACGACATGTCAACACGCCAACAATCCCAGACCTAGCATCTTGACAAAGCGTACTCTCACGATCGCATTATACTCATCCCAGGTAAGAACACCTCCGGAAACGCGGTCTGGACCTTGGAAATCGGCCCAGATACCGTACGAACAAGATTGCACCTCAGGCTCTTTCTCAAACACCACAGACCCGATGGTATGCAACGCAATGGCGTCCCATACCAGCTGCAAACGATGCTTGTCCCACTCCTCCGCCTTGGCCTCCCTCTTCAAGAAGTTTCTCGCCGCATTCGCACCGTCGACCTCGAATCGCTTATCGTCGCTGAGTACATCGTTGTGGGGAGGATGGCCGATTGGGAAGCCGGTGTCGTGGAGAATGGCAGCAATAGCATGGGCCTCTCGGTCGCGGTCCTTGGTGTGAGGGAGTTTGTCGGCGATGATGAATCCCAAGAGAAACGACCGGACAATGTGGTTATAGGTGTAGCCGGTGGACACCCCTTTGGCAAACTCCAGAGCCTTATCGATCAATGGCGTGTCGGGGACGGTCACACCGCAGAGGACCTTGGTCGGGAGGTTGTTGCTGTCACTGCTGGCCATCCTGGTGGTTCCAATCGGTCGGGTCGATGGCGGTGCTGCGATGGATGAGTCGGACAAGGCGACCCGACCTGGGCCCGGGAGCAGCCATCAACATATCGCTGGCCTGTTTGGTGCAGAAGCTGTGCGTTGGCATGCTGCTGCTCGTGCCCACGGCAAGCCACTGCTTCTCGGGGGGTGAGCTAGCCGGGGAAAAGGCTTCCGAATCCTCCACCTGCCAGGATGGGTGCCAGACCGCCCAATGGCCAGCCTGTCTCGTCTGCGCACTGCACAACAGCCCAAACCTTCACCATCGCCTGCATTGCGAGGCACATCAGTAGTGGGACCGCTGCGTATAACCGCTGCAGCATCCTTTTCTGATTTGGAGACACTCTGCCTGTACTCGTTGCATTCTTTTTCCGTATGGCGGACGAGCCCAAATCACCATCGCCGGCCGTGGAACCATCACAACCACGACAGACCGAAGCAGGAACAAGTGAGCAACCTGAAGTTGATGCACCTGGCAATGATGGCGAAAGTACCGTCGAGACTGTCGATCCACTGGTGAGGTTAGACGAAACTTTCTTGAGGGATCTAGTTCTGAAGATGAGGCGTCCAGGAAGTAGACATCTCCAGTGACTCAGGATTTGCAGAAGACGATGTTGGATCGTGAGGCACTGTAGTGTATGCGGACGCCAACTACATGCTAAGTACTCCCAGGGAGACGACCTCAATCACATCCTCGTTACTGCGTGGACATATCGAAAACGGGCGAAAGTGCGTATCGAAACAGTGACATCTTGGCAAATCGCTAACTTGCGTTAAGATATTCTACTCTCCGAGATGACTACTGGTGAGGCGTGGAAGGAAGTTTCGCTGGCGCTGTCTCCTAAACATTCGCAGGGGCCCTTCGGATGATCAACAGTTCGAGACGATGGACGCAGGTCACTTGTTCTATCTGTTGATGGAAAGTGGTCACGACAACCTGCTGTTTCGCTCGCCACTGAAGTCGCCCAAGCACATCCTCGACATTGGCACCGGCACTGGCACGTTTGCAGTCGACGTTGCAGACAAGTTTCCAGATGGTAACTCTACACCAACGAGATCCGCGCGAAACTTCCGTTGACTTCTACAGCAACTGTGTACGGTGTCGACTTGTATCCTCCGCCCACACCTTGGGTGCCTCCCAACTGCTTTCTGCAGGTCGAAGATGTCCTTCACGACTGGTCGTGGTCACATAAGTTCGACCTTGTCCACATGCGTCTGATGCTGGGCGCCTTCACCAACAATGAATGGGACGCCTTGTACAGGACGATCTACGAGTAAGTTGTCATAGATGACCTGTTTGCGATGCCATCTCACGTCGCCACAGGAACCTCGAGCCCGGCGGTTGGCTCGAACAAGTCGAGCTGGATGTGCGCGTGATGTCTGACGACGGCACTCTCGCCAAAGACTCGTTCCTGGCTGGCTGGGGCGACAACTTCCTTGGATGCTCTAAGCGCAGTGGGCGACCTCTTTCCACGCAAGAGACCATGGCTGGGAGAATGGCAGAGGCGGGATTTGTCAATCTGAACGACCACTTATTCAAATGTCCGCTCGGCTCTTGGCCCAGGGATAGGCGTTTGAAGGAAGCTGGGCGAGTCAACTTCCACCACTGGTCGTCTGGGTTGGATGGTTGGGCTATGTGGCTGTTGACCAAACATGGAGCGCCGAAGCCGTGGAGCGCGGATGAGGTGAGAGTGTATGTTGCGAAGGTGAGACAGGAGCTGAAGCAAAAGGGGCTTCACATCTACCACTTGACGTGAGTATATCAACATGCAACGTATATGAAGGCCTGATCGCTGACTTGGATCCTCTCATTCTAGGCGGAGAGTGTGGGCTCAAAAGCCCTATTAGAGCACTTGTCTTGGTGATTTCTGTTGGATACCCTCTGCGCATGTGCAATTGGCGATCATTATAACAGCAACAGTATCAAATATATCAGTCGAAGCACCTCCATGGCGTTGACTTGAAATTATTGACGCCAGCTTTGACAAACCTCCACGGACTGACCGGATCGAGCAGGGACAGAGTAACTGTGCGAATGCGAGCACCCGGCCAAGGACAAGGATCTTGGAAACCCGAGGAACATCCACAGCCAACTCCACTGCAATTACAAGGTAAGCTCAGCCCACGACGGCGCAGCCACAGCAACGCTGCACAAGCCTACATATCGCTGCCTGACGGCTATATAATAGCAGCACACATCAAGCCGTGAACATCGACGCTGCCACCATCTAAATCAACAGGGACCCCATCGAGCAAGTCACAGCACACGGTACGATCATCAACATGGACAGCAAAACAAGCCTGCATGACAGCGACCGCATGTCGTTTCTATCGACCACCACCGACGACCTGCCACCGCCATATGAGGATCTCTCAAGGCCTCCATCATCGATCCTGACCGACATCTCCAGCGCGACCATTACCGGACCGACGGCACCAATCCCCAGCCGTCCGTTCCCTACAGCATTCAATCTATACTACCCATGGCACGGAAAACCAATATCTAGAAACACCAAGTTCTTCATTGGCGAGCACCTTGAACAGCCCTGCAATGCCGTCGTTCTCGGTCGTGAGTGGACCGGCATCGTACTGACCATCCATGAGGGGATCGAGGGCGACTCGCCCGTCATAGCATCAACGTACGTCAAGAAGGCATGGAGCAACACGTCGGCCGTCACTCTGACATCGATTGTCGGCGCCGATGGTCATCCGGTTGAACATGAAGTGGAAATGCATGCCGGGTTCAAGCACGTGTCTTGGACGTTCAGCGTCGAGGTCTCTAATGCGGATGAAAAGCCCCATGTGGAGAAGTTTGAGTGGCGCTTGTCTCATGGGAAGGAAGTCAAAGATCTAGACAAGTGGTCGTGGGGATGGAAGTTGGTTCGTCTGGACGGGCCTTCCATCTCTCAGCCAAGCGCGTCTTCGTCCAAACGTGAGAATCGTGATCATGGCTTCACGAGCGATGGGAAAGAAGTCGTCGCGGTCTGGGCGGCCAACTCGCATTGGAGCAAGAGCAAGATTGGCAAGTTCCAGTTCTTGGGCAGTGGGGCGCGAGGTGACTTGGGAAAGGCATGGTCATTGATGGCGGTCGCGACGGTGCTGAAGTTGTGGCAGGGTGGGCTGTCGAGGTCAAGTGGAGGGGGAGGGTTTGCGGCCGGCGGAGGGTCAGCCTAAGTTGGACACGAAGAGCTTCATGTTTGTGGATCCGCTTGGTGCACACCTGCAGGCTGGATTCAATTTCTTGGAAACGTACTCCGGTGCCAATCACTATCCATGAGCGAGCGGGCATACCGAGCAGCCACGGCTTCCGTCAGGACGACGATTCCCTCCAAGTCGTATTCTACAGCGACCGAATCAGTGTTGAATGCCGCTCGAGACTCCGCAACGCCCTTTCAACGCCCATTACCACACAAACACCACTCATTCGAGCAACAAGCGCTGCACTCCAAAGACTTTACAGCCCAAGTTCGACCAAATCACGAAGTGCTCTACAACTCATACAACCCGTCCACGCCTTCTTTACCATCCTCCACCACTGAATTCAAGGTCTTCTTGATATGGCCAGCGATCCTACCGGCGAAGAAGTCCATCTGCTCTTCATCGATCTTGCCAGGATTCGGGAGCTTCTCTCCAGGCGGGCTGGGCGTCCTTCAAGATCACAAACATGGTTACCTTTGCACCTTAACACGATGGAATGGCATCTTGTGGGACTTACCAATACCATGAGATTCCGGACTTTTCGCCACCGAGGGCTTCACGCACTTCCTGAACTTTGTTCTCGCGGTAGCCTTTGCTGAAGATTACGTGCTTGGGGATGCGTGAGAAGTCGTGCGTGCCGACAGTGTCCCCATCAGTGCCTGCAGCAAAGTCAGCATGAAAGACCTCTTCGCTTGACTGATCGATCTACATGGTCTCTGTTTCGCCACAATGCTGGAAAGTTCCTGCTTCGCTCGCGGAATACTCTGCAGTTCCAGAATGACTACCAATCAACTCCAATCAGCTGCGACAGTCCACTCGACAAGGCCGCGTTGATCATACCTTCATACTCCGGCATCAAATGCGCAGCAACCCTCTTTCCCACTGCAGCGCTAAGATCAACCAAAACAACCGGTCTCGAAGTCTTGATGGGATCGCTGGACCTCCTCGTCAACTGCGCAATTCTCTCCTGGACGACCGAATATTTCTGCAACGAGACGAGAAGTTTGAAGAACGCCGTCATGGCTATCGGCGTAATGGCCAGGGCGGCCACTACGGAGAGGATGTACTCCATGGCGGAAGGGTGTCTGTACAGCTGGTGTGCGAACACGCTGTGGTAACTTTCCGTCTGTCTTGGCGTGTGAACAGTAGCAATGATTGAAGAATGTAACAAAGAAAGAAGGACACGACATGGATGTGTTCAGGACCAGAGAGCACGTGCGCCATACCCCCGGACAGCGGACTGCAGGCTAAATCGCTAGCGTCCATTTTGGTGTCGCTTGTGATATCGGTGAATTGCAATTGCCGAGTTCGGTCTACGAAAGGACTGAGGTCGCACGAGCTGGAACGTTTTCACATCACACTTCGTCTGAGCGATGTCAAGGTCGCGTGCTCGTTTCGTAATCTCTATGTAGTGCTTCCTCGAGAAGGTACGCATCGAGACTGAGAGCAGTAGCACGCCAACCAATGGATCAAAACGCAAATTCCTCAATCCACATCAAACTCCCCCTACACGCAGACCAAATTAGCCCAATCCGATCCAAACCCATCCACCCGCAAAAAGAGTACTCACTTGCAAAGCTTCATATCCGCAAAATTCCCATGATCACTCAAACACTCCCTCACAAACTCCTCGTCCTTCTGCATCCTCTGGATGCACTCAATATCCCTCACGATCATCTCCAACACGCAGTCGTAGTCGAGGATGCTGTCGTCCGGCATGCCGGCCATGAGTTGTTGGCGGAGGGGGAGGATGGAGGCGTCGTTGTGTTTCTGTTACCTCGTCATCATCGAGAGTCGTGCGGAGGGGATTAGAAGAGGTCTTACGACTGTATATCGGACGATGCCGTATTTCTTTAGGAAAGGGGTTGTGAGGGGCGTGTTGATGTTGGAGACGTGGGCGTGGTGGTCTTCTTGGGATTGGTGCGCGGGTTTCTTGATGTAGATGGTCCAGGCGAGGAGGCGCTGGGGTTCTGTGGGGAGGGAGCCCATTGTGGCGATGGGATGGGTGGTGAAGTTCGTGATGGGGAGAATTGAGAAGTGATCAGTCGTTTTAGGGTCGTAGAGCTGGTGAGTGAGGAGTCCAGTTCTGGGAATGATTGCGTTCTGGTGGGATTGGAGCTGGACCATGGGTGACGGCTGAGAAGTCGGTGCTCGAGCGCTCGAGCGGCAACGAACTCGGTGTGTTTTTGAAACATAATCGGGGACTGCTGGTGATAAGTATGTGACTTTGCCGAGTAAGGCTAAGATTGAGGTAGCAAGCTTGAGCAGGACAGCGCTCTGGTGTTTGAACCGACAGACGAGCGTGGCCCATGGACTCGTCGCCTTTACAGGTCTTGATGCAACTTATCACAGCAAGGCACATCATCCTTCCGCATCCCACCCAATTCCATACGGCACATCCTTGATCTCGAACGGCTCATCTGGCCCAGCGACCAAAATTTGATTCTTCCCAAAAAGTTCCCAATCACTCTCTTTGTACGTGCTCGGTTCGCTCGCGATGATCAAGTGCCTACCATGCCTTCCCTCAGGGATGCCGAAGTCTCGATTGGGGACGTTAATGCCATCAGGGTGATCTGGGTATTTTCTGTTTAGTGTCGTCCCGGCTTTCGTGCTGTAGTATAGACTGGGTGGTTGACTTGTCCTGTGGTTTCGAAATCGATATGCTACTAGTGAGACGCCGTCTGTTGCGCAGAGATTTAAGCTGTTGGGCCTCTTCTTGTTGCCGAGAAGTTTGTGTTGGAGACCGACGATGGTGGCGACCGCGTTGTGCATTGCCTCGGCCATCTCGTTTGTGGTGTATTGCTTTTCGAAGGTTGTGGCGTCGCCACCGTTCGTCAAGTAGGTCATGTACAAGCCGGCCATGTGTCTGAGAAGTATTGCGTTAGTCAAAGGTCGATTCGTCGTCATGAAAAGATGATCTCACTCTGAATCCGTCCCGCCAAAGACGTTGCTGTAGGCTGCATGGCTCATCTCGTTGATCACATCCCGCTTGATGTCGATGAAATCACTCGCAGCCCCATTGTGCATGAACGTATGTCGACCAAAGACGAAAGGATGGTTGTTGATGTTGGCGATAGCAGATCCTGACGATGCTCGGATGTGGCCAAAACAGACTCTCGACTCAGTGTTGGCACATATCGAGAGGAAGTTCATATCGTTTCTTGGAGGCTGTATTGTCTTGTACATAGCCGGAAACAGACCCTTCCAATGCTCAGTCGCATGGAAAGTGACACGTTGAGGGAGTGACGGTTGCTCACCTCTTTCTGCGTCCCGTTGCTGCTTTCGCCCGTGTTGCCGCGTTCAAAGTCTGCGTTGGAGGAGGTGTACCAAACCACACCAAGGCCATCGAAATTGTTGACAATATTCCGGGCTTTCATGTCGTTTTCCTCTTCCTCGCCGTGTCCATGGGGAAGAAGCTTAGGGAGGAAGTGGTCAGAGACTTGCTTGACCAGAGAATGCTTAGGTGAGATGAGGACATCTTCGAGGAGACATGGCTCAGTTTTGGAGACATAGGCGAACCAACTGTTGAAGTGTCAGACGGGGATGGCGTTGCTGGGTTGTTCGTTAAAGCATGTTTAGCTCGGACAGGGGCAACTCAACATTGACGTGGTGATAGGGGCTTTGGAGAAGGTGGTAGGGGAGGCTTCTGGGGAGGACAGGGTTGTTTCTGTGTTTTACTTACCGGCACATGTTTGAAAGTAGGATATTCTTGAAGCAATTAGTAGTGAAAGGGTTGTCAATCAACGGTAACAAGTTACAGACGCGATATCAACTCCGCTATCGCAAGGGTGACTTCCCAGATCGGCAGGACCGGTGCTTGGCAGGTACCGGCTAACGGCGGCTCGTGTCGAACCTTAAAGCTCGGACGCGCTCGCGGTGAATGTTTGGAAGCTCTCGACCTGCGAACACGGTCAATCATCATCTCCCCAAAGTCAAGATGGCCACAGTCCCTCCAAAACACCAACAATCCTCCGTACCAGCCACAGAGACTCTCCCATTCAACGAGCGACAGCAGCCAACGATACGGCTATTCCCACTCAGCAACTACACTTTCGGCACCAAAGAGACTCAACCAGAGGAAGATCCGTCGGTCAAGGATAGGCTGAGGAGGCTGGAAGAGCATTACGACAAGTATGGCATGAGGAGGACGTGCGAAGGGATACTGGTGTGCCATGAACACAACCACCCGCATGTTCTCATGCTCCAGATCGCCAATGCCTTCTTCAAGCTGTAAGGCATGATCTTGAGACGAGGGGAATCAGTCGCTGACAAGACACTATCATAGACCTGGCGACTACCTCCCGCACGATGCCGAGGAGATTCAAGGCTTCAAAGACCGCCTGAACGAACGCCTCGCGCCCACCGGCTCCCTCTCCGCCGCCGAAGCCGCCGATCTCGACTGGAACGTATCCGACACGCTGGCGCAATGGTATCGCCCTAACTTCGAGACGTTCATGTACCCTTTCCTCCCGCCTCACGTCACGCGGCCGAAGGAGTGCAAGAAGCTTTACTACATTCAGCTGCCCAAAGCCAAAGTGTTGAGTGTACCGAAGAACATGAAGTTGCTGGCAGTGCCGCTGTTTGAATTGTATGACAACAGCCAGCGGTATGGTCCGCAACTCAGCGCTATTCCACACTATCTGAGCAGATATCGGTGGGAGTTTGTGGATGAAGAGGGAGAGGTGGTGAGCTACACGCCGGGTGGGCCGATCGACGAGAAGGTTAAAACGAAGATATTGGCAGGCGGCGAGAATGGGCATGCGGAGGCGGGGAAGCAAGAGGCGAATGATGAAGCGATGCAACAGTCATGAGATGGGGGGATGTTGATACTGCGTTCAAGCGAGCGGAGTTCGGGGAAGACAAAGGACATGTGTTCCGGTAACAAGAGTCGGTGGCATAGGCTAAGTCCGAGAGCGATTCGCTTGATTTGTTCTGATATCAGCTGCATGGCAAATCAAGCCTGTCCATTATGGCGAAGACAGTCACCAGGAGCTTAGTGGAGAGTGATATGAGGATCGCCAACTGCCAGATCCCGACCAACGATTGCTGGTGTGTTGGAGTCATAATAAGCTGAGGAGTTGGATGTCGCTCAGAGCCCATGTTGTCAAGAGGCAAGGCATATGGTCATTTGGGCATGGCAAGGCATCTGAGATGGAGGGATGCTGTGAATAAGCAGGCCACAGCGGTGCAGGAAGAAAACACCAAGCGCAGGAATCACAGCATTGTACCTCGTCAGGTCTGTCGAGAGGCTGCTCCAATATGAATATGAATAGTATTCAGTTAGTGTATAGAAACAGCCAAAGAGCAGACGTGGAAATGGACTTATTTTCGCGGGCGTGAATGACGTAGAACTTTTTGGGTTTGGCGGCAGGGTTCAATTTGGTGCAGTCACAGGCGCTCAACCGCAAGAAATGCTTGTGCCCAACCTTCACACACCTATTATCCTCCGCCTACACCTCACATTCACTCTCCTCGCCACTGACCACACCGCAGCGGGCCTGCATCTTTGATTGGAGACCACCTGCGATTTGATTAAGCCTCTGTTTGATCCTCTCTACAGCCGCGAAAGAATTTGAGGCGGCAGACGGACCCCACTACACAAAGCCCACCACCGCCCTTGACCACTTTTCTCAAAGGCCACCCCTCCTCCTACAACACCACCACCACCCCCCTCACCTCACCGCCATGGTCTCCGCATCCAAGGCCGCCCGTGAGGCCAAGCGCGCCGCGTCTGGCAAGGAGCCCAAGAAGACAGCCGCCAGCAAGGTCGCCTCCAAGAACGCCTCCAAGGATGCATCCGCCGCCTCGTCCGTCAACGGCGATGAGACGCCGCCCATGATGGACGGCGACGGCGACGCGCTCCCCGACTCCAACAGCAAGGCAATCAGCGATAAGGTCGCCAAGCTCACCCTGCAGGAGGACAAGGACGGCATCTCAGACCGCGTCACCACCGGTGTGCTGGCCTCGCTCGAAGCCAGCCGCGACGTCAAGATCACCTCCGCCTCGCTCGTCTTCCACGGCAAGGTCCTCTTCAACGACACCACCATCGAGGTCAACTATGGCCGTCGGTACGGTCTGCTCGGCGAGAACGGCTGCGGCAAGTCCACCCTGCTCAAATCCATCGCCAAGCGCGAGTTCCCCTTCCCCGACCACATCGACATCTACCTCCTCAACGAAGGTGCGCCGCCTTCGAACCACGGGGCCCTCGAGTGGGTCGTTATGCAGGCGGAGAATGAGATGAAGAGACTGGAGAAGCTTTCGGAAGAAATTCTTGAAGATGAGGGCCCAGACAGCCCCAAGCTGGAGGACCTGTACGAGAAGATTGATGCCATGGATCCTTCTACCTTCCACACCCGTGCATCCCTCATTCTGACGGGTCTCGGCTTCAACAAGAAGACCATTGACAAGAAGACCAAGGACATGTCCGGTGGTTGGCGTATGCGTGTCGCTCTCGCCAAGGCTCTCTTCGTCAGACCTGATCTGCTCTTGCTCGACGACCCAACGGCCCATTTGGATCTCGAGGCCTGCGTGTGGTTGGAGGAATACCTCAAGAAGTGGGACCGCACGCTCATCCTCGTCTCCCACTCGCTCGACTTCTTGAACGGCGTCTGCACCAACATGATTGACATGCGCATGAAGACGCTCATGTATTTCGGTGGTAACTACGACTCATACATGAAGACCCGCTCCGAGAACGAGGTCAACCAGCAAAAGGCATACGAGAAGCAGCAGGAGGAAATCAAACACATCAAGGAATTCATTGCCAAGGCCGGCACCTACGCCAACTTGGTGCGGCAGGCCAAGTCGCGTCAAAAGATTCTCGACAAGATGGAGGCCGAGGGTTTCATCCAGCCCGTGCATCAAGACCGCGTCTTCACCTTCCGCTTCGCCGATGTCGAGAAGCTGCCACCGCCGGTGCTTTCCCTCGACAACGTCACCTTCTCCTACTCGGGCGAGAAGAAGGACAACCTGTACGAGAACCTCGACTTTGGTGTCGACATGGACAGCAGAACCGCTCTCGTCGGTCCCAACGGTGTGGGCAAGTCGACCCTCCTTCGTATCTTCACTGGCAAGCTTTCTCCCACTTCTGGCTCCGTTTCTCGACACACGCACTTGAAGCTTGGCATGTACAGCCAGCACTCTGCTGAGCAGCTCGACCTGACCAAGTCTTCCCTTGACTTTGTCCGTGACAAGTACCCTCAGATCTCACAAGACTACCAGTACTGGCGTCAGCAACTGGGCCGGTATGGTCTTTCTGGTGAGTCACAGACGGCCATCATGGGCACGCTGTCCGAGGGACAGAAGAGCCGTATCGTCTTCGCATTGCTCGCCATTGAGAGCCCCAACATGCTGTTGCTCGACGAGCCTACCAACGGTCTCGACATCCCTACCATCGATTCGCTCGCCGACGCCATCAATGCCTTCTCTGGAGGTGTCGTCGTCGTCTCTCACGATTTCAGGTAAGTCATCAATCTCATATCAGCAGATATCCGTACTAACAACTGTATAGATTGCTCGACAAGATCGCCAAGGACATCATGGTGTGCGAGAACAAGACAGTCACGCGGTGGGACGGTAGCATCACCGAGTACAAGAACCACCTGAGGAAGAAGATGATCCAGAACAAGATTTTGTAATGGTTGGGTCGAATTCAACCTTGCATTGAGCTCGTGACTTGCCGAGGTTTACTACTTCCCTATCGCGCAGTAATAGAACGCATCGGCATGATACACTTTGCGTTTCACTGCGTATTCAGCATGGATACGACGATAGGCCCTGGGACGATGCATTGGATGGGAGGGATAGAGGCTCGGCTTGCTTGACCCTAGGCGTTGAGGGTGTCTCATGATAGATACCAAAAAGAATGAATATGTTTTTGAGTGATGCATGTCGTTTTCCTCCCAAGTGGTATGTCTCGTGTGTAATGAGCAGGGATGTGTTGAAGAAGTGCCGCGGGTTTGTGTCTACTCCTCTTTGCTGCCAACACCCAGCTCTGCCGACTGTATCATTGCGCTCGTCGATCCATCGTTTTCATGTCCTTACACCACCCACACGACATTCTCTTTAGCCCTGACTCAACGCCATGCCGCTTTCTGATCTGCTCTTCACTCGACTTGACAGGACAGGGGGTTTCGAGGTGTCGCGACTCCGTGTTGTGAGCGATGAGAACTCCATCTATATCACCAGCTGGTAAGATGTGTAGGTGAGGCTGGAAGAGAAGAAGGCAGTGAGTGGACTGAAGAGGCTTGCTCGTCCGTTGTCGATGAGCAGCACGTTGAGGACGATGCGCTGCTGAGCTGAGCAGCCTGCCGGGAAACCTTCGTCCCGGTCAGCCGCAGGACTCACAAAATCACAGCCACCACTGAAGGAATCTGAAATACCCGATGCAAAGTCGAGGCTGAGGACGAGGGTACATATCCACGACCATGCCGATGCATTCTCGACGACGACGGTGATGGAATCCGCCAAAGTGGACCTCAACGGCAAGAAAATGCCTTCTCGAAGACCGCACACCAAAACGCGCCATGGGTGCAATACGTGTAAGATGCGAAAAGTTCGATGTACGGTGGAAAACGCAGCCTTGATCCTTGTATCCACGTTCTGACATGATCCTACAGGTGACGAACAGAAACCCATTTGCAATAACTGCACCCGTGGCAATCGAGCGTGTAGCTATCCCAACCAGCAGCTCCTCTCGATACCCTGCAATCTCGCCAACTCGCCCCAGGACGCCAGAGATCAGATATTCCCAGTTCGAGATATGGAGCTGCTGCATCACTACACGGCGTTTACGTACAAGCTCATGACTCAGGATCCGGAGCATCTCTGGCTGTGGTATGTATATTGAACTCGCGCATACTAGTCTCCCATATTGACGTCGTTCACAGGCAAGTCTACATCCCACAGATGGCTTTCTCATATCGCTTCCTCCTCCACGGCTTGCTCGCAATCACTGCTCTGGACCGACGACAACAGGCCGAGGAGTCTCAGAAGGAAACATTTATGCAGTTAGCACGCTACCACCAACAGCATGCCTTAACCCACTACATCCCACTTCTACAAAACATCAACGAAGAGAATTGCCACGCCTTGTTCGCATTCTCCCTCATTCTGGGCGCCTCGTGTCTGGGCCTCCTCCATGGTGATTTGGTGGAGAACCCCCCCAATGTCATTAGTCGCTTTCTCGACATCTTCGATGCTCTGCTGGGCGCCACAGCTGTCGCCGTCGAGGCGCAGCAATGGTTGCATGAGGGTGAGCTATCCATCATCATGAGCGGCATCGTCCCAGAAATTCGCGACTTCTGGCACCTTAATGATGGAGCCAGGAAGGCGCTCGAGGGATTGATCAGCTGCGTGGGCAATGCCTGCGAAGGCTCAGGCCCCAACCAGTCCAAACGAGACGCTTATCTGGACAGCATATATGCTCTCGGCACCATCATGGCTCCCGCGCCCAAGAATCGACAGCTGAGCATCGTCATCAGCTGGCCCGTCATGGCCAAAGCTGAGTACATTGCTTTGTTGAAGCGGCGAGATCCACTGGCTCTCGCTATCCTCGGCCATTGGGGCGTTGCTCTGCACCTTTACGGTCGCCTGTGGATGCTGGAGGGCCTTGGGAAGCGATTGACGCTCGCGGTCTATTATGAGGCAGACCCGAAGTGGCGACCATGTCTGGAGTGGGCCAAGGAGCGGATTGAGGAGCCTATCACGCAGCAAGTCACGCCCGTGGATCACATCGTTTCGCCGCCGTGAGAAGCATATGACTTTATTCGACAGCAGAAAGGCTCATTTTCACTTCTTGAGATCGTCGCTGCTCAGATAATTAGCATTGGGTTGGAAAGACTTCCAAAGACCCTCCACTTACACCCAAACTTCAAGCTCCGCGCTGAGAGGCACACCCAACCGATTTGCGAGAGCAGGCGACGAGATATTGACCGTACTTTTCGACGGCCTCAATGCATAGCCTCGAAGTCTCTGGGACGAACTCGTGTGTCGCTGGCCATCATACGGTCCTCGGCGTTGCTGGTGTGGAGACAGAAATCCTGCCTCGAGGGACTTTAACGAGTCATCGTCCGAGTCGGAATCAAGGTCGTCATATGCAGTGTATCGGCTGTCAGGAAGCACAAGCGAAGGAGCCTGGATCTGAGGCAAGGCGTCGGATGCTCCAGAGTTGCTTCTCTGGCGTCTGGTGGATGCGGTGGCCGGGCGATCTTTGGGGCTGTCGATTCGCCTCGCACAATCTTCTGCGACCTCGACAGAATCGTCCGAGACGAGATAGCGGAAGCCAGTCTCGCCAGATTTCAGCGAGAACGTCGAGATGGTGGTCGCTGGTGAAGTTGGGCCGTCGTTCGCATATTCCCCATGCTTGATGGGCCGGATGTGATGGCGGAACGGACGACGGCGACGTCGAGCACCATTGGCAACGGCAAGTGTCAAGCGCGTGAGGTATTCGGGTTCGTGTTTGGAGGAAAAGTACGATTCGGTGTCTGACACGTCGAGGTCGTCTTTTGTCTGCATCGTCGCCGGCTGCTGCTTCCTGGCCGGCAGGGGTTGTGGATCTGGTTGTTTCCTTCGCGTGGGCATGTCTGCAGAAATGGCTGAACGAGGGATTTACATTTCCAATAATTGGCCAGCAGAGGTGAGAAAGATGATATTTGCTCTACGCGCAACAAAATAGCGCGTTGACGTCGAGGGGGGTGTGGGCTTTTAGCTCGAGCAACAGCAACGGCGATGGCGACTCTTTCAACGTGTCGAAGGAGTCGGCCATCCACTGTCAACGGTCTGCATGTGCCCGTCTCCAGCATGATGATGTGCTGCCAGAGCCAAAAACAGACGCATTCGAGACATGTCGATCTGCAGCGTCGCTGTAGTGGGTGCCGCTTGTGATTCGCTACCGCAATGGTTCGCCTGGCGTTTGTGGCTTGCGATGCGGTCGTCCAATCGCGCCGCTATCCGTTGGATTTCTTTCGCGAACTTGTGCCTCCTCCTTTGGGGATGCAAAAGTGGCTAGAATTGGAGCTGTGGTTCTTGGGGTTTGGGTGGTGGGATTCTTGGGAGAGATGTGGCTGGACCTTTGTACTGTTTGTTCACTTCAACGACAGCACAACACCGACCAGGACTCGAACTTGGTCCGTCGAAAGAAATGCTCACATGCGCATACGCAGGAACAAATCCTCACAAAATCCATCGTTCGCATAGCAGCTGCATCCGTCCCTTTCCGCGACTCCTCCACCTCCTACTAGCCACCTCCTGAGCGGAGGAAGAACGGTCCCTGAAAGATGCATATGCATGTCCGTCTGCATTGTTCCGGTTCGACAACTCCAAGAAGTCAAGACTCCTGCTCGATTCTCGGCGCAGAGCAACTATCGTCATCTTCTTCGGCCGTCAGGAATGTTTGTGGACGACCATGACCAGAAGATGGGCTCCACGGTCCAGGATGCGAAGGAGCTTCCTGATTCGAACATTCCACTGCGTGGCTTTGTCGATCTCGCCGCTATGAGAGTTTCTTATATTGACTGCTTCTTCGGCAATGATGAAGGGGACTCATCACACCTTGGAGAACAAAAGAACATGACCAAACGGGCTTCCCATTCTTATTGTGCGTTTGAATAACACTTTGTCTCCGAACATAAGGGAAAACCGTGGAGCCTGACCCTTCAGAACTTATCATTCGCCTCATTTGTGAGAATGCTCCAACAATCTGAGATCCTGCTGGCGCAGACGTGGCCCGCTTAATATATTAACAGCGCCGTCTCTTCCTGCCCAAGCTTCACCGCATTCGTGTCTGTTCGCTAATTTTGCACGATGGTGTTGGATGACTTGCGGTCGAATGGCTCTGCGGTCTGGAGGCTCTTTGGGATAAAAGGGGAGGTGGTGCCGCCATTGCGTCTTGGTCCAGCTCTTGGTTAATCGCACGATTGCACGAAATGCTCCTGTGCCAGTCAGCTTCGTGCTTTTGAACGACATACCGGTGGGAAAATGCCAGCTTCACAGGTAGAAGGAGCCCGCCATGGTGATTTGGATGTGTAACTGATCTCTGAGTAGAATGGCTCGATCCGATCAATCAAAGACGGAAAACCAACACCACCGCCTCGCTTCGAATCGAGATTGAACAGCGACTCGACGAGCCTCTTATCCGTGTGGCTCAATACATACGATCCGGACTCGAGAGCAACAACGCCATGCTCGGAGCGCACAAGCGACTGCGGCTCCTCTCTGCGAGGGGGCAAAGAGCTGCCTCAGACCCCGTGCTGCCAAGAGGCGAGAGAAAACATGTACGCTTTGACAAGGCACAGTCAGGATGAAAACTCACGGTCATTAGCGAACGGAATATCAGTCGGAAAGCCATTCGGACGTTCGCAGTCCTGGAGACGTCGCTGGATCAGCTTTTGGAGAAGTTGAATCGAATCGACGAACGGCTGCAACGTGTGGAGCGGAATCACGAGCAGAGTCGACGAGAGGCACAGCACTAGCCTTTTCACCGCCGCATGTAATTCTTGAGATGGTGAATGGCGGGAGTATTAGCCTTTCTGGTTGTCTGGTGACACTGCTCTGAATATTCACCTACCGGAGTTGGTCCGTGCGAGTGCCTACGCTCCGACTACTTACAGCGCCACGCTCAACTTGCACCTCTTCTCGCAACACACCCTCGACCTTCGGCTCGCAACCTCGACACATCCCTTGCGGCCAGATCGCTATCCTCTCCCCAAGTTGACAGATTCCTCGCAACCGCATAGCCATTCTTCCACCACCGCGAGGACACTCGTCAATCATGGCGAACGTCGAAGTTGACTCGGCGCATAAGCCGCCTACTACCATCCTCACTCTTCCTCAAGAACTGCAAGACGACATCCTCGACCGCGTCCTACTCTCCACGACCGTCCACATCGAGGAAGGCACGCGCCGCGACTTCTCACCCGACGACGAGGACATGTTTGGTCCCCTCAAGCGGAAGCTGACCAATACCGACATATCTCGCTTGTCTGACCTCCCTCACGAGATCGCATCGCTCAAGCTCGTTTGTCGTCAGTTCGCAAAGACGGTTGGCGGCAAGTGGCATTCCAAGGTCACCTATCACTTCCCGTCCACCATCTCCTTCATCGACATTCTACGCCAATGGCCAGCCAGCAAAGTTAGCTCCCTCCGCTATGCCTATATACGCAACTTCGACTGCATTATCACGAACGATTACGGCTTCATGGGCATGGACATTAGCAGTGCCCTCTCCTTCTTCCCTGGCCTACAACTCGACACTCTGACTGTTGACAACATGGCTCTGGCTCCCTCTGGCCAGAATGTCGCCAATCGTGACGCTGGGTACTCCATCATCCACTTCGAGCTGGAGCGACTGCCCTTCACCAATGGCTGGAAGACCCTCGAGTACCTCTCCGGACCACTTTGTCTCCTTCCGTCCCAGCAGCGCGAGTCGGAGGCTAAGGTAGCACAACACAAGACTGAGAAAGAAGAGTGCGACTTTCACCTCGACATCGTGGGAACGGTCCGCCCTCAGCTCGGTCATCTCGCCGAATTTCGCGAGCGCATTGCAGACGGCTCTGGTGTCCCGCCTTGGGTGGCCGCTCAACTGGTGGAGTTGGACGAGTGGTATGCGAAGCACCCAGAAGCCGGCAAGCCGGGCGAATTCCCAGCGAAGGAGGTCAAGGAGGTCAAGGAGGTCACGGTCCGTGTTCAGCGCGGAAGCAAGGCAAACTACGCAGAAGATGGGTCGGGCTCGCACAACTCCGACGAGGAACTGTTGAGGAGCTCGAATTGGATGGAGGTGAGGAAGGGTGAGGACAAGATCATCGACGATAGCATGCACACGCCATTCCGTAGCCGTGCAGAGCAGCTGAAGTAGGCAGGGGGACAGGCTCAACGCTCTTCGTGAAGTCCTTGGCGACTTGGATGGAAGAGACGATGAGATGCGATACGATGCGATTTTTCAGATATCCTTTGAGTGATGGACGGGATTGGCGTTGGTTTGGGCTTCTTTGCGAGCGGAGGCAGAGGTCTTAGACAAAGCTCCCGCCTAGTTCTTGATTCTCCGGAGACGTAGCGAAGGATTGGTCTGGATGGAACTCGAGGCAATGGCTAGTCTTTGCAATGAAAAGTACTGTTTACGCTTCACCTTTTCCTTTCGCTTTCCACTTCTGCCCTTCACTTCTCGGTTCATCTCGACTGACGATCACAACACAGCTTGGCTCAATCTCTCCACACGGCTCTCACTGTCACGAAAGTAAGAACATACCGGTACATCATCCCAACGACATAGATGTCCGTCACATGCAAACCAGGCGTCGGCGACAGTCGAGTCGTCTTTGTCGATCTTGAATTACAGGTACTGATACCGAAAAGCTGGGAGACTCAATCATCTCGCTACCACTGTTTCACGACCATGCCATCTGGCCCGTTGCTGGCTTTTAGATGCATGACGCCCTTGTTTCATGCGAGCCAGAGATTGCTCGACCGTAGAACACTATGTATAGGATCTTCACATTGTTTTTGCTGTCGCCTTCTGGAAATGCTGCACTCATAACACACCAAAGACACCCCATGGATACGCCTGCACGATGGAGCAATTGCAAGAGGAGAGAGAGAAAAGCGCAGAGCGAAAAGTCGTCAAACGACGCTCACAACACCACAACTTCCCTTCTAGGCTACTTCCTCCAGCTTTCTGGATCCTGTCTCAGATCACCACGATGAAACATACCCAGATCTGGAAGTCGATCGGGCTGCATGTGAAGTGTGCCAGCCCGTGTGGCGGCAGTGCCTGCAGGAACACGACGAACCGCTGCGAACGGGTTGACGGGGCAGCAAATCCACATGGCTGAAAACGTTCATATTGCTTCTTCATCTTCGACGCTTCTGGAGCCAAGGCCAGAGCTCATGGTGGCTTGCTCGAATATGTGTTCTTGTGGGCTGAGTCCTAATCCAGACTCGATGCAGGCACGGAAGTCTGCTTGGCACGTTTAGATGGTGGTCTGGTCAATTGCTCTGGCCTTGTGTGGGTTTAAGGCGTGGAGAGATATAAGGTGTCAACAGCGGATCGAGCGTGGTCGTGAAGTTCGTCGTAGACCCATATTAGCCATAATACATTGACTTCCTGTTCAGTTTTTGTTGCGGCACTAGTTCATTCATGATTGCTGCATAGCTTTGTATCATTCAAAACATGCTCAGTCGCCTCGAGACTGCGTTATGCCTTGGACGGGAAGTCTTCGATGCAGAATTGCAAGATGTGACGGTATTGGAAGTCGAGAAGACCAGGCCGATATTGCCAGTCCCACGGACACTTCGTATTCTCGCCCTCCATGGTTCGTTGAGACAATTCTGCAATCCTTGTGCGTATCCTAACAGAATATCTTCTCTAGGCTTCGGACAGAGCGGCGAGTGCCTTCGCATAGCCATGAAGACCGGACAACTGGGACAGATGGTGTTGGACTCGATCAATGCAGATCTGTTAGACCAATATGAGAACGTGGAATGGCTCTGTCCTGATGCTCCTCTTCAGCTTGTCCCCGATACCAGATATGAAGACGGATCGCTGGACAATGTTGACATTTTCGCCTGGTGGCGGGTGCTCGACTTTGATATGCAACACGAGCATCTTTACAAGAGCTTGACATATCTCGCCGGGTATCTTAAAGAGCATGATCCTGTTGATGGCATTGTCGGCTTCTCTCAGGGCGCCGCCGTCGCCATGATGCTGGCTGCGATGTGTGACGATACACCACAACGACGAGCCGCTCTCTTGGCCCAATGCGCACCTTTCTCGATACCACCACCGCAAGCGCCGTTCAAGTTTGCCGTTGCATGCTGCGGCTTCCAAAACGCTTTGCAACACTACAGCGGCTTTTACACCCCCAGGATCACCACACCGTCATTAAATATCGTGGCAGAATTCGACACCATGGTCAGCGCTGAGCAGAGTGTCACTCTGGCTCGGGCATGTACAGAGTCAACCATGATCCACTTTCGAGGGACACACCATGTCCCCACAGCCCGAGCTACGTTGCGTGAGATGGCGGCGTTCATTGCCAGTTCCTGTGCTCGGAAAGCCTTCATGTCTCCGCCCACGGCCACATATACTTTGCCATTCGAGTGCATGGAGGCCAAAGAATTCTCGACCACCGTCAGCAGGATTAATTCAGACGGCTCACACCCCCCAACTCACTCACTGACTTTGTCGCCCTGTTCGAGTCTATCTAGCATCGGTTCGAGACAACGAAGAAGCCGTCTTAGGATTATCAGGCGAACGACAAAGATTTGCAGGATTCCAGGCGTTCGGGCTGAAAGTGGCAGCACCTACGTATGAGTCTGCTCGATGGAGAGTGGTTGAGGTCAGGGTCGACGAAAATGTGTGGGAATCAACATCTGTTGCAGGTGTTCGTTCGATACAGATCGAGGGAGGTTATTAAACTGTACAACATACTCTGAGCATTGATCAGCTTCTCAAATCCCGACTTTGGGTCGGTCCTGCTTTCTCGTCGACCTCCATATCTTGCACGTTCTTTTTCTGAGTGATTACCAACCACAAAGTCTGTGCACCAAGCTGCAGCTGTGATGGAAATTCACCAATGCTGCTACTCTTCCCTTTGCTCTGCCGACTGGAAACAGGAGTCAAGCGCGAGCTGCTAGCCTCAGGCTGGAGTGAGGACGTCGACCGCTCGCCATCACCACTCTTGACAGGATCTACCCGAGCTTGCACATCACCTATCCATTGCCGCAGTGATGCCATTTGCTCCACAGCATCGCTGCTTTGACGGCCTCTTGCTGTGCCAAGGATGTCATGATAGGAGGTCCCCAGGACGGTGGCCAGTTCAGAAGTGTCCAGTAGGAGTGCATGCAGTCCTCGTCGGTGGAACCAATCTTTATTGGCAGCAGCAACATAGACGGTGGCTCGCTCTCGAGGGGTCTTCGGCTTTTGAATCAGACTAAGAGGTGCGTTGAAGACAGAGCCCACGGCATGACCGACTGTCCCAAAGGTCAAACCCAAAGCGCCACCAACAATGCCAAACGGATTGAACTGCTTGGCCGACTTGCCCATGGATTTGAAGGAGCGCTTGACGTTGGTAACGTATTGCTTGTGGTAGTCTTGGATGCTCTGGGCTACGTCTGATGCGTGATGGATTGCTTGTTGAGAGACCTTGGCAGATACGAATGCAGAGAGTGTGTCGACAAAGGCATACCAGCTCTCTGCAGGAATGCCATACGTGAGAAGATCGGTTGGATACGCAGAGACAAAGGGTGCGTCGGGAGTTGGTGAGCTCTGTGGAATGGCCAGGGGTTTCTGAAAGTCGACGGCCGTTTCGTATGTGGGAAGGTCTGCGGTAGGAAAGTTGAAGGGAGCTGATGTTGTGGGTCCTTGGCTGTGAGTAGACTTCTCTGGAGGGAGTTGCGCTGTCGTGTTTGATGGCTCAGGATTTTCGTAGGTTGGAAGTTCCTCTTCGTTCAGCGTTTCCGTCTCCAAACGATCCGAACCGGCGTCAGAAAGATCGTCGGTATTAGTGCGTTGAGGTCGGGACGGTTTGAAGTCGGCCATGTTGGAGTGTTTCTCTGCCATTGCAAGTCTGAGATTCTTCTTTTCTCACTTGTGAGCGGTGAAAGGCGTAACTATTATAGTCACATCGCCAGCTGAAAAACTACGTCAATGCGAAAGAGAATGGCACAGCCATGCATTGGGGCGGTGTGATTGGCCTTGTCGCTACGCATTCCCGCCAGAGGTGAGGTCGCTTGGTAGGCAGCCAACTTTTCAGCTGGACCCATCATTCTTCCGCGGGATCAAAACATCACGTGATGCGAAGCCAAACTCAATTCGGGAGCGACTGTGGTCTGCAAACATCAACAACCATTCATCTCATCATCAATGCACGCCCTCGTCCTCTACTCTTTGAAGTTGACCGCCACAAACTCCTTCCAGCTGTGTGGCTTCCTCAAGCCAGCCTTCGCCACAAGAGCATGTCCCTCATCGATGGCATTTTCGGGCTCTCCCGCGTAGTAGCCGGGATTGTAGATGAGCTGCCAATTGCCCGTCATCTCTTCCTTGGCCTTTGGAGGGAGGAATGAGCTCCACAGGTCCCAGCCGGGATTGTTGTAGACGGCCTTTCTGCCAGTGACTTCGGTAAACGTGGCGACCGCCTCGTCTGGTGTCACATATCCTCCACTGGCAACGACGCGCTTGTTGAGAGTCTCTGGGAGCTGGAGAAGGATGGCGGCTACGAAGAGACCAGCGTCAGATCCGATGTCGATCAGTGGAATTCTCACGGTCCCTTCGAATGGCAGACCCAAGGCGTACTCCCCATTGGCGTTCTGCCGGTATCAGTCAATGTTCGGGCAGCTCTGGAAGCGACATACCTTGCGGAAGAAACCCAAGAAGAAGATGTCGAAGACGGAGGGCATAAAATACGTGCCTGGTACTCCAACAGATCGGGCATATTCTTCAATCTCCGCTTTGCCATCAAAGTGCTTGACAGAAGTGATGCGGCCGTTGGTTTCTGCGATCGTCAGAATCATAGAAGCAGGGGTGCGTGGAGTGCTGACCTTTGGTGACATTGACGAGCGAGGAGAAGATCAAGCGCTCGACATTGGCTTTTTTTGCGGCGTCAACGATGTTCCTGCCCTGTTTGACCTCGATATCCTTGTTCGCCGTCTCCCAGACTGAAACTGTCAGCTATGAGCCGTCCCAAAAAGTCGCCACACCCTACAGTTCGTAACTCCAAAAACGATACTGGACCCTTCGACCGTTTTGGCGACGGACTCCTTGTCATTCAAGTCGGCCTGGGAACGAATCAGTCCGGAGTTGGATGCACAAGCGGATGAACGTACAGAGACGACTTCGACTCCCTTCTCTTTCAACCCCAGCGCTGCCGCTTTGGTTACATCACGTGTAATGGCGCGAATCTGGTACGTCTTTGCAAGCTGAGGGTGGGCGAGGATATGATCGATGACTGAACCGCCTTGTCCGCCAGTTGCTCCAAATACGGTAAGGATCTTGGACATTTTCGATTGCTGGGTTCGCTAAACTTGCGTTTCTCTTTGGATGAGGTTTGGTGGTGCTGCTGTACCCTCGACCTCTCCACGATGGCCTTATATTCGTCTTTCGCCTTCGGCTTGGGAGTCGATGCGGCGCCGGAGTCCATCATGTTGTTGGACGTCGCCGGTCTAGTTGTTCGAGAAGCGCTTCGATTGCTATTCACCATGACAGCAGCGACTCCGAAGGCTTGCTGTGCTCTTGAAGAGCTGACAAAAAAGACATTTCGAGTTCTCTCCTGGAGTGCCTGCCTCACTATCGGTCGGTTCCAGCACTCGTGCCGGAAAAAGGCCTTAATTTCTAGAAAACGTGTGCTGAAAGCCTGAAAGAGGACCATTTGATATGGATTTCTCGGCGCTGGCGAGGCGCCGGCCGTCTCTCTCGGGGCTCTTGACGGAGCCGATGTGCGCCGACACCCTGATGCGAATGCGAATCACAACCTCAGGTATGAATTCTAATGGCTTTGTTCGTATGATATATGGTGAGATGAACTTCAAGATGGCGACGAAATCAAGAGGTTACGATCAAGTTATAGCCCGAAATAAGGGCCGTTCGGGTCGCTTGGATAGGGTTGGGCAACATGGGTCGTGTGAGTCCGCTCCTTCATGACAGCGGCACCCGGTTAACATCCATAGGGCATGGCGAAGAACTTGATCGAGAAAGGCAATCTCGAAAGCCCCCTCAAGTTGTACAATCGAACGACCACTCGTGCAGTGGCCTTGAAGAACGAAGTGGGCAGTAGGGCGTCAATCGGGACGAGCATTGCAGAGACAGTTGCGGGAGCCGACATCATCTTCACCAGTCTCAGCAATGATGACACTCTGAAAGAAACCATGAGCCAGGCTTTACAGTCAGAGATCGTTGGCAAGACGTTCGTTGATTGCTCGACAGTGCATCCAGAGGCTGCGAATGATCTTGCCGAAATGGCTTCGAGCAAAGGGGCTGATTTCGTCTCCATGCCAGGTGGGTAATCCATTCATGCACAAACATGGACCCGTCTCACAGCTCTCGCAGTCCTTGGATCACCTGGTGTTGCTGCAAGTAGCCAACTCCTCTGCCTGCTATCTGGATCATCCAGGGCCATTGATCTGGTGAAACCATACATCACCGGTGTCATCGGTCGCCAAATTATCGAGTTTCGGGATGAACTAGCTGGCAAAGGTCAAGTCCTCAAGCTGATAGCGAACATGTTCATTCTGAATGTTAATGAGATCACCGCGGAGGGCTTGACGTTCGCGGAGAAGGCTTCAGTGGATCCTCACAGGTTGCTTGAGATGCTTTCTGTTTTATTCGGTGGTCCTTATAGCGTCTACGGTGCGCGGATGATCGGTGGAGATTACCACAAGAAAGAGGTATGGTGGAAATTCTTACTTGATACCTTTTGATGAGACTGACAGCTTGAAGGCACAAGTTCCTGTTGGGATGGCGTTGAAAGATGCTCATCATGCGATGAGAGTCGCTGAAGAAGTCAAGTCGACAGTGCCGAGCCTGCGTGCTGCTGCTGAGAACCTTGAAGCTGTGAGAGATCAGCGAGGGCCACTCGTGGATTCGTCAAGTGTGTATGGGCTATGCAGGTTGAGAAATGGTCTACCATTTGAGAATGTTGTAAAGACAACGCGAAGTTGAGCGCGGCACTGATTGATCAATATCCTGCCTGTAGTTAACCACCGACTTTCGATATTCATCAAAATATATCTCAAGTCACGTTGGAGTTCATGTCTTGGTCAATACTGGACGTCAGGACACATGGACCGGGTTATTTACAACATTGGATCATCTATCTGCTCGAGTGTCCGTGGCGTGGTGTTGTTTGCCGCATCAGAGCGACAAATAGATGGAGGGGCACATGCTGCAGCGGGACTACCCGCGCGCTAAGCGGCGCGCTAAGTCTCCTGCCCATTATTTGGCGAATCTCAGCTTCGTCGTGGTTTCGTCGCTACAGACACTGCAGATACACCATCTGCGACCATGTCGGGGCGATCTCCTGCTGAGTCGCCGCGAGATCCAAAACTGATTTCATCTAAGGACCGCCTCCGCAGCCTCACCTCCTGTTTCCCGATGCGAACTGCAGGTCTGCGGCAAGACGTGTCCGCACCTTCACCTCAAGCGTCGCAGCTCCCACCCGCTCGATCAAGCCATGAGCATCAAGCACCACAGACTCGCCTCAAGCCCGCCCCTGCGTACCCATTTGGCGAGCTCTCCCCTACACCGTCGAGCGTCGAGGCTGGACAGAGCACCAGACCGACACAGCGCCATCCAAACCGAGCTCCTGACCCAGAAGGACTGAACAACGACGTGCAAGAGCGTCTTGCACAGGTCGAGAGGTATGTTGCATCGATGTCTGTCTCTCGAGTTGTATGACTGACTTCTTCAGGATGCTCCGCTCCATCGAGCCCGACCCAACCCTCGCAGAGTCCGCAAGACTATTAAGTAATCTGGAGCACGAGAGTGTTCGTGTTGAGGCGGAGTTCCGTCGACAGTATCCAACAGGTTCAGTCAACCAAGGTGATGGAGGTGCTGGGTATGTTTGAGTATCCCTTCCTCCTCGACTTCATCTGACTAACTTCATTCAGGCAGCATGATTGAGTCGAGTTAAGGCGAAGGGGCAGAGAGATGTAATTGCCAAGATGATGAAGTGAAAGTGTGGTAGACGCTATGCATTATCCAGAGGAAAAAGGGTAGTCGAGAACGCAAGCACAACTTTGACCTATGGTCAGTCCTGATATGAAACTCAAAACACAATTCTGCAGTTCGCATCTCGTTCAAGGATAAGTGAACTCGTCTTTCTCTGGATCCTCTTCACTCGCAGCGTATCTTCGGTTCTGAATGCTTCATGGCCCCTGAGTGTGGTCATCCTCCGAACAAATCCAGGCAAGTAGGGCACGCCAAGCTGCCGATTCGTTGGTACTAGCCTCTGGGTACCCTCATTGTCGCGCTCAAAGTATCACATGTAGCATTGTCATCCCTCACCTCCTTGATCGGACCAAGCTCTTGCTCGTAGTTCACAACGGCTGGACAGCTCGACAGTCTTGGGGATAGAGTTTTATAGCAAGGAGAGTACGTTGAGCTACGGGCATTCATTTATGAGAAACGTAGACATGGAGTGTAGAGCTGAAGTCAGGGGACGCGTGCTGACATCATTTATAAGTCATCAACCTTCCTTGCGCACACCATTTGGACATCCATTCCGCGACTTGGTCAAGAACAATCAGTGGGCAACAGGGCCGTGACGAAAAACGCCACACAGATTCTTCGGCAACCAGTACAAGGACAATACGACGACCAAACTCATCCAGCCGAAGTACGCCCAAGCCCATGTGACAAGAAAACGTCCCTATACATGCATCACAAAGCCTTGCAACTTCGCGAAGACCAGAGGCCAAGCTCACTCGACGTCCCTCACCCAGAGTTTTCGAGCACGAAGAGCGCTGGTGGCGCAGCCAAGATTTTGGGAAGTTGAGACTGCTTCGCTGAAGAGAAAGCGGATGTTGCTCGCCTGAGACACCTGCTGCCGTGGCTCAATATAGTCGTCCGCTGGATTCAAACGCGCATCGCCGTCTATGCATCATCGTCTGGTGCTGAAGACGCGTTATGGCGCGATTCCAGCCCGTGCTCCGCCAACCGTCAACTCCCAATAAGACGCAGAAACCCAACCTCATACTGATCGACCTCGTCGCCGCCATTCTCCCCTTCTTCATTCCTCGCAGGTACGAGCGCATGCTTCAAGCCCTCCGGTCGTGCTTAAGGTGAGCATTTTGTCTTTCTTCCCCTTACCATTCTCATCCACCCCGTGTCACCGCCCCATCGTTGCTCATTCCTGTTCGACCCGTTTCACTCTTTCCTATCAACGCTTCACGAAGCTACAATGACGCTGAATGTGAGCGTTCTTCTCTTGCAGAACGCAGGCAAAGGAGGTTCTCGTCCATCTTTTCATCTGCTGTACAGCGAGCGTTCGGCGCCTTGACGCTCAACCTCGCTCACCACCCTGCACCACGCTACTCCACGCGACCCATCGACCAGGCCATCCACATATCCACGCCAGCCATTCCAGCCCGACGACTACACGAGATGGCCTCTCAGAAACGCCCTGCCTATGCTAGAGCCGTGCTCGGCGGTGAGGACGTCCAGGCAGCCGCGAAAGCCAGAGCCGATGCAGCCAAACCGTATGCTCGGCGGCTTGAGGACATACTTCGCGAACTGCCGGCGTACGTGGAAGACGATGGAGAGGTATGTGGTCTCAACGTGGAACAAACAGAAATCTTATTTGTCAATATTGACGACTCTCCTCGGCTACGACATCGTCAAAGAGCAAGAGCAGTTACGTGACGAGAACCAGCAGCTTCGTGCTCAGCTCGAAGCCTTCAACAGCGCCGGCCAGACACAGACATCTTCGACCGCTCAAGCTGCTCAATCTACCCAGTCAATCGGCGCACCTGCCCGGACCATCCCTCGCTCGAGCGACCTCACCCGACCAACGTCGGCCGACGAAGCCGACATCCACCGACTCGAACAAAAGCGGGACGCTCTGCTTGGAGAGGTGGAGAGACTGAAGAAGAGCAGGACGAATGCGTGGTCAGAGAAGCCCGACGCTGAACAGCAGTTGCGGGCTGCCGTCGCAGAGCAGGCTCGAGCAGAGGAATTGCGTAACCAATACGCGAGCAAGTGTGCAGATGCGGAGGACCAGATTGAGGAGTTGAAGACCCAGAGAGAGGAGCTTGATGAGGTTGTCAATGAGCTGGAAACCAGAAGCATACCCTCCAGGACGACATCCGCAACTTGGCCGAAGACAAAGAGGAGGCTTCGCGTGGCCACAATTTGAAGTCCATCATGAAGAGTGGCAGGGAGATCGCAAAGGGACTCCCCACCATCACCTCCACGACCAGCAGCAGCGCCGCGCGCTCGGAGATTCTCGACCACGGCGCAACCCTGCAGGCCGCTGAGCAGCTCATGTCTCGCTACCTGCCAACGGATCCGGCGAACAAGCTCCAGGGAACGATCAATACATTGTACGGCGTCATCCATCTTGATGCTGCAGACGTCTCCGCTGCTGCACCTCCGATCGAGCCATCCACCGAAGAGGGCCTCAATTCACGACCTGGAACTGCAGAGCAGTCCACGGCCGCCATCGTGTCTCAGCGTAAGTGATGGAAGATGCGCGCGACGATGCTGCCAACAAACGCGACGAGTTGGAAGTGCAGGCCGAGCGCTTATCAAGTGTAGTCGACACCAATCACTTGACAGCTCTGCGAGACCAGCTGCCAGTCCAGGGGCACGCGCAGCATACCACCACCTCGAGGCCATTGGCAGAAATCCGACTCTCCGAGCGCGAATAAAGCGCAGTCCAAGCGGCCGCGGAGAGAATCATGGACCGCTACTTCCCAATGAACCCGACATCAACACAGTAAGACATGATCTTTGTCTTCCACGAGGCGATTCACAAGTAGCACATCTCGACCAACACGTTGGGGAAGACGGTGGTCGCTCTGAGAACGCGTAACCAAAGCCTGTTGGAGGCCTATGCCAATGCACTTCAGGTCGCGACGAATCTGACGCGTTGGCAACAGCAGAAGCAGCTGCTCGTTTACTGGCATCGTCACGACCCCCAAGCGGCCAATCTCCACCGATCCTGCTGCTGTGCTCAACAAGAGAATGATAGTCTGATTGACGGCGGTACTCTTGTTGGAAGTAGTGACCATTATCATCGTCATCCACTTGCACCACCACCCTTTCACCGAAATAGATTGCCGCCAGCACTCTCCATCGACCAACGACCGCCAGCAGACCCTCCTAATTCACCTCGACACTACTCAATCCGAGCCTTTCTTTGCATAGGACTGTTTCTTGGTTGGCAGATGATCGCGTTCTGCTGGGAAAATATGAACGCTTGACATCCATTCAGCCCAAGATAGACTCCATCGTTACGTCCAGCTCGAATCGCGAGAGCATGCATTTTCAACTGTCCAGAACGAGGTACATCGGGAGCATCATGGGCACAGAGGAATCCAGTAGGCTTCGAGACACCATCGAACTGTTAAGGCTTTGACCCGCTAGCACCCGACTGGCTGGGCGCCTTCCTCGATTCGATGCTCTATGGCTTCCTGCTCCGCTCACCTGGGTCCGGCTCAGCCTTGTGCAACGCTCCACCCCTGCTGTTGACGCCAACGCTCCTTCATAGATTTGATATCCCTCGCAATGTACTGACACTAATTAGGCTCTAATTGACACTGTAACTCATCATCGTACAATGGCAACTGGAGAAGGAGCTGTAGGATAGATGCTGGCGCCCTCGCACATGGCCTGCGACCTTTATTTGCCACACGGCGCACTGACATTGCTTGCATTCGATGACTTGCCACTCGGCGAGATACTTGAACAATTCCTGTACCGTCAACATAATCATCCCTTGTGCAACGGCGGACTACGCTGGGTGCGATGGAACCCTTCGATATATTCCCAACTCCTCCCGACCGTGTGACTTTCGTCTACTCTGCCTACACTTATTTGCCTGGCCGTCGGATCTCGACAACCACGCCCTACGACCTCGACTGTCGCTGGGCCTTCGACGACGTCTATCCTGCCAAACATGGTATACATTGGGCGCTCTGTTGGGGGCGTCCGGACGTGCTACGTGTAACAATGCGGGCCTGCGACTCTGGGCTGGGTGGGTGCGGTTCTGCGAATCCAATGTAGGCTGAATCCAACGCACGTGCGATTGATTGGGCCCTTTCGGTTCGTGTCCTTAACATTCGAATCCACGCTCTACTGTCGTTGTATTGCCGGGTGTGCCTGCCGCCACATCGCTACACCAATGTTGACCCCAATTGACCTCTCGGCATGACCTGGCGCACCTGGACTATCAATCTGTAACACTTATCGCTTAAACCACCCTTTGTGCGTCGCTTCGAAGAGAGCCTCGTACCAATATCCCGCTACCTTCCGATATCCTTCATCCTTAGGATGGAAACCATCGTCGTTCAAATCCGCGCATTCCTGCCACGTCCCATCGATGTTCCTAATGCAGCCCTTCTCTCCAATAGGACTCAGATCCACCGTGAGTATCTTTCTCCCTTGCTCAGCCTTTCTTCTTACCATACGTGCAATCGCCGCGTTGTACACGTCTATGTTCTCGAACCACACGAAGTTGGGCGACCAGATGATCTGAGCGACGACGAGGACGACGTTGGGGGCGATCGAGAAGATGTAGTCGACCAAATCTCCGAGTTTTGCCGGCGCGTCCTCCGGTCCAACGATGTCCGGTGATCGTAGTGGGCTCATGTTGTCGGTGCCGACATGGAGGAGGATGACGTTAGGGTTTTTCGCGAGCGTCGACGTCATGTTCTCTCCGGCGCAGAGAGAGAGCACACTTTCGATATCGGAGCTGCTGTAGCCTTCATGGTCGGTCACCGGCGCAGTGCCGGTCTTTTGGGAGCCTTGTGAGACGCTCAGTCGATGGTGCTTCAAGAATCATGTGTTCGAAAAGATCATGTCTTACCGACGAATTCGACCTTCCTCCGGCCGCAATCTGTCTTCAGATGCTCATAAAGGACCATGCGGTAGCCATTATTGTCGCTGCTACCAAATCCTTCCGCAATGGAATCACCCATAGCCACAATGCGAAGCGGTGTTCTGGGCGAGACCTCACATGCATTGGGCGTCCAAGTGACCTCCGTTACCGAGGAACCCGATCTCGACCATCCAATGATGAAGATGGTGAGCAGAATGGCCGCGATGTACGGAGCCCATCGCCGTGGGAACATGTCGTTCGTTGTGGTGTATTGTTTGTGTACGAGAGCATGGTTAATGGGAGGAGGCTGGGGAAATCTCAAGGACTTCTCCTTATCGACGAGGAAGAGTGGTCCGCGGCGGGGTACGATCTGCATTGATGGCGCAGCGCAATAGAAAGCTTAACTTTCCAGAGCCTCGGCCTCCCGAGCCGCCTACCAACGTCTCGCCAACGATCTCTGACTGCAAAGCCTGGTCCATAGTATCTTTCAGGCCATGTGTGCCAGCTCCTAGCTTCGGTTCCCTTATTTTCCTTTTCTTCACCTTCTTCGGCCCTTCATTGGGTTATGAGTCCTTATTTTTCCTTTTTGACCGTTTCGCAAAGCAGAGACGCTTTCCTTTACGTCCCTTATTTTGGTGTACTGTTTGGTTCATGTTCAAGAGGCGGCAGTATGGTCCAACTGGCGAAATGTAGCATGTCATTGAGGCCCCGATTCTCCATACGCCGCGCGGTCCGCATCCTTCGCGCGTGTGAAAATAGCCTTTGCCCTTTATGCCAAGATTCATCTGCCATGCTTTGATTGGGCGCCAGAATCTCTGCCAGAAGCACTTGGAGCAACACATCTTGGTGCTTGGGATGGACCGTAAAAAAGAGGTGGGCGAGTTCACATACATACTCTGTGCGGCTGGAGACATGGCATGGCATCTCCACCACCACCTTTTCGGTCCTACCTCGAGCATTTCGATGTGTCTGATCATCGCTAGAGATGCTCCCAAGAAGGTGATTGATCATTCGCTGCGCAATGCTGTTGGCGGTGCTCTTCGCCTTGGAAAGGTAGGAGGATATTCTTAACTAAAGCACTGAGCTATGGGAGAGATATTCGCCAGCTTCGCCTTCTCGCCACACTCGGATCTACTTTCATCGCACAAGCAACTCCAGTGGATCTGCGCACTATCCTGGCTCAAGGTATGGTCTGCAGTCTTTTCCGTGCCTCTTTTATTTGCTTGTAGTCGCGCCACTCGCATTCACGTCGATGAAGAGTCTACCATCTTTCGCCTGCGAAACTACAACTGCCCTTCACGAGCCCTCGTCCTGGATGGGAGTGAGTTGTATCAATGCAGACTCACCACCAGGATGCCATTGCCAACTCCTAGGCGCCACGCATGCCATTGTTGTCTTCAATTCTCCTCCTCGCCACGTCTTCCAAAGATCAGCATGCAGAGCACTCCCGACCGCCGCTATTCCCAGCGCCGAATGGCATTGGCCTCTTTCTCTCAGCAGGAATCCTCCTGCGTTACCCTCCTTACTGCTGCCGCCCTCCACGACACCTTCTCGCCTGGTCAATCGGCTGCGTTCAGACTGACTGCCGGCTTTCACTCGGCTGGATCGACAAGGCCGCTCGAAGCTATGGACAGGACAAGTCTAGTGGGTTGTGGGTTGTGGCGTCTGGAGAACAGCCAGATCGTTTGGAGATGATGATCTTGCTGGCGGGATGGGCGCAAGCTCTCAGCATTCAGGCCTTGGAATCGTGGCGCTGAGTATCACAAACGTCTCACTCACGCGAAGCTTCCTCCGGCTGATTTATGAGAAACCACATCATCTTTCGTCAACAGGCACATCTTCATGGAAGCTGCATAAGTTCAGGCGGGAACTGATTGGTTTCGAAAGGCTTCGACACAGCTCTACATGCTTGGTCTTGCATCGCGGCCACACTTGGAGATTCTCTGTCAATCTTCGCAAAGCCTTGACGTGGTCACCAACCGTTGTGAGAGCTGGATCACGGACGAAGCAGCAATGGCCAGCGACGCTGGAGAAGGAAGAGCATACGACAGCTTCGATTCGTCCCCATCTTGCTCCTGTACAATCAGCCAAAGATCAAACAGCGGAGGAGCTGTAATCTTTACGTTCACCTCCAAGTCCTCACTGCGCTCTGGCTGTATGCCTGTTCCAGGGCCGAGGAATGGCGAAGCACCCACGACCCTTCCTTCCTCACTCATCAACTTCATCCCTTCATTACCCTTCAGCACCCGTCAAGGGAGGACTGCTATCTTCTGGCCTTGCGTCAACGAAGACAACGACCTGTAAGTCTGGTGCTTGACTTTCGCTTGCAACCCAAACGTCACCATCTCAACGCTTCGTCTCATTGTCGCTTTCGACTGCATGCTCAATCAACTTCTGGTCCTCAGCAACGACCAGCGCATTCACCTTCTCACTGTCGCTTGCTCTACCAGCCCTCGCTACCGCACGATCTTGCTGGCGTACTTGCGGTTTACTCCCCTCGAAAGTCATGCAACCACCTGCAGCTCAGATCGCCAGCGGCTTCTTAAGGGATTTTCGGTCGGCAACCTTGCTACTGAAGCATGGTTCTTTCCCAGGTCCTCGACCGCGCTCATCTTCGCTATCGCCTTGCACTCAGCGGCGTCAACAAGAACACCATTACTTGTGGATTCTGGCATTGAGAAGCACACAGTTCCATTACGTGAGAGACCTTAATACCAACGCCTTCGCTCCTTGACTTTCGTTACCCTCTACCCTCACCCTCCTCTAGCAGTATCGACGAGGCACACACGGGCGTGGCATGACGAAAAGAAGTGCCATCTACAGCACGCTATGCACCATGAAGCGGAAAGGGTGGGTTTCAATTCGCAGGAGTCGGAAGGTGGAGGCGGGCGAAGGTGACGAAGACGGAAGTGAGGGAGGCGAAGATCTCGAAGGTTAGGAGTTCGAGGACGCAGATGAAGATGAAGAGTCAAATGGGGACAACACATCAGAATCACTGGGCTGCAGACATCGGCATGCACAGGCGGCGACCGATTTCCCTCAGCAAAGCGATGAAGACCTTGCGGCATGCCAGACCTTCTCCATACTTACTCGTCGGAGAAGGCGTGAATACGGGAATCTCGCTTGTTCTGCTGGTACCCTGCAAGTGCCCAGCCCTCTCACCGCTCTTAGACGCTGGTGAGACTCATTGGAACGTACGACCACCACATCCTCATCAACATGTCGAGGGCCATTTGATCTTGCGGACGAGGAAGGAAACTGGCTCATGCTAGACACATATATTCATGTACTCGCTAAGTGATCCACGCTCAATCACGGTCTGTGATAGAGTTTTCGCCGGCGCCTTATCCCTACTACTCGCCATTACGGCTTAAGCTTAATCTAGCACTTTTCCCACCTACCTCCGCCTATGCTAGACAGGAAATTAGTCGGCTTCTATTTTGGGAAGTATTATGGGACACTGTCTAGAATACTCCTGCATTGCAAGCAGCATTTTTGTGAATAGCGTTATTTTGGACCTGTTGCTACACGCAGTAATGCCGAATGACCTATACGGGTCACGTGCGGCACGTGCAGCAGGTCCGAGCGCTCAAACACCCATCTCTGAGCCAAGAGCCGTTTGCACGCACAGACACGATAAGGGTTATACATACAGCGAACCACGTGCTAAAAGCGTTGGACCGTACGCCCAAAACTGGCGAAGATATCACCATTTAAAATTCGAAATACCGATCTCTTGTCTTGCAAAAAGTAACAAGAGATGAACCAAAGCGAGGCGCAGATAAATAGACCACACAGCAGAGGCTAAACTCGTGCACATCTACGTTCATAGGTCGAATTACAACGGCGACCCATCGATATCAAGGGACTAACTTGGCAAACGGTCAGAATGTACTTCGACGTGCGGAAGCAGCGCAGTCCATGGAGGATTGACTAAGTTATAAGCCTTCAAAGTTCAAAACACCGAGCCGTGATATCTAAGTTCAAACCAGACGGCGGCGAAATCGAGAGGAATCGCACCAAAGAACGTCGAAATCATCCATCGCCCTGTTCTGTGCTTGTGCCGGCTCTAACTCATTTGAAGGAGATGTTTGGGGGCTGAAACCAGCTGCGCGTGACTCGAGAGTGTTGTCTTGGCACTCTCGCACACGCAGCAGCCAGCCCAAAGCAACGTAAACACGTGCGCTATATACTATGTACTGCGGCTAGCTTCTAAAATCTAACAAATGGTGGTAAATGCGCAGCTAGTGACTAGGTCGCTCTCTAAGTCGCCCTATAGCACTTAACGAGCTAGTAACTAGTAGGCCCTAGCGATATACGCAATATATAACTGTTTACTATATAAGGGTGTAGAGGACGGGTTGCCTGCTTAAATCGTAATCTCCGGCCGCAGGCGATAGGTAATATGCAGGAGTAAGTAGTAGATATCTCCACCTTGCGCATATGCCTGCCTAAACAAATCTGGGCGCAGGACAGACTCAATTCTGCAAAGCGTCCCAAAATGGAAACCGGCCAGTTTCTTGTCCAACACTGGCGTGGGTGGGTGGGAAACTGCTTGCTTAAGCTAGAGCCTGATAGCGAGTAGTCGGATAAAGGAGTAAGAGCAGTAGCTGATTCCTGAACCCTAGTACTCGCCTATACGCACAGACCCCTCTCTTTTCATGCTCTCCAGCAAAAATAGTCTAAACTTCAATCTCTCGGCATCTAATCAAAGAATCAGGGTCATTGATTAAGAATTCGTCGAGATATGGGCCTTCAAAGTTCGAAAACCCGAGTCGTGATGAACCAGATGACAGCGGGATGGGGCATGTGCACGCTACTCGAGCGACAATGCGGAAAAACTCAACGTGTCGATATCGAGCCAGCAAGCAGTCAAAAGATACTTCAAAATGTGCCACAACACATATCAAAGAACCACGATTATTCATCGAGAATTCGACGATATATTGGCCTTAGAAGTTTCCAAAACCGAGCTTTTGAAGGCGAAAATATGCGGGAGGGTCGACTGGAAGACAACCATAGACGCCCAAATACAGGTCACTCAATTACAGGCTTGAGATCAAAAGGATGTGACAGCAGAGTAAGGAATGGGTTCAATGAAGAACTGGCCGTTGGGTCCGAGAGGAACAAGAACGACATGTGTGATTTGGGCGACAGTGCGGCTATCTACAATCTCAGGGCGACGGCACACAAAGACGAGATCAATCAGGATCACAGATGTTTGGTCAGGGTCGAGGTGCAGGGCAGCATCCAAGCTGGTGGGAAGGTGAGCTTGCTCTTAGCGTCCACCGACAACGACAACGACGTGAACGACCGACTCCCGAAGCTATTCTTCCCCACGAAAGTCCACGCATCTTCGGCGCTTCGGTTAGGGGGGCACATCGTCGACATTCTGGTCACAGGCTTGGGCAACCCGACTTGAGAAGCTTTCGGAAAGGTGGGCAGCAGGCAATGATGAGGATGTGAGGATAGGCGGGTGAGATGCCCGCAAGACGGCAAATTGTACATTAACAGGCATGAGGCAGGTGGGAGGATACACAATCGGCGAATGCGATTGTCGAAATAGTAATGTCATTCTGGCAGGTGCAATTTACGGGTGGTAACAACGTTCATCTAGGTGTACCATTTGCTTTCCATCGGTATTGCAAACTTCAAAGAGCTATATCTCCTCTAGCGTTCGACTACTGTTGCTCATCTTTTAAGTCGGTAATGCACTTCATTTGAGGTATCTTTTGACGCTCTGCAGCCTTTTAATGAGGGCAGCCATTCTGACAACTGCCGAATGCGGAAGTTGCGCTCGGCGGTGTCTAGAATGGATGGGCCCCCTAGAAATGTGAATACGTGTAGTATCTCTCTAATTGAGGGTGTGGTGGGTGGGTGCGAGCCTCCCTCTACGATCAGGCTGTTAAAGAAAGAAGGAGGAAGTTCAGTCAGTAAGAGGAGAGGCCTACACCTTGCTGCAGAGCCCTGTATTTAAGTTCGGTTTTGAAAACGTCAAACTCGTATAACTCAGCCAGTTTTGAACATACCAACTTCGTATCAACACGTGTTTATCGGAACAACGTTCTCTATTGCGTCAAAAAGTCAAAAAAATATGTTCAGATCGCAAGAGTTCGGTATTTTGAACTTTAGAAGCGTTTTACTCCTTAGTTTCGCTTCGTAGAGCCTTCAACTTTTGGCTAGCGAATCTTTGCGCGCAGGTCTACAATCCCCCCACCCGTCGTGTTGGATGTGGGGCAAACCAACAAGACTTTGATGAATGTGGCTTCACAGAAAGACCTATGAGTCAGATTTGTCGTGTGTCTGTTTCTGCGAGAAGCTCATTTGGGTGCTAGATGACTCCAAAGTGATCTACAACCAGGAAAGTGGGGAAGTATCACGTTCAGTAAATGAATAATTCAAGCTGTTGCAGAGCAGGAGCTGCGAAGAGCGGACTGGCAGACTCTAGAGGTCATTGCTAGCAACATTGCAGATAGTCAGGCTGCGTTTTGCGGGCAGGAGTTCCAAAGCAGAGGCGTTCAGCTAGACTTGAGGGCTGTGTGGTGGGGGGGG